CCCTGAAAATGTTTAGTATGTTGCTAAAACAAAGTACAATTCATTTCTCATTACCTTCCCAGTTTGTTGAATAGTTCCTTGTTCCGTCAAATAGAGGGCTGGTTACCACGAGGAAGAGGTGGGCATATCGTAGGTTCCGCCGTCAGAGCTGAAGCTCCCCTAGCGGGGGAACCCCCGCCCCTGGGGTTGTAGGTGCCGTAGGGCTCGATAACGTAGTACTCCACAAGTGGGTTACGGGTCCACCGGTACACAGCAAGGTAGCCGTAACCCTGGGGTTGGAAAGATCCGGGCGTAGTTGATCACGCTGTGAAAGGAGGTTAGTTATCAGCATACTGGGTTGGGTAAACTTGTATCTTACCGGCCAGTTCCCGGGTTCCATCCCTTGCCACCAACGAAGTTGCCGGTGTTTCTCCACGTCACGGAATACTTGCTGCCCTCGCCCATGGTGTACTGAGCAGAGCCACCGCCATCAGTCCACCAGGAGTAGAAGTAACCGTTGTGGTAACCCTCAGAGCTGGGAGTAGACTGGCGCTTCTCGAGGAGAGCAGTGGCATTGCCACCATCGCGCTCAACGAGGAAGTCGAAAGGAGCAGCGAGAACGCTGGTGGTAGCCACGGCGGCGAGGAGGAGAGACTTGAAAGAGACCATGATGAGTTGGTTTGTGCTGATCTGTGCTGGATGCAGTGATGATACTGATTGCGAAAGGCACTGATCTTATATGTCCAAGTCCAGTCCCACCTAAGCCTGAAGTCCTGGATGAACTCATGAAGGGGGGTCATGAGTCCTCATCTCGCCTAGTGACTACTTCCGTCTTGGTATCAACTATGATGGTTGGTGCGAGCCCTCTCCTTCCACAAAGACTAGGTAGGCTGAGCACTGACCAGAATAACAAGTATACTCATACGGCTGGCATACCGGTCGCTATCGAGCCTCGGCAGCAATTTTGATGAGATAACAATAGTACTTAGGTCCATTTTCCCTGTGCACATCTGCACAATACAATCAAAAAGGAATCTCTGTGCCCGGGCTTTACGCGCTTTCAACCCGGTTCAGAGGATGTTAATATAAACTTACGCCACTAATCGGACACAAGGACGCGACCCCAGACTATTCGGATCATATAAAAGCTTGTGAAACGCATCCTGCGAAGTGGCTGCGCCCTAGCAATGCCATGGCCAAGAAAAAGCAGACACGTGATGAGATATTTGGGGCTACCAGCGGGAAACCTCGGCAACTTTCTGCATTACCACCGGATGAACAGCCTGCGCCAAGAGAAAAGCGGATCCGGTCTTCTACCGATCCCAGTTCACACTGCCAAGAAAGGTGGGTATCACAAGCGGAGATGAAGCGCGGAGTGCATGGGTGGATCTTGATGCCGGTAAGTATAGGAGAAAACCTGGAAACCGTAGAAGATTCCCGACAAATCACGAAATGGAATCCCATGCTACCACGCATAGAAATCCGGAGCAATACTACATGCGTAGTCCATGCCCGGGTGGGTTGTTGACAACACCTGCATCCTGCGTACCTACTGTAGGTACTTGTATCCGCACTGGTCCATGATAATCCGATCCACTGTGAATAGTGGAAGTAACAAAAGCACCAATGGAGTCATGATAACCTCGGTAAATGACCTGAATTCTATCCAAGCTTCTGACCTACTGCAGCACAAGATATTTAGCGCCACACGATAGCATTTAGTCTAGCACACAGAGCCCCGGCTACCGAAGCCCATCAGGTGGGCAAACGGGTCCTCTTGTGGCAAAAACTACGGTTATCAAGATACAAATTGCAAGCATGCCTAGCGCAGATGTCAAGCCGGTAGATATGGCAGTCGCGTTGGTATCGATAACCGCCCACTTACTGGTAGCTTCCAGGCATACCTAGCTATGTCAGATGAGTAACATGCTCAAATCTTACAGTCCCGACAGTCTCAGGATATCGGACCTGACGCAAGAAAACATGAAAATCGCCTTGATATGGTAATAAAGTGCCTGTATTGAACGGCACCTGCGTTATGGCAAAGGATAAGACAAGTGACATGCGTCAATGCTCATTCAGGAAGATGGAGCGGTCAGGAATGATCTATCCATACATTGATTTCACAGTGAACCTTTCTTCGCTGTCATGATCGGATCCTACACTAACATCGTACTAAGATTTCAACGGTGTCCGCAGAAAAGACAGACGTAACACAGGAACACAATAAAGCACTGATCTAGTTATTGGTTTCCCTCCGAAACCATCGCTCGCAAACCCTTCGATTCAGTTTCCGAACCACCGTAACCCTTCCCTTTGCCACCGACTACCACGATCGCGCAGGTAGTAGCGTCCATCATTGCTATTGTTCCAGTGCTAAGGACGCCCAAGAGATCTTTCAGCTTCACTCTACAGATACGGATGTTCTGGAGGAGCACTGGGGGATTCAAGACGTTCTGCGCTTCGGATGAGCCCCTGAAAAGACTCGAGCCCGCATTACCACGCTCGAACGTACTGAAAACAGACCTGTGAATACGATCGGCTTCTTGGAGGAGGGCGCTGGTCGAAAACAGTTGGCCAGTTCATCGAGGAACTAGGTCAATGACTCCACTCAAGCAACTCTTCTTCTGCAGACGCTTAGCAGAGGATCGGACGCCCTCTGCACACTACCGGTAGCCGTAAAAACAAGCTTAGACTGAATTATGTGCATCGCCAAAGGCAGCTCGAACCAGTTGATAGCCTCACATCAATTATGCATCTGGCCAGATTGCGCGTCCTTAGCCTTCTTCGCAGATCTATCGACACGGAACACGGGTGCGCTGGAGTCGGGTTGCTTCTCACCTATGAGAGAAGCCCGCAACGGGATATGGCGCCTTGTTGCATTGTCGCCTTCTGATTCTCAGCGATCTTTTCAGAGTTGCTATTGTGAATGTCCGTTCTGCATACGTCATGGTGACATCGATCGCTTCATCGAACGCACCTGGAGACTCATAATAGACTCATTGTGGACAGTGGGAGTCGAGGGAAACTGCTTGATAATTTTACGCTGTACTGCTGGCGTTTTCGCAGGCTTCACCTTATTCTTAGGGTCACAGTGGCATACAAAGCCATCGCCTGTTGAGCCTCCTCAGCCTGGGCTGTCACATTGGAATTGCTTGTGCCTTCATCTCCTTCTTCTCCATTTTTTTCTGATCACAGGTTAGGCAAGCGTGCTTCTTCTCTTGCCAGTAACATTTCAGACCGGACGGGGTGGGCGCAGGTTCTTCGAAATATTTTACATTCTACTTTGTTCACTCTTTAAAAGCGTCATCAGTGCGACCTGGAACTTTTGATTGAACGTTTCTTAGTTGGCTTTGCACAGGGTACTGTGATTATAAAACATCATCAAGTGTTATGAAACATCTAGTGCAAAAAACAATTACGAGCTATCTTCGTACCTGATGTTCAAACGTACCTAGCGTTTTTATTGCTAGTTGATACATTTAATAGCTTTACTTGGTAGATGGCAGCTGTTTCTCCAAGGTAAATGGAGTTGATCATAGCAACTAATGATGCGCAAATTCCGTGTGAAAAGATCAACCTAAATTTCAGCATAATCATATTTAGGTCAAAATTGAATCCAAAAACTTAGATGAAGAGTATGCTGGCAGTGCCTTATGATTTGAATACCCGAGTGTATTATCACGATCTAGTTGCATAAAGACAACTTTAATCCCTCGTCGCTACATGTGTACTTGTGCATTGTCTTATCATCGTGCAACCTATAAGGTAGCCATCTAGCATATTTACTCAGTTCGAAGCTGGAAAAGATGTCTCCGGCGCCCTCTTAAGTGCCCCCATGATCCCCTTTGAGGCCATATCCTGGAGCCGCATTTCCTCCCCACTCAGTCGGCCCCACGCCCCATATATGTCCACCGTGTTGATTTTATCATTTGGATTAAGATGTAGCTCTTTCATGAACACAGCAACCGTAGTCGTACCAAGCGTGACTGTGTGGGGCAGAATTCGGCTGCTTAGTACGCGTTGAGCTGTGCATGCGGATGGTAGCAGCATGGCGCCGCGCTTCTCGCGCTCCAGGTCAACCATCTTGAGAAATGCAGCCACTACTGATTGCACAGTTGCTTTTTCATCGTCCCTTGTTCCCAAAACATTCAGGAATGCGAAAAGTGACTCACTACCAAGGCGCATACGACCTTGCTCGCAAGTCCAGTCGGCCGCATCCATCGTATTAGAAGCTATCCTTTGTGGCAAAGCGAGACTGCTCATCTCGCGCTGGAATGTGGCGTTATAGGGGTTTTTGGGTGTATTTTCGTTACTCGTCATTGGAGCTAGAGTCTGAGTTACATTTTCGGTCTTCTCCTTGCCAGTGGGCGCTTCGTCTGGAGGATGTAAGTTGACCTTGTACCGAATGACAGTGTCAACGGAAGATGTGTCGTCTGATCCAGTTGTTGATTCATCTGTAATCTCTCCATTCTCCTCATTTTCAGACACCCAGCCATCCACCTCCTCAATTTCAAACTTGTAGTGATTCTCTTCATTTGCGTACGTCTCGGTAGACAGGGCGCTGTTGCGATAGGGCGAGCTACCTGAACTAGTGGTGTCGTTGAACACTTGACTCAAGTCCGACTTTGTGGGCGAGGCGATCGAGTCGAAATCGGATTCACCATCGTCTTGAATAACGTCAACATCATACAAAAGCTGCCCATAGTGGATACAAGTAATCAAATTGTCGTGTCCGATCAGAAATATCCGCGAGCCCATGAAGCTATCCAGGGACGAGTTACTTGCATATGAATTTGGGACGTTGTTCTTGGCTTCCAGGATACACTTGGGTGAAGAGTGGTCGAGATACGGTACAAGTGCACCATATTCTGCTGACGGTTCCGAAATCGTCTGCGACCCGGTTCTCAGTTGCGACTTCAAATTCGACGGCTGTGTCTCGAGCAAATACCGCTTGGAATATTCGCACCGCATCCAAGCTGACAGGCACGCGAAGATGGTGTCCAAAGGTTGGCCCACCACAAGCATCCGCAGTTTTCTTGTATCGAGAATCTGGGCAATTGGAGCAGTTGCGATCGCCAGAACCAAGCGCACGGGCCCAAAATCAGTCGGGATTAAGGCTGTAAAGCTTTGCGGCTCATCGATTTTCGCGCAGCTAGAAAGCCGGACAATTTCCGAGTTTAGTGGTTTATCCGCCTCAGAGCTAGAAGCTTCGTGGAGCTTATCAGAGATGTTCGATGTCGAAATTGGCACTTTGGGCTCATGAACAGCGTCGTTGTCTTCGGTAGTAGGAATAGAATAGATCGTGGGAAGCTGGTCAGAAGAACAGCATGCGACTATCCCGCAATCGACAATCGCCGCAGGAGTGAGAGTGGAGCTAGGAACCATACTTTGGGGAGTATGCGTCGCACTTAGGGTCGCCGTCGAAGTCGGTGGCAACACGTGTTGCGTAGAAGTGCCTGCTGTTGACATCGGTCTAGTGAAGTGTTCGGGTTCGATGATGCCGACCACTCTGTATGTTATGTGGCTGACAGCGATATCATGAATAGTGGCGGATGTAGCGAGTTTCCTTACTGCCTTCTTTGTGGTTTTCTTTTGCCTTGTCATTTGCGCTTTAGTAGGCATCTCTTCCGAGGAGGGGAAATGCTTGCTAGTGGATGTTGTCTGCGGTGACTGTGCACGTTTGCGATTAGACCTGCGGTATAAATATAGAAGTAGGTGGAGAATAAAGGTTTGCGCGGAAATAGGAAGCAAGAACTGCAAATATAAGTTGCCACGGTGATGTAATGACCCTGCACGATGGGTGAAAGGTGCAAGGCTCACAACGGTGACTCGCTCCCATCATGTAACCATGCTTTCATAGCCTATGTCAAAGGTCACAGTCTTTTAAACGGGCAATTTTGTACTGAGAAAATAAGATCAGGACATGGAATTTTTCTGAAGAGGGTAGCACGATACTTTGTCGAATAACAGCACCCCTTCGCGGATTTTTCAACCTCATTACAGCTCTGAAAACCCGAGGAATCTGAGAAAATGAGAGTGTGCTGTGTGAACGACGTACGGATAAAGGGTCATCTAAGCTGATAATCTCCCTGACCTACATAGAAGGTACATATGAAGTCCCCATTGCTCAGATGCCATACATGGCGCAGTATCATTTCAAACGAGATTTTTGGTCCTTGGATTATGATCACCTGCCATCGGATCAAACCGTAAAATGGGATGTAAGATGAAGTAGGATACATTTTGTACGAGTGTCTAGAAGATCCATCGATACTAGAGAAGTGGAGTAGTGCGCTTCAGCTTCAACTGCAATAAAAATTACGACGAAGGGGATCAAAGACTCTTGAAGTCCGCGTGTCATGCAACATAAGCACTGAGTTCCTACCGTTCGGAATCTTCACCTTACTGTGTTGTATGCAGACGTGTTCAATGGTAATATGTTCCAAGGTTTCAAAGGGCATCTCTGGATCAGAATTTGCAACTCGTGGGCATCGGGGAGACCTTATCTCAAGAAGATGGGCTCTGCGGTAGTTTGTGAAGAACCTAAACTGACAGTTGGGCAGTCGTGAGTCAGTGAGAAACACGAGGATAAAGAGTTTGAACGTAATCCGTCAATGTTTGACTCGATTCAAGAGGGTGAAGATAGCCTGGAGCCATGATACGCCTTTGATCACATAGGCTAAGCTGGGAGATTGTCGTCTGGTCACATTCAAGGTGCATGTCAGCCACTGGTGTCCCTACGTGATTCATGATCATTCGTTCGGACAGACAAACGCAAACTCTTCGCAAAACCAATCGTAAAATGTTACGTAATTGGTAAGAATAGCGTGCTGGTTAGGGTCGACCGTTGGTTTGATTACACGCTAGACCAAATGTGTACTAGATAGCCGCCTAGATAGACCATGACGCGCCCAGAGACACCTGGTGTCAGATATTCACTCTCATCTAGAATACTGATGAAATGGGTAATGATGGTGGTAATATTGATCATTGATTGTGTCTTTGTTCTGTTGTCAGATTAGATGAGATATTGCACAAAAGTGATGGATGTTCATGATTGATTTGTTGTTGTCTCTGTTCTAAGGTGCGCGCTGAGAGTTTTGTTCTGCTAAGACGCTAACCCGTTATTAGCTAGCGGTGTCGGCACTTTCGGCTCGACACGCCTGCTATCTGACACACCCCCTCAGCTTGGAAGGCATATTGCAAGCTGCATAAACTGGTTGATCGATCCTACATAATGAGGCCTTCCCAGTTGCTCTTGCACCTCCTTGAGCTCAATCTCTCTGAGCGGGGCTTCTTCGCGCTCGACGAGTCCCAGTTGATCAAGGAACCTGGCCCATTTATTGGCTGGCAGTGGCTTTGTGAACCCGTCTGCGATCATGTTGTCAGACGGCACATACTCTACCTTGATCACCTTTCGGGTAACCTCCTGTCGTAGCCAGTGATTGTGTATGTCAACGTGCCGAAGCTTTGTTTGCAATTTGGCAACGTCTTCATTTACTAGACGGATCGTCTGAGTATTGTCGCACTTGATTGTGATAATTGGATTGCTTAGCTTTACCTGAAGCTCTTTTAACAACCGCGACGTTAAGATTGCCTCCTTAGCAACTTGTGATAGGGCAAGCAGCTCTGCTTCTGTTGTTGATGTTGTCACAGTATCTTGCTTGCTTGCTCTCCAGGCGATGAGTCCTCCGAACAGCTTGATTGCGTATCCCTGCGAGCTTTTCCTGTCCAGTGTGTTGTCTGCAAACGACGCGTCACTTGCTACCTCGAGGCCATCGCCTCTACCGAGTTCGAGGGCTAGGGATTCTGTTTTCTTGAGATACAGGAGCACACGGTCTGCAGCGTCTTGGTGTTCTGTACTTGGATTGATTAGGAAGCGAGCAAGTCGTGATGTTGCAAAGGCTATGTCGGGTCTTGTTGTGACTGCAGCGAATAGAAGCGATCCAATCTTGCGTTGGTACTTGTTGACTTCAGCTGGTGCTGCGAGTCCTTCTCGTGGTCGGAGTTCGATGCCTGACATTGGCGTATCATGCCTTACATTTTGGTGGTTGATGAGTTGACTGATTTTGTCGACGTATGCAGCTTGAGATAGCTGTATGGTCTTCTGCTTGCGATTGCGCATAACCTCTACACCGAGAAACCACTGTAAGTTGTCTCCTCCCGTACAAGCGTATTTTTCTTGGATCCAGTTGATGGCCTTCATGGCCTCTGATTCTTGCTTTGAACGGTACGCAACGATGATGTCGTCCACATAGAAGAAGATGATAACTCCGTCTTTGATCATGCAGCATGGCTCCTGTGGTATTTGTTGAAACCCTATCGAAGCAAGAGTTGCGGTGAATTCTTTCTGCCACAGTAATGGTGAGATCCGGAGCCCGTAGAGTGCCTTTTGCACTTTGAGTAGAGTGCCAGGTAGACTCCGCAACAATCAATTCAATCCGGTCACTCTCCTAGACCCACTTACCTATCTAGGTAGGGCTTAAACTCCTATAGGTAACTACTAGGCTTAAAGCGGTAATCAATCAATCCAATCTGAACCTTCTAGGACCCACTTAATTGATTGTTGCGGACTGTGGTGCCAGGCTTCTGATATCCTTTTGGCATCCTCATGTATATTTCTCTGTCGATTGCAGCATGCACAAAAGCATTAGTGACGTCGTATTGTTTCAGCTCAAGATCGTATTTGGCGGCGATTGCCATAAGCATTCTGAATGAGCGTCCTGCCAATGTTGCTGCGTATGTGTCTTGGGAGGTGATGTTGCGTTGTTGGTCTCCCCTTACTACCAATCTTGCCTTGCATTTGATGAGGCGGTGATGCTTGTCGAGTTTGTAGGTGTATACCCACATACAGTCTAGGATCTGGTGCCCTGCTCGTTTGACTGGTGATGCTTGGACCTCAGTCCATGACTTCATTTGTTGGTGACTCCGAAGGTGTGTCTTTTCTGCTTCCTTGAACATTTCGTATAGTGGATGGTCTTCCAGCTTTGAGTATGCTGTTGGGAGTGGCGGTAGCTGGTTACGATGGGGCTTGATTCCCTTGGATAGTAGTCTCTTCACCTGAGCCTTGTCGATTGACTTTCCTTCGTGTTGACCAATGTGTCCTGATTCGGTGCCGGCCATGAATGCGGCTGCCCATGGACTGGTCATTGATGTTGATTGGTTGGACATGTTCGTCATATCCTCGTTGTTCACCTCTCCTTGAACTAGCAAGGCCACAGGTGGAGGAGTTGGTGGCGGGGTTAGATATGCCTCTACCACCTTCCTTCCTTGGTGGTATCTGGTTTTCTGAGTGCGCGGGCTCTCTTCCTGCGTCGTATCGTCCTCGTAGAACGTCTCGGTTTCTGCTTGTTGGCTCTGAGTACCTGGGAGTTCGACTGTTCTCACCCACGTTGCGATTTCCTCTAGGGTGTTGTGCATGAGATTGTCCATCAGGTCCTCAGTCTTGCCATTGAAGATTGTTTCTTCGTCAAACACTACGTCGCGAGTGCTGATTACCTTTGCCATAGATGGGATCCATATGCGGTAAATGTTCGTCGACTGGTATCCCACTAGGTATCCAATCCAGGCCTTCGGATCTAGTCTCTGTAGCCTGGACTTTCCTCTGTGGGTGTCGTCTGTCATTGCGAAAGCCTTACACCCATATGCTTTTAGGTGAGCTTGATTTGGTTTTCGAGGTCCGGTGACTATGCCGTTCATGGCAGCTGCGTGTGTATAGAATATTTCGTATGGTGTCTTCCAATTGTTTGGGTAATTTGGCGTTCGATTGTATAGGTATACCGCCGCTCTGGTAGTTTCTGGCCAGAGTTCCCATGGAAGGTTTGCATCCAGTCGAATTGCGCGTGCCTTTTCTTTTATAACACCCCCTGAGCGCTCAGCTCCTCCGTTTTGAGCTTGAGTATCTGGAGCGGAGGGCTCGAGTTTGATTGATAGGGACGTGCACCATTTTTCGACCTCTTGTTTGACGGTAACGATCTCGTTGTCAGTCTCGATGACTTTGACTGTGATGTTGAATTGTTTCTTCATGAACTGGACGAAGAGGCCTAGGAGGCGAATGATTGAGCGAGCCGGTCTGTTGTCCTTGAAGTAGAAGTCCCATGTGTATCGGGACCGTTCATGGAAGTCGATGGCTACCCTTTCACCTGGCCCTTCGTCGTTCAGTCTAGGCGTCCTGCGTATTTGTCGTTTCGATTTTGACCTGCCGCAGGCGTCACACTCCACGGTGGTGATGCCCTTGATCCTCACCCCCTCAGATTGCTGCACGAGGTGCTCGATCGCGGATGGCCCGGGATGTCCGAGTCGTTTGTGCCATAGTATGGCAGTAGCCTTTTGTGGTGATCGTTTGGCTCGATTCATACGCACATGAAAGGCTGAAGTTGATGTAGTAGGTGGCTCGATAACCCATTGCCCATAGTGTTCCGATAAGGTGGCAATGGTTGAACCATCCCATCGTCGTAGGCTTGTCGGGTCTCCTCGATTGTCCCACCATATACCTTGTCTTCGGAGCAGCCTGAATGATACGAGGCTGCAGAGGAAGTCTGGGCACCAGGCAACATTGCTTAGGTGTAGAATTTGTTTGCCCTGAGCCCCCTCTGCCGTCACCTTGACTGCTCCGTATCCTTGTATCCAAACCCTTGAGTTGCCAGCCCAAATGTAATCTCCCATCGCAGGCGGGCGTACGTCTTCGAGCCTTGAGAGGTTGTTGCAGATGTGCGTCGTCGAGCCAGAATCCAGGATGAATGCATCCTTTAATGGGTATCCTTGATTGCTCGCATTGAATGCCGCTTTCATCATGCCCTCGTCCAGCCTCGAGATCTCGCGTCCATCTAGTCAATCAGTGACTGAGTCCGGTGTTTGTGATGTCTTGATGTAGGGTGTAATCGATCGTGATGCCGTAGTTAGGCGTGGTCGCTTCGTTTCCAGGTTTGTTTCCTGTATTATTCTTTGTAAGTCTGCATCATGCTGAAGTTTGTACTGTACCAGCTTTGTGATGTGTTTGTTCGGTTTGAACCAATCTGGGGTCTCCAAAGTTGGGTTGACATAGTAGCAGCTACTGATGTCATGGCGTTGTTCACAAGCAGGACATATGTCGCCAGCTTCTGCTGTATTCCTTTTCTGGAACTGCTTGGACTTGTTGCCAGGTGCATTCATTTTGCGTTTGTTTGTTTGCCTTTGGTTTCCCTGGCTAGGGTTGGTAGATGGCGCTCTAATTTGCACACTTGAGGCGTCCCCCTGTGTGTTCGAGTCGGATTCACCGCTCGCCGCGTAGGCTGCTTCACCCGTCATAAAGGCACTTCTTGATTTGCCTCGTGTTGGGTGAGCTAGGCTCATGTGTTCGCGGAAGAGTTTCATCATCTGCCTTCTTTCTATATTGTTCCGGTCGCTTCCCGCTCCAGTGAATGTTGCCATCCATGCTGGGGCAATCTTAGAGACTGCTTTTAGGAAGTCGTCCACAACCAGCTTGCTTTGTATCACGTCCCCTATCTTTAGGGCTTCGGCGCGAGTTGCAGCTTGGTCGTATTCGCTGAGCCATGATTCCCAATTTTGCGGGCTTCTCATAGGTCTCAAGGAATCGTGGTACCTCTCTCGTACCCTTCTGATCTCATCGTCGAGGTCTACTCCAACTGCTACCTGGAGGTTTGTGATCCAGGTGCGGAGAGTTCCATGTTCCTCAAAGCAGCTCACTTGAAGGTGTGGGCTAACTGTTGCATTCAGGTGTCTGATCATTGCCGCAATGTTTGTGCGTTCGTCTCGATAGTTTCGTTCGCGTATTTTGTATGATTCAAAAACCATCTTGAATTCCCTTGAGTCCCCATCGTATGCCTCCTTCCCCTCCGCTGAGAGTTCTGAGTATCGAGCTGGTATGGCTGGAGTTTGAACAGCAGGGTTGACTATGTCAACTGTATCTTGTGTAGGCGCTCGGGCATTGGCTCTCGCGGTTCGTGTAGAGGAGGATGGAGCTGATGATGTATTTCTCAGAGCAGCGGCTGGTTCATAGTCGGATACGAGTGGAGGGAGAGGTTCGGTCGGCTTTGTACGAGGCTGAGTGTTGCCCGCTGGATCTACAATGTCCCAGATCTCTAGGGCTTCGCATTGCATCTTGATTTGGCGGTACCAGGGGATCCATTTGCTCGAGTCGGTGAGGATGACTGTTGCGTCCCTCTGGCTCTGGTTTGTCGCCATTATTGCGTGTTCGTTGCTCGTTATAGAGGCAGTGAGACTCTTAATTGTCAGATTAGATGAGATATTGCACAAAAGTGATGGATGTTCATGATTGATTTGTTGTTGTCTCTGTTCTAAGGTGCGCGCTGAGAGTTTTGTTCTGCTAAGACGCTAACCCGTTATTAGCTAGCGGTGTCGGCACTTTCGGCTCGACACGCCTGCTATCTGACATCTGTCTACGGTTGTGGGCACACCTAGGGGGTGCCAAGCCTTCCTGTGATCCGATTGGCTCTCACAGATGCTAGGTCGCGCTAGTCTAACCTAGCGTCTGTACGCTCTCATCTTCAACAGTGCTATTATCTGACACCTGGATTGTTCCTTCCTTTTTCTCCACAAACACTTTCCATAATCATCACACTATACTAAACACCAGCTTCTACAATACGCCCACATGAGACCTACTTGTGACATAAAAGACAGTGGCTGCAGAAGAACATGGCCGCCGGTCACTCGCTTGATGCAACACAGCTATTATTCTCGTAGGATCTCCAAGTTGACTATTTACTCTCTTTAGTCAATGACGCAAAGCGCAACTTGACATGTATATTTCCATTCCTCCAAATCTCTATCTAGACCCCTGCAAGTTTTCTCGTTTCGGCTTAGCGTGCGTAAAGTTGCTTCTCGTCTTTTCACCTTTCCGGCTTAGTAATTTGTTCTTACGAAGTTGTGCATTCCTTCTGATTAAATTTACTCTTCATAAGCTTACCGGACATCTTCCGCGATTCTTCGATCGTATGATCTCCCTCCCTCCCGAGACACGTTGAGACAGATGATGTCAGAAAGGCTCGGCCGAGCTGTCGGTCAATTAAGTGAGCGATGATCTGAGATTCGGCGTCTTGGGGGTGTTTTGGTTGGAAGCGGTTGTGTCCTCAGAACCTTTAAAAGGAAGGTCATTGACTTCCAAGAGTTCCAGACAAGGTACTGAGATTTCTACGTCACTAAGGGCTAAAAGGGTTACTGTGGCTCGCATGGCGCTGCTCCCGGATTTATAGAGATTAGTTCGGTGTCCGATGGCTTTCGCTCGCTCGAAGAGCTGTTAACGCTCTTCGGATCGCTCGGTGAAGCCTTCTTTGTCGGCCTCTGGCCTCACATTATTCCAGCCTGGCAAGACGGAATCCATGTTGTTGTTGCTGTCGTGTATTTGTAAAAATATATAGACAAAAGTATCTTGGACTGATGGGTATTGTCGAGTATAGTCTCGCGAGATGAGACAAGATCCTGGCTTCAAAAATACTTTGTGTCTGAGGAAGAAAGACGGAGCTAAGCACTGAAATGGGGTTTTTATTGACATCCTGGGGTGTACCTACCGTCCTACCATGGATGATGGAGGGGCTCGTGGAAGAGAACCTAGAAGAACCCCCTGCCATTATACGTTGGTAATCAGGGCAGCGTCTATGGTACGGAACCATGGAACCGGCAAGTACCCACAGTATGTACCATGGAAACCATATTCGGATGTCGTCGCCTGACGTATACCAAGGGTAAAACGGCTGTGATGCCTGTAGGGTACGAGTCTTCGTAGCCATATACGCACGAATTGCGTCTAGAAATGATGTTTGAAGGTTTCGATAGGACGATGAACAATACATTTATGCTCCTGCTGAGTCGCTCACAGGACATGGGCTCTAGCTGCGGTCGGAATCCGAGTCGCACCTGAACCTTACCAGCGAGAGAGATAGATCGACAATTCATATAGTAGCCTTGACAGAGTAACGGAACATGAAGCATGTACTTGAAAATAACAAAGGTAGCGCAAGTCGAGTTGTGCATGTCGGGAGCTTCGTGTTCGAAATTGTTCAGTACCTAGGTAGCGCGGAAGAAGGTGACCCACTTGATTAACTACTGTACGTCTACGTCAACTAATTCAATCATTAACTAGGTAATCCGTCGACCCCACAGCCACCGAGCACTGCCGGCACCATCTTAGCATTTTTTGCATCGCATCTTATGGTGCACTACGCATGTATCATCTGGGCTGTAATATCCATGGCTGACATCACTATAAGTGCAACAAACGGAACCCTCTAGGCGAATACCTACATCTGTAAGTAGTTATCGGCCCAGGCTGTGAACAGGTAGGTATTGATGCATCACCTTGATACGGGATATGCTGCCGTATGGAAAGCACCGGTTGGCATGAGGTTTCTTATCGACACATCTGTTCCCTCTGTTTTCCTCCTACTTGCGACCGGAGCAACTCGGTTGCAGACCAAGGCATGCAATTAGGAAACACAGGCGGCTTGAGGAGGGCTGTGATCTAGGCACCCCGATTTCAGTGGTTATCACGCCGATCATATCGCGTGTACCTAATCCTCCGCATAAGATTCGCATCATGACTTAGACTCAGTTGTCTTGATAGCTGGTCATGTCATCCAACAGGACCTCGGAGAACGGAACATCCTACTCAGAGTATAACCAAGGTCATTGGGTGTTAGCAAGAGCAGCGGGCGATGCGAATACGACACCAGGATCTTCTGTCGCAATTTTCTAGTAGCTTTTGCTTAGTGGTGAATTGGATCACTGGATATAGAGAGAAACAAGCGTTCTCGCTGACGTGGGGCAATAATCTTCAAGTATCACGAATGCGGTATTAGCAAGATCACAATGGTGAATCATCCATTCCTATTATTTTACTCGCTAGAAAGAACCAGCTCTGTTCCATAATGCGTGTACTACATGTAGTAGAGTCCCTTCCTGTGGCCAGATCAGCAAATGTACTTGTCTGCACGTGCTAGATGGGCAGATGAAGTTGCATATTGGGCCTAAACAACAACGTCCTCGCAACCTGCCCTACATCTATTCGTAAAGAAGCGCAAAGCTGGCTCAAATGAGCATCATGTTTATTCGCAGTTAAGATGAAAACAAGGATCTCATGTGCCTCTGTCAAATTTGTAAGATGTTTGCTCTCACTTTCACTTTCGGTCATCTCCACCTTCACCATCGGTTTAGCGCATTTTCTCTCCCTCTTCTATGACATCAGCCTATAAATCGTCAAACTCACAGACCTAATTCCAAAAAAATAGATTATAATCATGAAGCTCGCCATACCCATGAAGCTCGCGATAGCCTGATCGCTCAGATCGACGTTCTGCGCCCTACTCAGTTATCCGTTGATCGCCACCCAGCACCATGACGCACGAATCGAAATACTGGAGGGAGCCAACTATCCTCATAGCATCCCTCGTCATAACATTGCTTGTCTTTGTCGCACGAATGGTGGCGAGATGTGGTATCGCAAAGAACGCTGGCTTGGACGACGTACTCGTGAGCATAGGGATGCTACCATTGATCGGGCTGAGCATATTGACAATACTTGGTGGGACTAGCGACTCTTCGTCGTGGCAATGGCTAATTTACAGTCAAGGCATAGGCGGCTATGGTAGCCAGTTCGGCCCAAATGATTTTACTCCTCATATCATGCAGGAGGTGGCAAAGGTACTTTTCCACATGTCACAACCTTTCCTACCCTGGTACTAATCCATCAGATCAAATTCGCTATCATCATCAATTATGTAGCAGCTTCTGCGATGATCAAACTGTCCATCCTCTGCTTCTACCGACGATTTAGCGGACCTCTTACGTACATCTGGTCTTACTGTACGTGTATACCAGGCACTGCCTACATTAGAAAAAGGCTGACAACTAGTCTACAACTAGGCATATGGGGTAATATCATTTTTTGTATCGCAGTCACTTTCTTTACCTTAGTCAGTGCGATCGTCTGCAAGCCGGTTTCCCCATACCCCCAGGGGTGGAGCAAATCAAAGCAACCACCCGGCCTTGTATCCTGTGGCCACGAAGGCGCCTTCTTTATTGCATTCGCAGTCATCAGCTGCGTACAAGACTTCGTTATCTGTATGCTCCCAGTGTTCTTGGTATTGCACCTGCAAATGCTCCCACGACAGAAGATTGCTACATGCGGAATTCTTTAGCTTGGGAATCCTGACTAGTGTCTGCGGTGCCATTCGTGCATATCATGCGAGCAAAAAATGCCACTGTAAGTTATCATCACACTTTCTTCATACATCAAATAGCTGACACTCTTTCTGCGGCCGATGCAAACCTCCTTAATTGCTGGTCCTTAGGCTGGTTCTGGACGGCGATTGAAGACCAGCTGGGTGTTTTCTGGGCTTCTGCACCAGCCATGAAGATTTTCTTCAATCACTATTTCGAGACGTATACCCCGTGCACCATCGGCAGCTTCGAGATCTTTCAACGGGTAAAGATGCGCTTTCTGGACTCGACACAACCAAGGCCATCGGTGCAACAGAATGAGGAAATCGCTGCTCGCTAATCACGTGAAGACATACCTCTAGGAAGTATTCGCGTCAGTCACAAGTTGGACGTCTATAACAGTTCGAGGACTAGCAACAGCCCGAGTATCTTTGCTGGTACAAGCGCTTTGGCTGCGGTACCGGTGATATACGCATCGCCGTTGCCATCACCTTTGCGAAAGACTTGGAGGGAGAGCTGGAAGGATAGGAGCCAATGGCTGAAGTCTTAGAGAGATGTTACGATCTCACTCACACCGGGGAGTAAGGACGCTTTTGGGAGTTCAAAGTGGAGTCGTGACAGATGTCTTGAGGCTGATCATGCTACATAATCGTCCTTGTAAGATTAATACTAGCAAATATGAGACCATCTTTGATAGACTATATTAAAATGGTTACCTTAGATCTCGTCATGTGATCTTTGCTCACAGACAGTCAAACCAAATCATCCTAGGAGTGCCTTCTTTACAGCTTCTACCTCTTCCGTATTTCCGCAGATTAGACCACCGCGCTCATCGGTATCCTCAACACTCGTCTCCAACACCCTCTTTCCTGTCGCAGAGTCCAACGCCATGCCCCCTGCACACTCTACAATAAGCGCAATGGGCGCTAATTCATACAGCCTCCTTAGTTTAGCCTTGCTCTGCGCGGTAACAGGCGACACATAAACACCATGTCCCTTGACCAGCGCATGTACAACATCCGGAACCAACCCACCACTATAGCGAAGCGTGTACTTTTGTGTGATGAAGTTGTTGATCAGGGCCAGATATGCGGGTGACTCGGCAGCTGCACGCATGTTTGCGGGTGCAAAGTATCGTGTTTTGAAAGGCGGAGCGGAAAGTTTGATGTCCTTTCTAATGACTTCTACAGTGCCATCGTCCGAGTATCCGACTTCAAAACATGTCCCTTGTGATCCAGGAAGTCGAAGCGCGACAATAGCAGTTGTCCGCGGTCCTAGCACACCCAAAATGGAGGCGATTTGTGCTTCATCGGGGTTTTGATGCAGGGCAGATGGTCCGTCCCAGATTCCGATGATGGTGCCTACACTCCAGTTTGGTGCAATGATGGAACTGCCGTCCAGTGGGTCAAAGGCTAGGGTGTACTGCTTCTTGGACTTGGTGGCTTCATTGCTGGGCGGTGATGACTTTTCAATGGGGTCTTCCTCACTGCTTGCGGTTACGATGGCTGGGCATGAGGCAATGGTTTTTCGGATGGCTTCTTCGGCTAGGACGTCGACGTTTAGTTGGTCATCACCAAAGGCGTTGGCAGTACCGACTTGTGTTACTGAGGGAGAAGTCCGGAGGTGTCCGGCTATGGTGTGGATTGAGGAGAGCAGGGATGGAAGTACAGAATCCCGAAGTTGGGGGTGTGAGGATGAGATGTGAGAGTGTAGATGGTATGTTAAATCTGAGGAAGACATGATCGTAAATCCTTAGGTATTTAATAAGTTTTTCATGTAATCTGTGTCGTTTTGATGTGCCACGAGATTTAAGGCTAGATGTTGGTAGTAAGGGAGTGTGTAGAGAAATTCTCATTCTACTAGTGTCGGTGCCAGATGTGACGTCGTGGTGGAGTTCGGGGAGTTTGGCAAGTCTAGCAGCTCCACAGCTGTTCCACTATTAGATGACCATCAATCTCACGACTTCAACTGTCTAAATCTAAAGGTTCGCTCTTTTTCTCCAACTAGTTACTGATTGGTCAATGCCTATGTGACGATGAAGACGCGTAGTTCCTGCTTGAGATGCGGTTACTGCGGGGTAGCTTGAGGCTGGGCCTTGCACCGTGAGTAACCGTGACAATTGCATCTTCCCGCACTTCACGTCATCACACATCTCGTATCATAGTTATTCGCGCTACCTGCCTATCCCATCGCTATCAATTGGAATGCCTCAAATCCTCAAAATCGCTTCCGCGCAATCGCGCACCCTCTCCACAACGGCCGAAACCATCGACGCGCTCGAAGCTACCACCAAACGCGCCGCCACCCAGGGGATTGATGTACTTTTGTTCCCCGAAGCATACCTGGGCGGATATCCTCGTACTTGTACTTTTGGCGCAGCGGTTGGCGCACGCGCTCCCGAAGGCCGCGAACAGTACTTGCACTATTTCAAGGATGCTGTCGATCTGGGCGATACACCGAGCGGCGCTGGGCAAGATTGGGTAGACAAGAAGCTGGGATTACCCAAGGGTAGAGATTATAGGGGCGATGGGACAAGAGAAGAGCTGGAAAGAATTGCGAGAGAGACGGGTGTCTTTATCATTACCGGCTTGGTGGAGAAGTCTGGTGGGACATTGTATTGCGGAGTCGTCTTTGTAGACCCTAAAATGGGCTGCCTGGGCAAGAGACGCAAGGTCATGCCTACCGGTAGCGAAAGGCTGATTTGGGGAATGGGGAGTGCGAGCACTCTGAGGGCTGTCACAACGGAGATCAAGGGGGTGAAGCTATGCATGGGGTCGGCCATTTGCTGGGAGAACTACATGCCCCTACTGCGGCAGAGCCTGTACAGCCAGAACGTTAACCTATGGTTCGCGCCAACAGCAGACGCGCGTGATACCTGGGCCGCTCTGATGCGGACGGTGGGGTGCGAGGGCCGCTGCTTCGTTCTGAGTTCCAATCAATGTGTTAAGAGGAGACATCTTCCTCCCTGGATATCGGAAGGAAAGAAAGAGGACCAGACAGAGTCACACAGCAATGGAGACGAGAGTGGTGTCGGAAGAAGAATGTCACAACCACGCACTGGGGCTGCAAGACGACGGAGCACCATTACGAAGACGCCGGAAGGCCATGAGATATGTTTGCCACTTCCCATAGGTGAAGCACCCGTGACAGACGACAATTCTTCAGCCATCGACTCAACACCGCATTTTGCGACCGAAGATGCAGCCAGTCTCAAGCAGCAACCTTGTACACAAAGAAAATCATCATATGGATATCGCGAAGACTTTGTGTCTCGTGGCGGCTCAATGATTGTCTCACCCCTTGGAGAAGTCATCGCCGGTCCGCTATGGGAAGAAGAGGATGAGCTGCTGGTGGCGGAAGTTGACTTTGAAGACTGTGAGCGCGGAAGGCTCGACTTTGACTCTGCGGGAAGCTACTCGCGCATGGACAGCTTCAAGCTGATTGTGGAAGGTCTTGATCTTAGCCCACCCCCGCTTTGAGCATCCTGAAACTCGGCATCAGAAATATGTATATTAGACGTTTGTCATACACAAACATTGTATGAGATAGTGGGCATAGCCTCAGGTTGTAATTGTTCTTTGTCCAGATACGCTTCTTTGACTCACCATGCCAAAGAAACGAACTCTTTCCCGTACAATTTACCCTCTTACTCACTTAAACCACGACCACAACCACAATGAAGTTCGTCGCAAAACGTATTGAGCCATGCGCTGGTACTCCAGTTCACATCCTAACCTGCGGCCACACCGTCAGCGCCTCCTTCCTTCACCCAACAAAGTCCTCCAAATGCGCTCCAAACTGTAAAGCTGTAGATCTAGTAACGGCAGCTGAGCCGTGGTTTCTATGCCCGATATGCTGGGAGGCTATTCTCCACGCCCAATTCGACATCTTCAAGAATCGCGCTCAGCACGTGAGTGAGATAGACAAGATGGGTGAGAACGACATATACACTCAGCACAAACAACAGGGTGTGATTGACGACGAGAACACTTTTCTACAATGGCATAAAGTACAGTCTGGGCGTTCATCTTTCCAAAACGCAGTCCAAGCGACGTACAAGTCCAAGGTAGACAGTGAGGGATTCCGTGGTTGCAAATTGGTTACCGTCTAGGCTTAAAAAGAAAGCTAAAATCTTAGCATATCCAGCAAAAAAAGCAAAAAAGAAAGAAGACTTGTCAAAGGACGTGACCGAAGCCCAAGGGGCTCGAACCCTCAACCTTTGGTGTAACAGGCACAAGCCGAAAACCAACGCGCTACCATTGCGCCAAGGCTCCGAGGAGGAGTTTGATGAAAGAATTGGGAAGTTGAAATAATATATTGGGAGTTGTAAAAGCTCGGGCGGGAAAACGAGAGGATGTGTTGTGGGTCAACTAGTGGGGTAGAAGTTTAGCCCCACCCTCACCACGTATCTTCACCGTTTTGTTTGGAGCGCGCAAACTGAAGCTTAGAGTCGCAACATTGAGTTGTACATTGGTTACCACATATCTTCACATGTTTAACAGAAGAAAAGCTAGTTCCGAGAACAGTATTGGTAGAACGAGCACGTATCATTCTTGCATTTTACATCTATTTTCTTACAAACTTGCTATTATTTGCTGGGGTAGCAAGGAACATGTGCAAACACTGTACGTCTTTACGCCAGACTTATGCAATCGCTAATCAACAAGAGATGCTACGACGCGCCAAACTGGACAACCAACATCGACATGATCAGTTACGCGGTTTCCGCCATAACTCATCGGGATCGAGTTGCCGTGTAGAGACGTCGTTGCTGGACTGTGACGCCGAGTACTCTATACCACAGGAGCCGCGATCAAGAGCAAGTGTATTCAGATCCCAGTGCAGCTGCTCAGAGGGATCAGTCGCCAAGCTTGTACGCGTACGACCCTGTGGTTGAAGTTGTGCGGGATCGACGGTGGAAGTATTTGATGTCATTAGGGACAAGGATAGGGAGTCTAGCTCAGTCGCAAATTCCATTTCCTCGGTACTGGCCTCCAGCGCCGAGCAGATGTTGCTGGGACGCATCTTTGCTTTGAGCTCCATTTCGTAAACTCGCTGGTCTCTGGCAAACTCTGCTTCTAGTTGTCGATGCTCGGCGTACCATTGGTCATATTGCTCTTTCGTCATCTGCTCCATGGGTGGGTATGTAGCATTGTGCTGAGCCTTTCGTTCTTCCCAGATCTTTGATGTCTCGGACTGGATGCATTCGTTACACATAAAAGCGGCATCGACAGCGTTGCCGTAAGGCTCGACACAGTTCGTACCGCAGTCCTCGACTAGATCCGTTCGGATGCGGTGAGAGCAGAGAAGCTGATGATAGAGGCGACCCTGACAGGGAGCAAAGCGCTTCGAGCGGACATTGTTAAGTGTGGAAGTTGGTAGTGGTTGGGTTGAGGTGGCGAATGGTGAGTCTGCGCCCTCGTCTGGGGTGCTGGTCCATCCCCATCTACACGACATAACCAGGTTTGCGTGCGAGATGGTATCGTTGGAAACCTTGGAGGCTGGCGCTGACCGGAAAGCGCTATTTGAAAAGTCCATGGTTGAGTTTCGTGTTCGGGTCGGAATCGGCGTTGGTATGCAGATGCCTTAAGGTCGATGGAGGGAAACGAGTGTGGTTTGGGCGCTAGTTTCAATACAGACTATCAAGGCCTCTTGTGTTTAATCGATGTGGTTTGTATGGTCTTGTGAAAGTGCATCGTGTGTGCACAGGGCGCTTCAAGTCGTGTAACGCTACCACGGAGCGCTCAATCTGGTATTGCGATGCCTGCTTACTGTACTCAGAGGCAAGTGAAGCGGACGGTAGGGGTACTATTGATAATGGAACCCGGGAGGATGATGTGCAGCTAGGATGGAATGCAGGCGGGAGAGCTTGATCACTCGCGACGCGCAGCGCCAGGTTCGTGATGGGCGCTAAGCCCGATGACGCCATGGAACCTTCCAGCTCTGCCCCGCCCAGCCGAAACCCAGCCACTTATCCAACGCTTCGGGGCAGTGATGGCATCACAACGATACATCGAGAAGTTCTCAGCAAAATCTACTACATCTGTGACAAAACGAAAACAATCAATGTCGCGCGACGGGAAAAGCAATATAGGGAGACCAATCAGTTTCTTGCTATACGCGTCTTTCTCCTGACTACACTACTAGGTCTCACTATCCAAGACTTGGCCTGATTCAGGTACCAGGCGTCGCTATTGAATTCTTACACCAAAAACCTGAATCCGTTTTCCGCCCCAGACCCAGGTACAGCATTGATTGCCCCTTCGACGTGTTCTCCTCGATCAAGCTTCTTGTTCAGCCGTCCGAGGATGATGCGCATAATGACGGTCATGATAATCGCCAACGCCGCCGTTGCACAGTCGACACTCAACGGCAATGTCAAGTTCGGCTGGCCCTTCTTTGGCTGCGGATACATATAACTCGCATAGATGGAACTCGAGTTACTAACCGCGTTGATGAATGCCAGGGCCGCTGCCCTCTTTGCCGGTGGACGTGGGAGCGAGTTCGATATCCAGGCCAAAGCAACCACGTAGCCGGTATAGACACCGGGTACCATCAACATCATGGCGACGTATCGGGGTGCCGTGGAGGTAGTGGCGGCTGCGAGGATAAATGCTGCTACGCCGACGCAGAGAGGCCCAACGATATGGAAGAAACGTTCGCCTGTGCGATCGGCGTGCCATGCGTTGAGGTATGTTGTTATGACAGCGAGTACGTACGGCGGTGCAGTCAGCAACAGCGTCTCGATGTTCGGGTATCCGAGTGTTTTGACAACTGTTGGGAAGAAGTTTGTAACACTGGCAGAGGAGACGATCGAGAGGAGCATGATCGTAAAGACCCATGTCTTGATATCGAGCAGAGCCAGCTTCAGACCATGGAAAAAGGTTTGTGATTCCGCGGATACCCAATCGTCCTCGCCTACGTCTTCCTGGAGTCGGTACACGGCTAGCTGGCGCTCTTCCTCTGTAAGCCAGGAGGTTGTCCGCGGAAAATTGGGAAGGATAAAAAATGCTGTAGCAGCGATTGCGACGGTGATAATCCCTTCTAGGATGAACACCCATCTCCATGCGCGCAGTCCCTGCGTGCCGTCCATATTCGTGGTAATGCCGGCGGTAATCAATCCACCAAATGCTCCGGAAATCAAGGAGCCAGAGTAGAGCACCGCAGTCCTAAAACCCAACTCCTTTCTAGTGTACCACGCACTGAGATAGAACAAGCAGCCCGGGAAGTATGCTGCTTCGATGAATCCTAGAAAAAATCGACACGCCACTAGACCGCCAAAACTCTGGCATGCGCCTGTAGCACCAGATATAATACCCCAGACAATCATACACGTGGGGAGGTAGATGGCTGGTTTACCGGTCTTGTTGAGGAAGAGGTTCGAGGGGATCTGCATTAAGATGTAGCCAACGAATAGGATGGAGACGGTTGTCTGTGAAAGGTTAACATCTGGCCTTGTCACATGGCCAAGGGTGTAGTAATGAAATACCTGATATTGGACGCTAGTAAGATTCAATTCATCTTGTAGTCCTGCCAAACGAACAGCAGCGATGTTATTTCTGTCAAGGTAATCTAGTATGGATCAGCCTTCAGTCTACAATCAATTCCAAAGATACTCACTCATAATATACATCAAAATAATCATAGGAAGCAGCCTGGTATCAATCTTTCTCCTCAACCTTTTCTCTGCCTGTATTCTCTCCTCTACACTCATGGCCTCCACTAACGGCGGTGCGACAAGCTTCCTATGCCCATCCACAGGCCCAGCCTCCAGACTTGTGGGCGAAATCCTATCATCATCAACCGACACGCGCTCCACGGAAGCCTTTGCGTCGTAATCCGCCGCCGTCGCCATGTTCACAAGAAAAGCAGCAGCTTTGTGCCGAGCAGAAAGGTACGTTGGATGACCAGCCGTGCGCACGTCGCAGCAGCGTCAATTAATCAATAAGTCCCAAGACGAAGGTGGGAAGAAGGGCAACAAGAGACACCAAGCAAACAAGGCGGGGGAACCAAGCATCCACTTAAACGAAGCTTGACCCCGACCCAAGCCTAACAAGCCTACAAGGGTAGCTGTGCTTTGTCCTGCCTGCCTGCGCCATGTACGTCGTTCGTAGTAGTAGCTACATACATCACGGGGACGCAACATGCCTAAACCAACCTCGCCGTCCTATCCACACGGCCCACCTTTCCCAAACTCGACGCCGTCTAGGAAAAGGCGGCCCGCCAAACCATGTGTCGAATACGACATCATTGGACGATCTGGGCGCAAAAGGTGCTGATGCAACGCTGTGATGGGTGCTGGGCGGGGATAGGCGAAAAAGGCGGTTAATATAAACTGCGGGGTGATGCTTTACCGAACCGGAACCGAAAAGCGTCATTGGATCCAAGAAAGGTTGGGTCGGTTGGTTACACGGCAGCGGGGGAGTCAGAAGGCTTGTGGGGTTGGTTTGGGTAGAGATGATGCGGGGGATTGTGGATAAGGAGCATGTGGTTTGCTCCATGTTCTTTTGTCCGATGGTCAAGAGGTACGGATTTTTATGTATATTGAACATGCACAGCGACGGCTCTATAGAACTAGCGGTAGTATTATTAGTCCGGGACACGATACAGTGCTAGCCCAAGGTAGACTTTATGTGCCTGCGATAGAATGAGACCAAGTTATGAGAGTAAGAGAATATATATGAACAAACTAGATATGTATTGAAAAGCTGGCACTATTAGTAGTAGTATGACTACCTAATAGAGCGCTCTCTAAGGCACAACGGTAGTGGTGGTACGACTCGTATTGTATTGACTAAGGAGCTATTCACACGTTCGTAGATCCGTGTTGCGTGCAGCTGCGTCCAAGCTCCCCGCTAGGACCCACCTGCACGTGTCACCAATCATGTGACTACTCCTCCGCTTGATACCACCAAGTCACTTACGGACTGTATTCTCAACAATATGTCTATATTGCCCAATTACAAGCCAACTATTGCACCAAAATGTACATGATCAAGCAACTGTAGGAACACAGTAGAGAACTCCCAACGTGAAAATATATAGACATAGGAATGATATTTGTACTGACAGGAGTGTTGATCATCAGCCTGGTACTACTACTACTACACAACGAAGGAGATAAATTTAGTTTCCTACACACCCCCTCTTTCAACTAGCCTCTTCTTCCCTGCTCGAACCATCATATACGTAGCAGTAGCAGAAAGTCCAATCAACTCCATTTCACTCAGACGCCAGCAACAACAACAGCAACACCAACCCCAAACAAGTTGATCCATGTGCTTTCGTATGTGTGTGCGCGCGCGCAAACCCCCCCCCCCCCCAAGACCCGATAAACAATGCATGCTCGCTTCAAAACGCCAGAAAAAAAACGGCAAAAGAGCTTAGGATATGATAGTAAGTCATTTTTTGCTCAGACATTTGCTTTGCTTTGCTACTTTTGCAATTCCATGGGAGAACTGTGCAAAATAGCCGTCAGTCCGACTGTGCCGATTTCTCTCACCGTGTCTCCGGACCAGTCCTGACAAGAAAGGAAAGCTGAACGATGGGGTATAGTTGAGAAAGATTTGTAGGTAAGATCTTTGGAAAACAATACAAAAGAAAATTTTGACCATGGGACTCTGGCCTCAAAGATGCCTCGGTCGTGGTCGGACGCCAGCCTCAGTTGCGCTACGCACTCTGATAGTGGGTCGTTGGATCTCTGGTGTGTTTGCCATTGCAGCATCGTAACTGGGAACAGGCGGACTTGTTTGACCAGTTGGTTGTTGATTTTGTAGGAGCGAAGCTCGCTCGCCCCAGTAGCCATGCTGGCGATCAGCTGTGGTTCTTAGGCTAGGCGAGCCAACAGGACTAGTGTATTCGGGAGGAAGTTCGCCAGGTTGAAGGAAGCCGAGGCCTTGATCAGCTGCAATGGTCGTTCGGTGGTCCTCGCTAGAGCCTTCGCCAATGTCTTCGTTTGAGTCTACCAGGCTAAGGGCTGCCAGTGAGATGTCTGTAGGACTCCGTTGGGGTCCTGGACTTGTCGGTACTTGTCTTCCGAGACGCATTTGGTGGCTACTAGACCGTCCATGCCCGAATCCTGCTTGCATATAACTTCCGCCCATGCCCTCTCTTATACCTTCACGACCAGAGTCCAGTAAAATTGATCCTTGTTCACTTCCGTACGGTGGTGGTGGTGCGAGACTTCCAGTTTGCGGTGCTAGACCCCACTTCTTTACATTGGCTTCGATAAAGACGAAGCCCATCTGGCCAAAGTTGACATGTACCTGGCACGGGCCGTTTGCACCGACTGTGGGAAAGAAGTTTTGTGTCTTGAGACCGTGGGCGACGTCCTCGAGCTTCTTGCCGTTTCGGGTGAAGAACAAGGTTCCGGTTCGAGGGCGATATCCAACACCGATGACATCTCCTTGGACGTAAGCAGGACCATAGGCAGAAGGGTGGAAGGGCTGGTTGTGTCGGCGATTTCCGTTAGACATGTATGATATCGAAGACTTGTGGTAACCTGTTGTATGTTAGGATATGAAACAAGCTGGGGTATGTTCATGGACGCACCTGGTAGCCTGAAAAGCGGGTACGGCTTCGTTGTCACGCCAATCGCGATGCTAGTGTTCTCGGGCTTCTCGTAGACCTTGGCTTCCCAGTAGTAGACCTCGTTCTGTTTTGGTATGGGTAGGTTGCTTTGGACGCTGCACTCAGAGTCGAAGAATTCGATTTCAGTCCGGCCCTCTACGAAGCAGTTTGCAATCTCGAGTTCTGGCTCGAATTCCCAGGCCGATACACCCTTCTCTTGGATAGCCAGGAACTGTGAGAGGGATATGTCGGTCTGGACGGACTCGGGCGGGTTAGCCTGCACAAAGGCTGCGGTGGGTCAGTGGGGGCTCCTTGCAAACGGACGCACGACAGCCACGAAGAGGCCATACCTTTTGCCCTCATATACTCTGTTCTCTGCAAATCGTCCATTTCCTCCAGTGCCTCGGCCTCCTCCTTGGCAAATTGCTGCTCATCGTCATATTCACCCGGCCGTGTTATCCGGTCGAGGAAGATGCGGCCTTGGTTGGTGTATCGGAAATAGTAAACAATGGCGGCGATGATGAGACACACTCCCGCAGCGCCCAGCACGGAGAAGATGCCGATCATGATTCCCTTGGCCGTGGAACCGAGTGAGTTGCTCTGTATCCGTATGACATCGTGGTGTGAGTTTCGGTGTCCTGTGAGCATTGAGGGCGGTGCGGATGGGGCGTGGACGCTGGGATAGTAGGCCTTATGGAGCGTCGTCGGCGGCGGTCCGGCCTGTAATAGTTCCTGGGGAAGCATTGTGCAGTACAAGGGGGGCGCGGTCTTGGTTGGGGGGTGATGAGGAGCTTGCGACGCCGACCAGGCAGTTGCGGTGGGCGCAGCAGCACTCTTAGTCGTGTGAAGTCGCGGGCAGGTGTTGGTGGAGCAGCGGGGACCAAGGTAATGACCAGCGGCAGGCGAAGGCAGTGCTGATAATAAGAACAGCGACGCGATGGGAACGTGGTGTTATCGATGCGGATCGCTGCCGGCAGCAGTGCGATATACCGTCGTCGTCGACGGAGAGGGTGAAGGAAAGGCGTCGAAGCGTGATTGTGGTTCGGGTTGGTTGCGCGATCCGCTGAGACGTCAACTGCCACAGCTTCTTGGCTTAGTTGGCGTGGGAATCGCTGCCTTGCCACCTCCGCTCACACGACACACTCTTCAGCGGGAGCCAACGGGTCCACTGGTCTGCCGATCTATCCGTTGCAGTATCGCGTTGGCGTCGAAAATGCGCATGCGCAGGAACAGAAAGTACTGTAGGTAGACGTAGGCCAGAATCAATTGAAGCCCTCTTCATCACTGTGCTGTTTGCGTCGCGCAGCAATCCAGACTGAGACACCAAGATGAGTATGCATGGCCACGACAGCCCGCTTGCAGCATCAGCATCCTTCTCGAACCCTCGCATGAGATGCGGCAATTTCTCCCGCCCACATTGCTGCTACCTGCGCCTGTGTGCGCAAAAAGGCCCTCCGTGCACGACATTGCTTTTGCAAAGTCCCAAATCTAGCCCTACACCCCCAAATCCCAGATAGGACTGAAGTCGAGACTCAGCCACGACTGTGCGGTAGACGCGCGGGGACTTTAATGTTTGAAGCATCGAACCAACCACTCACTGTCCAAGGCATGACAATTATGAAACACTGACATGGCAAGGCTCCTCTAAAAGCGCTTCAGACGAATACGTCTGTGCCTGGCCTAAGATAGCCCTTACACGCTCCAAACATTGTCTAATTGTAGCATGCACCATATCTTTCCGCGGCAGACTAGATGGGCCTAGCCCGCGTCCATGATAGAACTGCGGGTGCTGTCAAGACCGATCCATCTCCGAAGTTCCTCTGCAGGATGATTTCTTCACATACTTCGCGTGCATATCACCTTTTTCCATTTCAATGTTCCCTGCAGGGACAGATTGCAAGCCTGCGCGTCTTGCAGATTCACACATGCAGCCTTGCGATATCACGCCAGGTCTGATCTACCAGTGACGTCAGCCACACCATGATGTCAAAGCTGACATCCGAGCTTCCATGACACGCAGCATGGGATATAGGGACGCTATTGAAATTAGGAGACGAGTCGAAATTGATCGAAATAGCTTCGTATTGGTACATGAAGGAGACAGCAGGCTATGCAATAGGATCCGATTGTATTTCCGCTCCAGTATGCACGCGCACTCTGTGTAACACCTGTAGTCATATTCTCCATATACGCATCCACACCCACCGCTTCATCACATCCTGCCGAGCACACATCCAAAGAACAGTTTCCACTCCGGTTATCGGAACCTTTGTGTCCCATAGACTGAGAACCGGGACCCTTATTTTTGCATGGATCTAAAGACGGCAAGTCCATACAAAACGATACGTTCAAAGTCTTCGACAGCATCCTTGAGAGATGGGACGCTAAAGTCGCATAGAGGACTTGGAGGTTCGTGGGGTGTACTGACTGGTCTGTCGCGAACATGTTGAAAGAACGATGATTTGAGGTTGAGCCGGGAACGAGCGGCAGCACTTGGTGTCGTTACTGTGTAACATGGTACTAAGACCCATCTTGACACTCAGAAGGGGTAGTACGTTATCTTGGGGGCTTTCCAAAGCTTATTTCGTTACGGATAGCAGAACTAAGACCATGCTCTTGAGCTGATGAAGAGCTGCTTGTCAGTGCAAAAGATGATACCAAGCCGCCGTTGTGTTGATCTGGTTCTGAAGAATCCAAATGATGGCCGCGTTGAGCACAGAATTCTATTATCGGCAGGAGAAGACGAGGCTTATGTGGCACGCCATATGAAGATTATGTGGGCAGTGAGAGAATCGGACAACTGCCCATCAACGCTGTACCGCTCACTGTGGGGAACGACCCCGTCTGTGTGACATTTGTTATCGGTGCTGGGTGGAGACCAGTCGGTTTGATATGTCTTGCTTGCATGTACAGCAAGTATCGGAGTCGTTGGGTAGATCTGATGTGTGATATGTAGTCACCTGCATGGGTGATGTCCTTGAGACAGCCATGATGGTAATACAAAGCATTGTTTCGTATGCAACGGAAGCAGCAAATGAGTACTAGCCGAGCACGTTGCTTGAGGTGACGTTCGTGGTCATTGTCTCGCTTTCAAAGACCTTGTTTCTTGCCTGACATGTACAAGTGGATGTTAGGCGTAGGTGTCTGCTAGACGGAGAGCAAGCATGCCATGACCGCATTCATATAGCAGGGTTTTGATGGCTCCTTGATAGAATCACTTTTTTTATTACTAATGCGTCAGATCTAAACAGCAAAAAGCAGACATCGGACTTGGATCAGTTTGGTTCCATCGTGCTTGCATGGGAAGTGACGGTCAAGGAAAGCTCGGAAGTTTGGAAAGAGCCATGGACGTAACTGCAAGGCACGTGATGATTCCAAAACATCCTAGACAGGCTGGAAACGGAAGCAAATGAGGCCAGAAGTTCGCAGGAACAAGCTGAGGCAATTCGTTTAGGGCAGGACAGCAGCACAAAGAAGTGTGGTACGACGGACCGCTATTGTGTCGTGCAACGTGGCTGGCTGTCGCCGCTCTATCGCCTCTAAACAGCGGGAACATCTCATGGCTCGACACAGCGAGGGGTCTTGTTTTTTGGGGCTGTTGGCGGTGTGCAAAAGTAAGAGCTGGAACATATCTGGCTCGAGTGTCCAGTCACCCATTGTCGCCGTCGTCGCTCTCGCCCTTTCCAAGCGAGCCAGCCCAGGTTAAGACACTTGTAAACAGGCGGGTCGCCGCCCCAGTAAATGCGCACTCGCAAAACTTTCGACCGCTTCCCACGCTGAATCGCTCTGGAAGGTCGTCGAAGCGTCAAACTCAGCCCAACATCCTCCCATAGACGACCCTGAGCCCGCTGTCGTGCCATTTAGCCGTTGCACTGCAGCCCTGTTCTCACCCAAGGCTGCCGGAACCCTCGATTGGCCTACTGCACCTATCCGCTCGTGCCCCCCGCGTCTGTCTTTTAGCAAACTTGTTACGCGCATGTAAATTATTCCAGACTACACAACGTTGTCAAGCACGCGCGCGGGAAAGAGCATGGTTGTCATTGTCGTCTAAGACTGGCATTATCTGAAGGCGAAGCTGGTGGGTTGTCCCGATGCCCCTCAATTTGTCCAATTCGTTCAAGGGCTTTGCCATCAGAGCTAACCATGAAGCGTACCAGCAGAACACGGTTAAGCCGACAAGGTCAACTCTTTTTTCGCCCATCCCACTCACCCCTACTTACAGTGCAGCTCTACCATCCTGCACATTTCTACTCCAGGGCTGCTCGTCGGCGCTCCTTTGCTCCCTCCCCGCACTGCACTGCACACCACACCACTCTCCATCATGGCGTGGCAACCCCAAGAGGAGCCTCTGCGCCAGCTCACGCAGTGCCTGAGGGACTCGCTGAGCGGCCATGACCAGAATGCGCGAAAGAATGCCGGTGAGGTCAGTCTGTTCCACCCGCGCATCCGTCCATTGCAGTGTGTGTGCTGATCGTGTCGACTACACAGATGCTCAAGTCTGCGCAAAGCTCACCGGATATCGACAAGTACCTGGCCTACATTCTCTCGAGTAGCCAGCCCCCGCCATCAGTCAACATGGATGCCCCTGGCTACTTCCAGGCGCGTGCTGCTGCTGCTGTCATGCTCAAAAACGACGTCAAGTTGGGATACAAGGCCATGCCCGACTCAACCAAAGACTACATAAGATCGGTGATTCTGGTTGGACTGCAGGACTCAACCTCACAAATACGCGGATATGTGGGAAACGTCATAACAGAGATTGTGCGCCAGGGAGGCATCATGGGATGGCCTCAGATTCTGTCGGAGCTTGTCAACATGGTTAGCAATGCCGATGGCAATGTCTCGACACAGGCGCAAGAGGGCGGAATGGGTGCTTTGCTCAAAATATGCGAGGACAACAGAAAGGCCCTCGACAAGCAATACCAGGGTCAGAAGCCATTGAGCTTCGTTTTTCCAAAGCTCCTCGAGCTCACAACAAGCCCGCGGCCCCAGGTCCGCGCCGACGCATTGGCTGCCATCAACGTATTCGTCCCCGAAAAGCCCGAAGCTGTCGTCTCTAATATCGATACCTTGCTGCAACAACTCTTCACCCTGGCTAGCGATCCGAGTGAAGATGTGCGCAAACATGTCTGTCGGACCTTTGTCCACATCGCCGATATTGCCCCGCAGAAAATAATACCACACATGGACGGATTGGTCGAGTTCATGGTGACACAGCAACGCACACCGAACAATGCGGACCTGGCCCTAGATGCAGCCGAGTTCTGGTTATGTGCAAGTGAAGATGAGAAGATGCGAGATCATCTTGGTCCGTATCTCTCAAAGATAATACCTGTCCTGCTTTCGAGTATGGTGTACAGTGAAGACGAGATCTTGCGTCTTGAGGGCGAAGAGGAAGACTATGAAGTCGAAGACCGGGAACAGGACATCAAACCTACTTTTGCATCCACCAAAGCCGGACGACTCACCAATGCAAACGGCGAGGCCGTATCAGCTACCAACGGAACGACTGAAGCTGCGGCTGAGAATATCGACGACGATCTTAGTGAGGGCGAGATCGATGATTTCGACGATGAAGATGAGTTTGGTGACCCGGAAGAGCAGTGGAACCTTCGAAAATGCTCTGCTGCGGCTCTTGATGTCCTCGCCTCCGTCTTCCACGAAGCCGTATTTGCAGCCACCCTACCCTACCTGACAGATAACCTGAACCATCCTGAGTGGCCGAACCGAGAGTCTGCAGTTCTTGCACTTGGTGCCATTGCCGATGGCTGTATGTCGGTGGTCGAGCCACATCTCCCCATGCTGACACCTTTCCTGATTACTCTACTGGAAGATCCCAAGCCTGTCGTTCGCCAAATTACCTGCTGGTCGCTCGGCCGTTACTCAGGGTGGGCAGCACATTTGGACCCAGACGGCAAGAAGAAGTTCTTTGAGCCAGTCATGGAGGGTATCCTGATGAAAATGCTTGACAGGAACAAGCGGGTTCAGGAAGCAGCCGCGTCTGCCTTTGCTAACCTCGAAGAAAAGGCGAATGTAGAGCTTGCAGAGTACTGTCCTGCCATAGTTCGGCAGTTTGTCCAGTGCTTTGCCATGTACAAAGATCGTAACATGTTCATCCTCTACGATTGCGTTCAGACACTAGCTGAGCACGTCGGGCCTAAGCTGGCAGAAGACGCACTCGTCCAAACACTTATGCCAGCGCTCCTACAACGCTGGAATAAGGTATCTGATCAGTCGAGGGAAATGTTTCCGCTGTTGGAGTGTCTTTCATACGTTGCGACGGCCCTCGGACCCAAGTTTGCACCATATGCAGCCGGCATATTCGCCAGATGCATCAAAATCATCCATCGCAACCTTGAGGAGGGTGTCATGGCTGCAGAGATCAACGGCTTTGAACCTCCAGACAAGGACTTCCTGGTGACAAGTCTAGATCTATTGAGTGCCATCATCCAGGCTTTGACTTTGCAGGACAGTGCGACGCTGGTTGCACAAGCACCAACTTTCTTCCAGCTCTTGGCTGTCTGCATGAGGGATCAAAACAACGATGTTCGGCAATCAGCCTATGCACTCCTTGGAGATTGCGCCATCTATGTCTTCCAACAACTCCAGCCTTGTCTGCCTGACATCTTGGCTATTCTAATCACCCAACTTGACGTTTCCGACGTACAGTCCGACGGTCTTGAAACATCATACTCGGTCATCAACAACGCCTGCTGGTCCGTTGGCGAGATCGCAATGTGCCACAAAGAAGGCATGCAGCCCTACGTGGAGAAGTTGTTGCAAAAGTTGGGTACGATCCTATTCGACGACAGGGTCCCAGAGTCCTTGAACGAAAACGCGGCAATTGCTCTGGGTCGACTAGGCCTCTCAAACGCCCCATCACTCGCCGTACATCTCGCTCAGATCGCACCTGCTTTCCTCCGTGCCATGAAGAAGGTTCAGTGGACAGACGAGAAGTGCCATGCACTTACCGGCTTTATGCTCATGGTATTAGCTAATCCCGGTGCCATGGAGCAGTGTCTACTTCAGTTCTTCAGCGACATGTCGATGGCAGACCGCAATGTCGTACGGGGTCCTGCAGGACAACAGGTCCAGGAGACGTTCCAGAAGGTAAGACCATGTCCACAGACGACACGTACAATTCACTCACATTGTGAACAGGTCATACAGCAGTACAAGGGCATGATCGGAGACTTCGACGGCTTCATCAGCGGTCTTCCGGCCGACCAGCAAGCCCGCTTCCGAGATCTGTACAGCTTCTAAGCGTCTCAATTCCAATTATCATTTTATGTGGCACAGCGGGCGTTGAATAAGGATGTATGGCTTAGAGGAAGAGAAGGAAATACCAAAAGGTGGGTTCGCAACGGGCACGCCACTGGGCGAATGTGTGTGTATGTGTGTATTCAACTTCCCAAACTATACAAAGGAAAAGGGGGAAACCATGAAAGCATTTACGGCAATGGGGGGTTCTTCAGCGGCATCCATAGACATTTTCTTTTTACCTATCCAGCAAGCGAACCATTGTGTTTTTTTTTCACGACGCATGACATTTCCCAGGCGTTGGCAAAGTGCTGTTATGGGTCTTGTCGCGTCAAGGACTGTTTATTTGTTTTTGATCTTTCTGTCCATAGCCAAAGTAGATAGCTTAGCTTAGTGTTCAATTCTGACATGTGTCTTGTCTGCACATATTATATATACATATCCTAGGTGCACATGTAATAGTGCTTGGGTGATGTGACTTTGATGATGGTGTCGCTCTTGCCGAGGCACAGAAGTGACATTAAGGCGTTGGCGAGTAGATTTCTTACTGCTCGGATGAGCGTTATCCGGAAACAAGAATTATCTGGATATTAAGGTTCGGTCTGAGACAATGGCTTCTAATAGTAGGTCTTATGCTTTCCGTAGCAAGACGGTATCATGTTCTCTCTTTCTCTTGATCGAGGTGCAAGTCATAGCCTTACATTGCATCGCCACTTTCATTAATTATATCGCCGAGTTTATATATGTTTCGCGCTAGCGGAACCACGTAGAGGGCACAAGATCAATGTTTAAGACAGTTCCACAGCATTTTCTAGTTATACGAGGAAGCTAGATTGTATTGGAACAAGGTCTCCTCTGGTGGTATGACTACCATAGGGAACCGAGTAGAGGTATGTTAGGTCACCACGTATTGGATTGAACTACACTAAGAGCTGTTGTTCTGTCTTCTTATTATCATGATGATCTGGGGATTTACATGACAGATCATCATTCCGCGTCGGTCCTTCTGCTCGGGCTTACTTCCACGAGCCTCATCCCCGCCGACCTGGACTGAACCTTACATCTTCTCAACACTCCCCCTCAGGGCAGGTCCGGTCTAAGGACAACTCCTAATTGGTTCTTGAATTTCTCGAATGCGACTCGCTGCAACGGCTTTGTCATTCCATCAGCCACCATATCTACAGTTGGCACGTAGGCCACGTCGAGTTTACCTTGTTCTGCTAGGTCTCTGATAAAATGATAACAGACGTCGATGTGCTTTGATCTTTCGTGAAGGTGAGGGTTCTTTGTAAGTGCAATGGCACCCTGGTTATCTCCTAGCATCTGGACCTTGTTGGTGTCTTTTCCAATGTACTTTGGGAACCCAAGATCTCTGAACATTTGAGCAATCCACTGGCCTTGCTTACAGCATGTTGATAGTGCGATGTATTCAGATTCGCAGCTTGACGTTGCAACAGACCGTTGCTTCTTGCTAGACCATGATATTGGACCTCCGTAGAACATTGCAGTGCTCCCTGAAACGCTCTTTCGGTCTACCATGTCGCTTGCCCAGTCAGCATCAGAGTAGATGACAAATTGCGAGTGTACTCCCCCTGGTCCGTAGCGTAGCTTCATTGTTACTGTCGACCTTAGATATCGTAGCAGGTTCTTCAACGCATGGCCATGATGTTCTGCTGGATCGCTCATGTATTGGCTTAGCTTTCCGAGGGTGAATGCAATGTCTGGGCGTGTAAGAACCATAGCAAACATAAGGCTCCCTATCACTTGCTGGTATTCAGTGATGTCGATTCGGGTGTCGTTGTTAGTGGCTGGCCTAAATGACGTGTAATCTGCGGATGGAATCTTCTTGTCTCTGTGTTGTTTGCTAGACATTCCAAACTTGTCAAGTACTGCGTGTATGTACTGTTCTTGATCGAGGTAGATTGTGCGGCGCTTTCTGTCTCGCGTAACTCGTACTCCAAGGATCTTATGAATCTCCCCTAGGTTCTTGGTGTTGAATCTTCCAGAAAGCTTCTTGTAGAACCAATCAATTTGAGCTCGATCTTTTGCGGCAACAGCAATGTCGTCAACGTAGACGAGGATACGGAGTTGTTTTTCTTCGTGGATAAACATGCACGGGTCGGCAAGGCTTTGCACGAATCCCCATGCCAGAAGTTCTTTCTTTATTAACAAGTTCCAGTCACGAGCAGCTTGTTTGAGTCCATATAGGCTGCGGAGAACTTTAAGGACGTATCCTTTCTTAACTTCTACTCCCTGGGGTTGCTTAAGAAAGATCTCTTCCTTCAAATGCGACTCTGTGAAAGCATTCTTGATGTCAAAGTGAAAACATTCTAGGTTTTCCGCTGCGACAGTGGCCATAAACAGACGTAAGGTGTCCATGCGAACTGTCGGGGCGAAAGTCTCGTTGTAGTCTGTTCCGTGTACTTGCGTAAAACCTCTTGCCACAAGGCGTGCCTTAAACCTCTCAACAGTCCCGTCGAGATTTGTTTTGACTGTAAAAACCCACTTTGAATCAACCATGTTCGCGTCTTTTGGCTTTGGAACTTCCTCCCAGGTTCGATTCTCCATTAACGCGATTATCTCTTCAAGTATTGCTGCTTTCCATTGCTTTCCATACTTTGGGTCGTTGATAGCTTGCTCGTGTGTCTGGGGGATCTGGATTCCTGCGATCTCGGTTGCTGCAAAAGCCTTCTCAGATAGTCGTGTTTGCTCTTCTATAAGGCCAGCTTGGGCTAGCATAGCTTTAACGATCTTGCTAAATCTCTCGTCCTCAACAACCTCTTCGTTAGACCTCTTTCGTTTGGCTTGTCTGGTGAAGTATCGTGGAGCCTCCTCTTCTCGTACAGACTGGGTATACGGTTCTTCGGGTCCCTCTTCGTCCACAAGATTAGGAACCCGCTCATCAGATGGTGCAGTAGGGGGAATAGTCGTTAGCTTCCCTGGTCTTCCTCTGTGACGCTTAACTGGTTCGGGAGTTAGCTCTGCCGACGACAGTTCTATTGGGTTCTCGGGAACTGGCTCCACTATTTCTGCAGGAGATGGTTCCATTGGTTCGACAGGAGATGGTTCCATTAGTTCGACAGGAGATGGTTCCATTAGTTCGACAGGAGATGGTTCTATTGGTTCTGCAGGAGATAGTTCCATTGATTTGGCAGGAGGTGGTTCCATTGGTTCTGCAGGAGATGATTCCAGATCCTTCCTAGGTCTTCCTCTTGGTTTTCGGTCTGGCATCGTATTCTGCGTCCCTTGTGGTCCAGCTGGTATGTTTCGCAGTCGTAGTTCAACTTTTCCTCCAGGGGTGTATTCGTCCACTGATAATCGGCTTGTCCTTGAGGTGTATCCAAGCTCTGGCGAATAGAACTTGAACTGCTTGTTTGTTGTCTCAGAATATCCCATGAATACTCCAACTCTGCCACGGTCCACGAGCTTGTCATGTCGTTGGTCTGCTGGAATCGTTTTGGGGTTGATGTAAGAATAGCATTTGCTCCCCCATACACGGATGTGGTCAATGGATGGTTTCGTTCCTGTGAATGCCTCTTCAGGACTGACTTGCTTTCCATTGATCGTGGGTCCTGTGTTTGTGCGGTTTCGCAGGTATGCGTCTGCTTCGACAGCTTCATCCCAAAACTCAATTGGTAAACCAGCGTCTTTCAGCATTGCTCTCATATCAGCTTCAGCGGTTTGGATGTTTCGCTCAGCTGGTCCATTCTGGTGTGAGGAAGCAATTGTTGTAGGCTGAATTTCCACGCCCTGTGTAACTCTCCATTCCTCGGCTTGCTGTAGAAGTTCTGGTGCGTTGTCAGTTCCAGCAGCTTTAACCTTTTCGCCAGTTTGATGTTCTACAAAGGTCTTCCAGATTTGGAGTTCCCTTTGTGCGTCTCCCTTTTTCTTCAGCGGGATAACCCAGTTTTTTCGCGTGTAACTGTCAATAATAAGGAGGAACCACCTGTTTCCTCGCAGAGATGTTGGAAAGGGTCCTGCAATGTCAAACTGTACTAAGGCTAGCTTCGTGGCCTTATGCTCTCTCAGCTGCTTAGGGATGCTGTTCTTCATTTTCGTCAGAGAACACACTTCGCAGATTTCTATCTTCTCTGGAACTTGAATCTTCTTCTGGAGAGTTGTAACTTCGTGGAGTTTAGCAATCTTTGCAGGTCCTAGGTGTGCGAAGCGTCTGTGATACAGCAAGTATCTCTCCTTTTCATTAACCTTAAGCTCGCTCTTAACTGGTGCATGGAGTTCCGTGCCTAGAAATGCTGTTTCTTGGTATCCATCGGCAATGTGTGACACTACGTAGAGGCCGTCGTCCATAGTTGCTTCAATAATAACCTTCTTTCCTAGTTTGAAGTATAGTGCGTGTGAATTGAAACGACCCTTCAGGCTTGCTGCGCAAATTCTTCTTCCTGATAACAAATTGACTCCAAGGTTAGGTACAAGCAGTACTTCTGACAGCCATGTCGACGATCCATCCTTACACACCACTTGAGCTTCTCCTTTCCAGTCCGCATATAATTCTCCCCCTCCAACCCGAACGACTCTTCGTTTGATCTTAATCATTCGTCTAAATAATGAGGGTTGGTCAGACATGTGAGAGGATGCGCCAGTGTCGGCAGCCCAGGTAGATGGAGAGGCCTTACCGACGATGTCTTTTGAGAGACGGCATGTCTCAATTTCCTCGGGTTCGGAGTCTGAGGTCTCAGATAATTCATCTGACTCTGAATTGACTTCTTCGGCTCCATATGCTTTGCCAGTCCTTTTGTGGGAATTCCTTTGCTTAGGTGTCTTAACGAGCAGCTTAGATGATTTCTTAGCGTCGTATTCCTTAAGGAGCTTTCGAGCTCTCTCACGTCTTGGGCAGTCTCGTACGCCATGGGCTCCATCACAAAGGAAGCATTGGACCGTGAATTTGGCACCAGATTCGGAGTCAGACGATAGTGGCGAGTTCTTATGATTTCGACGCCTGTAAGGCGGAACATACTTCTCCGTCTTTCGGAATGCTGGAAGAGCTTTTTCGTTGGCGTCTTGCTGGTCTCGAACCTCCTTCTCTTCCAGAAACTTAAGTTTCTGTTCAACCGTGAGGTTAAGTTGGGCGTTTAAGGTGTCAATCGTAGTCTTGAATTCTTTCGGAAGTGATCTGATAAGAACGAGTAGTAGTGCAGAGTCCTTGTAAGCTCCGTTGGTGTCGGCGTCTGCTGCTACAAGTTTACGTCGGTAGTCCTTTAGCTTCTCCCATGATCCAACAATCGTGTTCCCGGGATTAAATGTGAACGTTTGAATTCTAGTCATGTATATGTTGGCAGTTGTGGCGTCAGTTTGGGTGTACTTCTTTTGTAGGTAGGCCCAGAATTGGAAGGCAGTATCGTATTCGTCAATGAGGGCTTGGTCATCCTCGCTAAGCGACCGAAACAAGAGATCGATTGCAGTGGCTTCATCTTCTAGGTACTTGTCTCTTTTTTCAATGTTGACGCGGATCTTGGTATGCTTGTCTGTTTCAGCAATTTCCAACTCTTCCATAGCCTCCGTTAGTCTACTAGCTGTTGCTATTTGACAGTGCTGTACCAGATTTTTCTCGCAGACATAGAAGACTTTCTTCCCCTTAAGCTTGACCTTGTTTCGGCGAAACCAAGTATCGTGGTTTTCGGCTGTGAGCTGGGGGATCTTCCATTCTTCCTTCTCTGCAGCCATCTTGTGCGGGTGATGCGGTTGATTCGGGCGATGCGGGCGATGCGGGCGATGCGGGCGATGCGGGCGATGCGGGCGATGCGGGCGATGTTCTGCGGGTGGTGCAGTCGTTATCGGTTCTCGAGCGTGGAGACGGTGTGTGTAAGTATGGTTGCGTGTCAACCGCGTTGTACACGACTTTTTCTCTTTTCCGATTCCTGCTTGAATCTAAGTCCTTCGTGACTTGGGTGAGTGTTTTTGATTCCTTCTCGAATCTAAGTCCTTCGTGACTTGGTTAGGTGTTTAAAACCAATAACGTTGGGTTAGGCAACCGGGCTCATAACCTATTGGAACAAGGTCTCCTCTGGTGGTATGACTACCATAGGGAACCGAGTAGAGGTATGTTAGGTCACCACGTATTGGATTGAACTACACTAAGAGCTGTTGTTCTGTCTTCTTATTATCATGATGATCTGGGGATTTACATGACAGATCATCATTCCGCGTCGGTCCTTCTGCTCGGGCTTACTTCCACGAGCCTCATCCCCGCCGACCTGGACTGAACCTTACATCTTCTCAACAGATTGTATATTAGACGATTTTATAGATTAAACAAGATTTTACGGAATTGTTTCTGGTCTAAAGCATTTACAAAGAAACCTTCAACATTTGGAATGGTGTTTAAACCCTCAAACAGTTGGTCTCAAGTAGTGATGTAGATATACATATGAAATTCAAATAACATTTCTCCTTCGCGTGTAAGGCTACATAGTACATGAACAACTTACCGCGGGAAAAAGCAAACAGACTAACGGTTGTCCCTGTGTCCGGCTAAACAGTCTCTGTAGCCCGACCAGCTTCCTGCATCAGTGACGCATATAATAGAGAGCAAGGGAGATTTAACTTTTTGCGTCTTTGCTGAAGTCGGAGTTACATCAACTACGCCCTAGTGCTGCGATAAACTTTCAACATTGCCCATGTAGTGTAGTGTTTAACTTTGAAGATTGCCCATGCTTCTCGTAACATGTGCATGGTCATGGGCATGGACATGATGCTGATGCAGAAGATTGGGGGGTCTAGAGTGCAATGGCGTAGTTTACCAGGCGTTAGTGAGACGCGGACCGCGGAGTGAGGCACGTAGCCATGGAGAATAGCGGCAATGGATGTTGCCGCTGCACGGCACATTTGAGTTTGACTTGTTCTAGCAGGATTTGAGTCGTTCTAGGCGCAGTGAAGTCGTTCTGGAGGTGGTTTAGATTGTTCTAGCTGTCTTAGCCACGTTTTCGAGGCTCTTGTTGTCGTTGCACGTCGGACTCTAGACCCCCTCGAAGCGGCCTTTTTGGATTTGGCCAATGATACAACATCACCGGAGTACATTTTCGATCGGCTGGCGTCCGGGGAAATTTTGCTTTTTTTGTCGGTACCGAGACACTTTTATTCTGTATAGTCAGATAAGCATAGAGGCTACATTGGGCCGTTATGGCAATTGCTGATTGCTAAGTTTATGATCAGGATTCATGTCTTTCTTCAGGGAGTTGATGTGATATTGAAGGATCTGCTGCTCATTTCGCTTTTGTGCCAAAGACGGGGGTCTTGGAGGAAGTCAATACATACGTCAATATTCGCTGTACATGATCAATCCTCTGACCCACAAATGCCTCTGTTCTTGTCAAAGCCCCTCAGGTTACATTGCATCGTCACTATAACGATAGTCACTCCACTCCGATGAAGTTCTAAATCTAGCGTACAGAAAGTAGGGCGAAAAGACATTGCGGAGCTCGTACTTGCACATCCTGACTGTATCTACTTGGGCACCAAAAGGCAATGATCGCAATACGAAGGATTTAGCGATTTCCCGCGGCTCAGCTCCATCAAGTATCACTGGACCAGCATGTCATACCTGCCATGTGGAGTAAGTGGCGACTATCTTCGCGAGAGGGAAGTGATAGGTCCCCTTTCTAAAAATAGGGCCCGGCGGCCACTACACACAACAAAAAATCTCCGTCTGCAAGCCTATCGATAACAAGGGACAAGAATAGTGTTTTTCGCTAGCTTCCCATAGCTCAGCTAGAGTTTGGCGAAAGAAGAAAAAAACAAGGCGAACGATGGACAGGCGACAGAATTATGACGTTACAGTCGTTTAAAACAACTCTTCAACAAGTGACGTTTGAGACTACACGGATGTACCCTTCTCGGCGTAGCTACTGTATTCTGCAGTTGCACCGCCGCAAGCGCCGGAAAACCCGATCAGAGTATCCTCGATTCGGATCAGCGGCATCTCGCGACAAATACCATGGCTGTGGACAAAAGCTGGTTGTTCAGTCATGACTATTCATGCAGCATGGGGCGAGCGCCCCGCCGTCACCGTGGTTCGCGACTCAAAGTCCTGGTGTCGATCGTGTGGAGAAAGGGAAAAGCGGACGTTGTCAAGAATTGGGAAGGTATGAGGGCGAGGCAAATAAACGATGCTCAACGGCCGCTCCGAACGTTTCAGAGTACGATGATGGGTTACAGAAGGAGCGGAAAAGCTTGAATTGATGTTCAATCTCTTCAGGCAGCCTGCATGCCGTCTCGTTCCTACAGATGGCGGGCTATATATTGGCAATAGAGATAGTGGAGAGGAAGGCTGCATCAGCATATCATGAGGGTGTTCGGTTATTGCTATTGCTGCTGCTATTGCAGCTCATGTCTATGTGAGTGTGCTCGCTCAGTCAGGTGTGTTCGGCGGCTGGCGAGGTGGAGAATGAACCCCATGGCTCGGAGCAGAAGTCAGGGCACGCCATGGCCCGTGGGAGCGGAGTGGCATGTGTTTCTTTGTGTCGCCTACCACACTTGCCGGTACGATCGATTTCCGCGCCAATGGTAGGGCAGGGTGTGACCTTTTTATAGCGCTCTGGCAATGGGTGGAGGAGCATGGTTTGCTTAGTGGTGCAGGTAGAAAGTGTGGCTTGCAGGCTGCTGTGAGCATGCGCAGGACAGCAAGTGTGGAAGTATTGCGCACTGCAATGGATTGCCAGACGTGCAGCTTGTGCCGGCTTGGCGGGCAGTGTCTTTGATGGGTGCGACGGATTTTGGTCGCAGTGCAACACGGAGTGCACTGGAATGTCATGGCCATGGACGGGGCGTTTCGAGTACTGTTGGTGTGTGTTTTGGTTCGGATGAATAGAAGAGGGTCGGCGGATTAGAGAGAGCGTGTGCATAGTGTTAGTCTACGCTGAAATGGCTACCTAGTCGACGTGTCTCGCAATTGCAGCGGAATAACCCCACGAATGACAGGGGAAGTTGCAGTGGCTGGACGCATGTCGGCTACAAACAAGGCCAAGGTCAAAGAGAGGTTAGGCCTATTCTTAGGCTGGGTTGATTTTGTCCTAGGCAAACATCATGTCGAAGCGTGTCATGTGGCTGGACTTGTTCTAGCTTGTTCATAGCAATACACATATTTTGTGGTCTGAAGCAGCTTTTGCGCACCTGTTCCGCTCATTCCGCCATGGCCTCATGCAGCAGTACATAGTTAGTCGTCTAGCGTCAGCTTCGGCATGGATGGGCACCGTTTGGTTTTTTCTTAGAACTCGTATCCCGTGACGCGCTCCCCCAGCGATCATAGCATTGAGCCTCAGGGTTGAGCGTCGGCAGTGGTTCGAGGCTCGTGGCTTCAGGGAACGAAGCGTCATAGCCAGCCCTATGGCGGCAGTTGGCGTCCCATGTCGAGTGGGAAATGAGGTCGGCGAGGAAATCTGGAGAAAAGTCATGACGCTGGCCGGTTGATGTGCGTGAGCTGGAGGCGCGCCGGCGGGCAGACTCGCGTAATATGCGACCAGGCAGCGCCCGAGCAATTTCCGCTGCATAAGATATTACATACCACAAGGCAGAAGACGCGGGGAAGCAAAGGTTGGGTTGACCCTGTCGAGCGTGTTGCGAGGGCGTTGGAGATGTGTTTGGTGGTGCTGTGCTTATTCAGCGCCAGCGACTCGGGTGGCACCAGCCAGCACTTGGAGGCAATGTCGGCACAGCTCGCTGAAGTATGATAGTATGGATGGGCCAGCGTAGTATCGATATCAAGGGCAGGGTCATGGCGCAGAAATTGTACCAGATACATAGTAGCAATACCAAAAAGTGTAGACCCTTTTTGCAGCCGGTCCAGTGACTGTCTAGCAGTCTGTCTGTCTGTCCTGTCCGTCTGGTGACAGGTGACGCACGGGTTGCTATTTTTGACACGTACAGTTATTGGAGAAGGCCCCGGCTTTTTCCCTTCGCATTCGCAGAGTCTGTCTAGCGACCATGTTGACTAGGGCAGCTCATTCGCCCCCCTCCTCTCCCCCCCCTCGCAAATGCAGCTTCATCAACACAACGACTTGGGCAGCGATTGTAAGAGAATGAAAAGGCTTGTGCGATCGGCCACAAGGGGGGGGGGGGTCGTGGTCGCAGACGCAGACGCAGAGGCTCATGGGTGCTGGTCAGGTTTGGAAGAAAAACTAGCACAGCGCGCGCCCCGAAGCTGACCCGTGGCCCATCGCGCGCGCACACTGCAACTAAACCACGCCCATTATTTACGCGGCCTCCAACTACCCGTTGGAGCATGGCGACCACGCTATCCGCATGCTACTGGTCGATCGTTCTCCATGCACGGCCCGCGCAGGTGTTGGCGGTTCCTCGGTCGTCGGACCTGAATGGCCGTTGTCCTGCGTCCTGCGCCTCTTTGGTGCTCAGAGCCCAGCTGGAGCGGCTCATGGCTCATGGCTCATGCACCTGCACCTGCGCCTGCGCCTGCACGCTCAAACGTCTCAAGCGGACCGACAGGGGCTTTGACCAGTTGACCAGAGGGCCACCCTCAGTCTTGCCAGGTGCTTGCTGCTCACCATGACCCGGAGCACATCGGACGTCTGCTCACAGCCTAGGCCTTGTGCAAAAGCACTGGGCCAAGTCTCGCCGTAAGTTAGCCGGCCGTCATTCGTCCTGGACGGCTTCACCCAGGATGACGGAGATGCACACACACACACACACACACACACACACACACACACACACACGCCCTACCGCTACCTCGACCGCTCCGGCACGGGAGCGAAAGCTCTCTTCGGCTGTTGCATCCTAAACCACCCAGCACCTTGCTCCAAAAAGAACAAGACGAGGGGTCCAGGGCTGGACTGGACAGAAGCTTAATCCCCCACGGGAGTTACACCGGGGCTATGTCATACGAACAGAGCCAGCCGGTCCCAATCTGTGAATCAGTCACTCCATCGACTGTAGCTCCCGCAAGCTTCTCTGCTGTCCCTGCTAGTCTGTCCCGTCTCATCGGCTGGCACCCAAGTCCCTCGTCCACCGCTCGTGGCGTCACTGCTATTTGCGTGGCCGCTACGCCCAGCTAACTGTGGTTGGCCCCGTTTCTTGACGTTTGTCGTCTTTGGGTCCCGAGCACAAGTCACCCTGCGCATTTGCACCCATACCACCCAAGTCCCCCTTCAGCCTGGCGAGCCTCTAGTTTCATAGCCTTGTCCTGATCCCGCATGGTCCCTGTACAGGGGGGCATGGTGCAGAACAGACTTGACCACTTCCGCTTTCACCTCGTCCTGTCGTACCCTCGTTGGTCTGTCCGCCAAAGGCATCGCGGGCTTTGCGTCAATATCTTGCCAACCCTAGAACTATCTAAGCTCATCCCATCTGCGGACTGCACTATATATCACCATAACGCCCATCTTCAGCTACTCCATATCAACTCCCTGTCCAACTTAGTCACCGGTTTCGACCTCATTACCTTCGCTTTACACATCAACTGTCACCCAGATCTACACTGCATATACATAGCCCCTCGCCAACCCAAATTCCTCGTGTTCCCCCGCTAAACCTCGCATTGGAGAGCACTGCCAGCGACTTCCATCTGCACCCTGACGTTTTGCTACACCAACTACGCCGTACGGCTCACTTTCCACTTTCGCTAAATCCTTTCCTCCTCCCTCGAGAGCAATGGCTGGTCCCGGTGGTGGTCCTTCGAGGCGCAGTCATACAAAGTCCCGAAAGGGCTGCAAGACTTGCAAGAGGAGACACATTCGCTGTGATGAGACTTTTCCGCAATGGTACGCACAATCACTTTCATACCGTCCTATACATTCATGCTTACAAACACTAGCCGCAACTGCACAAAACACCAAGTGCGCTGCGACTACATGGACAGTCCCACGGCCATGATGCCAGATTCTCCCCAGTCCCCTCAGCAACCCAATCTGCTGTGGACGCCTGAAATTGAGGCCACCATTGAACTGTGGAGACAAACTGGGGAGTTTCCCTTCCCCGAGCTTCGTGTTTACCCGCAACCACAATGGCGCGCCTTGACGACGGTTGACCTCCGTCTGGTACACCACCTCTCTTCCATCTCGAGCGAAATGTTCAGGAACAGGACTTCCAAATCCACTCTGTGGACAGACATGATGCCCAAGTACGGCCCGATTTCCCCAAGCCGCTTTGTCCATCTAACCAGTGTCTAGATTTTTGAGCATTGCTGCGTCCCATTCATTCGTTATGCACAGCATTCTTGCCTTCTCTGCCTCTCATTTGGCCTGGATATCTCAGTCGACTGAGACACGAAACCTGGCCTTTCATCACGCGAGCATTGCTCTCAAAGGCCTGCACGATGGCATCGCCAACTTCACCAAGCTCAACTCGGACGCGGTCCTTGCATCGTCCCTCCTACTAGCCTGGCAGGCAACCGACTGGTAAGATTAGTCCAGACAATCCGCGTGACCTTAACTGACACAGTATAGGCGCGGCTGGGCTTCCCTCATTACTGGCACAAAAACTGTTATTCAGGCCATGCAGCCATGGAGACACGAGTCTTTGTTTGCCGACTACATTGCCGAACACACCCCTATGCCCAACCGCCACTTTATGAATCCTAGCAACACGCCGATAAATGCAGAAGCACGACGAGAACAGCTCAACGTTCTGATCGACATCCATGCTTCATTACAACGATTGCAACCTTACTTGGTCCGAAATGATCAAGAATCCAAATGGGTAGACCAACTCAAGGGCTACCTCGACCGCCTGCGATCATCGGCTCAGCCACAGACACCTGAAGAGCAATTCAACCAGTTGTATGCATTGCGCAAGTGGTTGTTCTGGGTACCAATCTCGCTACTAGCTGCGAAACGCGGAGACGTCAACGTGCTGGTTGTCTTGGCCCACTTCTACGCCACGGCGCTGGCTCTCGAGCCCATGTTTCCAGACGTCGCATCTGTTCTAGTTGCAGATTTGTCTCTCCGCCCCCTCGAGGAGATTAACCAACTAGTGCAAGGATACCAGGACCCGCGATACGATTCACGCATGCAGACAATGTCCTACCTCGTACAGTTCCCGGTGGATATGGTATCTTCATACAAGACTCGACGAGAATGGTCACGGCAGCAGATGGCAGCAACGTCTCCCATTCAACAACAACAACAACAACAACAACAATCCACGTATGGACTGGAGTCGATCAACCAGGATATCGAGAATCAAATTGCACAGTACAGTTATGGACAGAGTCTGTCTCCAGCGTTTGCTCCTTCGCCGCTTACGTTCATGCCGCCTAGCATGAGCTCGACGCCAACATCGCCGTACCTCGAAGTGCCACGAGCCGTGCCTGTTGATTCATATGGGCCGACTAGCGCTTATGCCGGCACAGCTAGCAGCTACGCATCGTCGAATAGTTATGCGTCCCCACTAGGCTCTCCTGCAGCGGTGCTGCCGCCGTACTCTGCTCCTCAGGAACAAGCATTCACATCGTTTGGAATGCAGTCTGGCTATCCCAGCGGGTTCGTGGCTACACCTATCTGGACGTGAAGGAACGCGCGCTGAACGATGCCCCAGGAACCAAATGCACACTAGCGCGATGCAGGCCATTGCTTCCCAGCCACCCCAATATAGCTCGGCACACGGTCAGACAAAGACGGCAGAGTACGCATCGAGCCAGTACAGTCACGCGTGAGAAAGTAGGCAGCTTGGCCGTCCTTTGAGCAACAACGGCAATTCGATGAGACAAGACAGCCGCCCGGGCCGGCTTTGAGGAATTCTACCGGTGGATGAGACGACGAGTGTGCGATGAATTGACTTTGGGGTTCGCGGTCAGCACCAAGTTGAACCCATGGCTTGCAGTTACTGGGAAGCCGTTGAACATCCGCAGTAAGCCGGCGATCTTGGTGGTTTCGCAGCCTCGGCGCTTCGGCCAAATTGGCGGAGAGAAAGTGGAAGAAATTAGCGACGTTTGATCGAATTTGCACCACGGCAAAGAGTGAAGCGTACAGTGGTTGGCACCGGCACAGCACAGCACAGGAGTCTTGTCATGTTAGGTGCAGCCGCAAGCGGAGTTTGCTAGGCCGTGCAAGGCAACGAGGGTGCAGGGAAAGTGCGGAACAGCTAGGTAGACGGCGGCGGAGTCGAGTCTAACGGCTCTCAGTGACGCCACAGGTGGTGCACGGCGATGTCATCTGAAACGAGACGTTGGAACAAGTTACATGGGGAATGGAGTTGGGACTAGCGAGTTTAGACAGTATTAGCTTGACATGCATAATGAGAAATCCGCGGGATGCCGCGTGTAGACACAAACACCAGGATTTTGTTGCATGGTACGAGTAAAAGGTCAGACAAGAGCAAGCATGCAAGCGAATAGTGAAGTGAAGAATGTTCAGCCAGGATGAGGGTTAGGGAGGGCATGGGCAGCTCAGCCCTAGCTGGAGGTCCATGTGATGGAGCGGACGAGCTACCAAGAATAGCGCAGCTTCCAGCCAATGACAGGCGGGTACCCCACCAAGACATTGTTTATCAAGGTCCCGTCGGGGTGGTTTTACGTACAGGCCATAAACGGGACTAGACCGACTTGGAGCCATGACTGCTTGTCGTCGCGAAAGGTGTTCAAGGTGCTCGGTGGTGCGGATTTAACATTTCCGAAGAGCGTTTGGGAAGTGAGACATGAAGCAAATCACGGTAATTGTTCAGTGAGCAAGTGATGACAAAAGGGCCGAGGAAGATTGAGGCCTGAGCTTGATGTCATTCCAGGTAGGTGGTTCGCGTTGCGCGGGTAGCGGGTAGTTTCGACGACGATTGCAGCCATGCGTTCATCAACCAGGTTAGTGACGAGTATAGCCAGTGACGGTACTTGAATTGGACGCGGACTTGCCTGGTTTGGTGCTTGCTTGCGAGCACCCCCAGCCACCATGGACGTGGTCAGCGCTGGTGTGGTGGCAGCAACCGGACCGGTCTCTGTTGGCGAAAATAAGGTTGGATGTGGCGGTCGCGTAGCATCTTGGAAACGGTCGCGAGACGGGCCCTCTGTGCCCTGCCTGGGCCAGTTTGGGCGTAGTCGAAGAAGGATCGCATCGCTGGGATCTACATCCATACGAGAGACTGCGTGCAGGGCAGGGCGGCAGGTGCAGGTGTGCAGGTGTACCTAGCTAGCTGGACACACGGGCCATGACTATGGGCTCACGGCATATTCGCCAGTCAGCAGCATTATCAGGGTGAGAAGGAAAGAAAATCTCCCGGGTGCAAACACTCTCACCGACATTGCAGCGAGAGCGAGAGCATGGTGCATCATCGAGTTTGTCACACGTTAGCTAATACATAGCTCTCTTCTGCCCGGGCACATTGGTGCGTGCCGTCCAGCGTCCAGCCAGCGGCATCCTTGGTTTGGCAGCGACAGGGGCAAGCGAAGAGGTGCTAATCTGCCATTGCATGCAGTGTCTACTCAAGGCCTAGCTAAGTAAACGTTGCCCAGCGAGAGAATGGCCCATAAGAAATTTCCGCCGCCGTTGTTGCGAAGACGCGGCTCCGCTCCCTTGGAAGAAGCTTTGGGCTCCGCCGCTCTGCGCCTCTGCCCTCGTTCGCCGCTGCCTTGTTCGCCAGTAATGCGCGCGCGTGCCTGCCCACGATACACCGAGCGTTCCGCCTCTTTCCGCGGCCCACCCTGCACCTGTGCCTGCGCGCCTACCCAGACCGGTACAGCCTCACCAGTACCGAGCTCTCGCCTCGAGCCGCACAGCCGTGAGAGACGGCCACGGAAGACTTGACGTGATCCCATCAACACGAGCAGAACCGCCCGAGACACGATTTCGTCACCGACAAAGCCTTGGTACATATTCTAGAACCAGACCTCCAACTGCTACTGCACATATCCTCAACTGTACTGCAGTGCTGCCCATATCGTGGGGGCCTCCTACTAGTGTCTCTGACCGCCATCCCGGCCGAGCTGCAATGATCTGCTTCTGCTGGTACGTGCAGCCCTGAGCCATCGTCGCCTAAGCCTGATAAGGCCATTGATAATTCACACTTCAGGAGGCGGCACTGAATTCAAGATCCGGCGATGCGGATGCCGCGTGACAGCCAGCCGCGCCCCGGCAGTATACCACCGAATGCTGGAGCAAGCTCCGAATCCGAACCATATGATCCACACATATGCCTCTATACACTTTCCACCTAGCACACCACGTGTCCGACAAACTAACGCACCACCGGCCTCTTGAAGCGTCGAGGCTGCTCCTCCGAAGCTTCAAATCCCTCTTCTAGTGCGTCTTCTGGTGCAAATTCAACCAAACTTTTGCTCCTCGTCGCGGACCACATCCTTCCGACACCCCACCACACTTTGACAGGTTCGATCCAGCCTCGCCACGCGTCGCAATGTGATCCGTTCACTGCATGAATCAGCGCCTTCAATTTGGAGAAGCTCAGCCTGACCTTCCTACACCCTAACCCCTTTCAACCCCGGACTGTCTTCTCCCGAATAGGCTCCAAATGGATCGATCGTCATTTGCGCGTCAGCGGGATAGTCGGGGCATGCGCGAAGCAACAATCCACCGCAACGCGTGGTATTTTGAAACGTAGTCTTCGTTGATCGCTCAGCCCGTCTAGGATTGCATTGAACTACCCAAGGCCGATGATTTACCCAATGTACCGCCGAGGAAAAGGGTGAGGTGTCATCGGCACTTGGCCAACATCATCCGTGACGGGACGTGCCGTTTACACGTTGGATTTACATGGAATTCGACAGCACATTTGCCAATCGACTCCAACTTCCCAATCTAGACAACTTGGACATTTATCTTCACCATGTATGCAATATTGGTCCGCCGAGACGCGTCCATTGGCCCACACAGACTTATACCCTCCATACAAACACGCCGGGCCAATACTTGCTTGCCAAACCCCAGGATTGCCCGTCCAATACCGTATGCTACACTCTACCATTGCCCATTTTGGTACACATCACATTTGCGACTGGAATGTCACTGACCTCAGCAACAACACGAAATACTCGTTACTCCAATGTTACTCATTCTCAAGTCGCCCAACTCCAAGAATCCCACTCGTCTTGCCAAACCACCGGCTCCAATGCCCCCTCGACGCTCAAAACCTGGCCCATAACACATTCCGTATAGGTTACGAGGTGTTGGCTCTCGCCATAGAACACATCATAGCGCTCATCCATGGCATCCTCAAGACTCAGCACGTTTCCCTGTGGATGGAGCGTCTCCCACGGCCTTGTGCATACGCGGCCCTTGCAACGCTTGAGCGTGAGCAACAGACCGTTGAGTCTGGACGCAAGTTTGTTCATGGGCCAGTTGTTGACGGCGGTACTATTTGTGCCGTAGAGGTTGGTGAGTTGGTATGGATCGTTCTAGTCTCGTTAGTCGACGACCACTGTTAGAGAGAACGAGTACGCGTACCTTCATGTCGTAGAGTTGGTGTTCATTGGTACACCATACCGTATACGCCAGATCGTATTCTCTTGCCACGACTCGTACCGTCTTGTACGTGTTATTCAGGTAGGAGCTTGCTCCGTAGAACGTATTCCCTTCCACAAGGTAATTTCCCCAGAATTCAATATTCACATGCTCATTCTTTGCATTCTGCGCCAACAGACTCTCGGTCACAGGCATAATTCCGCCGTCGAATTCTTCTCGCAGCGGTATCCCCGCCAGATGAAATAGGGTTGGCACAATATCCGTGTGGCTGGATGGAATGTTCTGGACTGCGGCTTTTGCGACGCCCGGACCCCGAATGAAGAAAGGTATGTTGACGTCTTCTTCGATTCCACAGCTTTTGCCAGGACCAAGTCGGTGCTGCCCAATGTGGAATCCGTTGTCCGTGGTGTAGAGCACATACGTGTTCTCTAGGACTTCTGGGCTTGCGCTTAATCGGTCCATGACGGAGTCGATGAGCTCATTGACAGATTGGAGAGATTGGAGGCGCTTGCGGTACCATGCGTCATTGTAGTCTATCTCGGTCTGGTTGAGCTGGCGAAGCGTTTTGAAGTAGGACGCTGTTCCGGGCTAGCTTGCGAATAAGGGACAACATCTCCAAGACTTTGCAACCAACTCACCTTTTCCGGGTTGAAGTTGGGTCTTCGCGGTACCGTCACGTTGGGAAACAGGTGCTCATGTCGCTTTGCCGGCACAGGTGGGTTGAACTTTGCAGGTCTCGGGTCAATGATAGTTTCTGAATGAGGAGCCACAGGCGCGACACCCAGAAAGAACGGGCGCTCAGATGCGGCAGCGATGGCATCGTCTAAGAATCCCACAGCCGCCTTCGAAATTAGGTCTGTAGAGTACTCCCCAGGAAAGAACTTGTACATCTCGTTATTGCGCGTCATACTGGTATTGTAGAAGACATACGTTCCCGGATCAATCAAAACTGATCATCGTCAGTAACTCGACAAAGTCTCTTCTTTCCATCCCCTGCTCATACAGTCTGACTGATTCCACCCCGCCGCTCTCGGCGTGTTATAGGTTGTCGTCGAGTGTCCATTCATTAATTTGCCTGTGTAATATGTGTTGTATCCTGCTTCCTGCAACCACACAGGCAGATAGGCGTTATTATGCCCGAGTTCGACGAAGCGCGGATATCCTCCTATACTCATCATCATTAGCCTTCCTTGAATTCTCTTTCCTGGTCACCTACCGCCTAGATTTCGTCGAACATACCATACGGAGCAGCAACATCAGTCACATTGGTATTATGTGCCGCTTTCCCCGTCAACAGCGATACGCGCGATGGACAACACAGAGAGACGGTGGCATAGTGTTTAGAGAAGAAGGTCCCTTGGTTACCAAAGTGTTGCTGCACAGAGGGCTGGTAGGACAAAGAGGAAAGGTGTAAGTCTTGATCGTCAGTTATGATGAACATGAAGTTTGGACGCTTAACAGGAGGAATAGCAGGGTCTGAGCAAGCAAGGAGAGAGGCTAGAGCCGAAGACAATAAGAGTAGGAATTCTGATAACATGGTGATGGGATGGATTCACCAGAACGGCTACGGAAAGTCGGATGGCAAAAACGCTGACGGACGTCAAGTAAGCCCATACAATATAAGTCTACGCCCGACGCCTTGTCGTCACAGCCATTTTTCCCTTGTTCAGCGACAGCTTGTCTTGTCAGCTCAATGTTAATGTCGCTAGGCGACATCGCCATTGCGTGCTCGGCACATCGACCAAAACGAGGCTGGCTATCGCATACCCGACGAGTATGCGCCCCACGGCGCCATCTAATCCCCAATCCTATTGGACACTGCTATCACACGGCAACCTCACCAGTCGTCACCAAAGACTTAATCCAACATCTAGATGGAAAGGCGGAAATAAGACGTGATGTTGACCATCATCGGGACTAGGTGGAGACACATGCCGTCACTCGACAAACCTACTCTGTTCGGCATCTGGCTGGTTTAGTAGGGAAACGGTACACGTCTAGCCCATGCAATTTACCGGCAGCGGAAAGAGACAAGGTTCGGCTAGATGACTAGTGATTGCGGGGAAGAGCGTAATGTGGATGCCTTGATGGCCTGGATGAGGCTGGCTGAGATGGGGGCCCATGCGTAATTAAGGATGGGTTGGCTAGCGTTGTGTGCGTGCATCTCCGGTTATGACATTGATGGGTTGAGTGTCTTTTCTGTGTATCGCATGGGAGATTCAGAGTTTGGTGGCAGAGGTGAGTGCGCATGATTGTTTCGTAAGCATCGAATACCGAGGTCATTTTTGTTATACATGAAGAGCCGTGTACGTGACAGAAACACTTCCCATTATCGTAGAAAAGTACGAAAATTCCACCTAGAACCCTTCACCATCTTCATCATGATGCGTGGCCATCATCACCACAAGACTTCCATGTCCAAATTTAACGTAAACTAGGAAATCCCATGTAGCCAGTCTCCAAGTGGGGGAGACTCTTCGGAACCATTCCGAACACGGGCCGAGTCTTGTTCCGGCGGTAGGCGTCCATAGCAATGGCGTAGGTGACCATTTCGACAAACAGCTCGAACTCGCCTACCACAAACAACCGCGCCATCGACCGCGCAAAACAACAAGCAAGAAGAACACTCCGACGGCGCCACCCACCCACCATGTCTGGGGGCTGGAACACCATCGAGTCCGATGCAGTAGGACTCCTCTTTTACTTTTCCTTCTACTTTGTTTCCTTCTTTTAGTCTTGCTTGCATTACCGCCTTTTACACGCGCGCAACACGTAGCAAAAAGGAAGGAAACAAGACATGTAGTTGAATACAAGCTTAAACCACAAAACAGGGCGTCTTCACCTACCTCATCGAGAAGCTCGGCGTAAAAGACGTACAGTTTGAGGAGCTCACCACGCTCGACCCGGCGGACCTACAAGCACTGGGAACACTCTACGGCGTCATCTTCCTGTTCAAATACCCGACGGGCGAGAAACCGAGTGATGTACCCAAGGATGGGACGTACGACTACGAGGCGGCGAATACCCTCTTTTTCCCCGCGCAGACGATACAGAATGCATGTGGTACGCAAGCGATTGTGTCACTGTTGTTGAATCGGGAGGAGGAAGTGGATATTGGGAAGGAACTGAAAGAGTTCAAGGAGTTTGCGGGGGATTTCCCACCAGAGGTACGTTAGAAAAAAATAGACATGCAGGGACATGTATTCTTCCGGATCGCATGAGAGACTGACATACATTGGATACATAATAGCTGCGAGGAGAAACGCTTTCAAACTCCGATCTCATCCGCGAAACACACAACTCGTTTGCGCGCTCCTCACCTTTTGTCGACGAGACACAGCGTACGGCAACCGAAGACGACGATGTATTCCATTTTATCGCGTAAGTCCTGCCTTCCCTTACCTTCCAACCTCTCCCTTCTCAATTCACCCACCCAGAAAGTAACATATAAATCCACAGCTACACAAGCATAAACAACACCCTCTACGAACTCGACGGCCTACAACCAGCCCCCATATCCCACGGCCCCTGCAAGCCCCAGGACTTCCCCGCCAAAGTCATACCCGTCCTCCAGCGCCGCATCGCCCGCTACCCAGCCACGGAAATCCGCTTCAACCTCATGGCATGCTGTCGCGACCTGCGGATCCGCGCCCGTGAAATCGGCGACGAGGAGGAGCTTGAGGAGCAGGAGGATAAGCGCGCTCGCTGGCTGTGGGAGAACTCGCTCAGACGGCATAACTTCGTTGGCTTTGTGGGCGAGCTGCTGAAGGCGGTTGTAGCGGGTAAGTTGGAGAAGGGAGAGAAGGAGTATGAGGCGTGGGTTGAGGAGGCGGTGGTGAGGAGTAAGAAGAGGAATGAGGAGGCGAGGAAGCAGGGGATTGCCGAGGATTGAGCGGGCGTATGTGTACGAAGTACTGCTGTTGTGAGCGTGGAGAAGGAGGGAGAGGAGATGAGGATGTTGTATAATCACGATAATAACGAATACCACACTATTCGATAGGGTGGATACTTTGACATTTACGCTGTGCTGTGAATACAAGGCGGTCATGATTAAACCACGAGACTTAACCACGAGACTTAGAAAGCATACGCAAAAGACTGATGATTCAAGTCCTGACATGTTCAACCACAAGAACAGAGAGAGCAGAGTGAGCACTGACATAGTGATTGGTATTGATTGGTATTTACTATCGACAAAAAGCCATCTACAAGTTCCATCTACGTGCAAACTATGCAAAACAACAACTGTCGTAATCAAACTCAAACTCAAATCCAAACTTTCCGCAACAAACATCCTGTCCTGCTGAGAAAGGGAGAGAAACAAACAAAAAACACAATCTGACAAACAGCTTGATGCAACTTTCGTCAGCACCAAAGGGGATATCATTACGAGGATGCGCGCTACATAATCGTCGTTAAAGAGGCATGGTATGTCATGGCATTGCCATGTTTGGGAGAGAGAAAAAAAAGGAAAAAGGAGAATCATATAGCTACGTTCAGACGTTGACGTTGAAAGCGTGTTGAATTGACAACAAAGGAGAAGAATGAACAAGAGGAGAAGAGAAGCTCAAAGTGCACTTGCAGCGCAGTGAGCAGGACCGAGTTGGAAGACGGGCTCTAGCACGCAAGCCTTCATGGCGGGTACGTGACTGATATTGGCAACGTCTTCGACGACTGGGGAAGAAGTGATGAGTTCCATTTTGAGTTCCGTGACAGGAGCAGGTTGGTCAACGGGATCGAGAAGCTCGACGGCTGGACTGGTGGGAAGGGCTTCTTCTTGTTCTTCAACGGCAGGGGTGGTTGGCATGGGAGACTCTTCGACAACGGCATCGATAACCTTGGGTTCAGGGATGATGACCTCTGGAAGAACGACCTCAGGGATCCCAATCTCCGGCTCTGCGACGACTGCGACGGGTACGGCAGTTTCCTGCATGACGGCCGCGGTTTGGAACGCGGTGACAGTCAGAGTGGAGTAGGAAGTCGCAGTCATAGTAGCGGTGACGGCATTCGGCATGTTTGCCATGACGACTTCGTTGGGCAATTCGAGCATCTGGGAAGATGAAGCCTGCTGTCCGAAAGTCAAGTTCATCGACAGGTATGCAACAGCAGCACCCAGCAGAATGATGACGAGATTGCGCTTATCGGCCAAGAGGACGAAAAAGTAGTTTTTCAACAGTGTGCTGAGGGGGACCTGTAAAGTTCCAGACTGGGAAGATGCAGCATGCATGGCAGCCTCATTTCTTTCCTTTTCCTTGAGAAGCGTTTCCAGAGCACGGAAGCGGTCAGCGACGGCATCTGATTCGGCGAGAGCCTTAGCCTCTAATTCCAGACGCACAGCTTCTTTTGCCTCTTGGAGTTTTGTCTCGAGGTCCTCCTGGAATCTCTTCTTCTCCACTGCCTTCTCTTCGATACTTCGTTGCAACGCGGCAGCAGCCTCTTCAAAGCTCTTCTGAAGCTCTGCCTCTTCCTGGCGTTTCTTTGCCTTTGCCTCTTCCTCGAGAATCTTTGTCTTCGCGGCAGCTTCTTGTATTTGTCGTTGAAGCTCGACGGTGTACATCTCCTTGCGTTTGTCTGCCTCCAGTTCCTCTTGTGCTCGCTTTTCAAGTGTCTTGCGGACCTCCTCCGGAACCCAGGGGTGAATCTCGACATCGCACCTCTCCATGTCGTTCCAGCACGCAGTCCATGCCGCAGCTCGCATCAGTCCATTGGCGGCGTAGATCTTGATGTCCCACTTGCGTGTACCGGCACCGATGCCCTTGCCTGGCTTCTTGAGTTGGCGGTGACAGTCGGTGCACGTGCTGTGGTCACCATTGACGGAGGGGTTGCTCGCTTCGGTCAGTGTGCCTCCACTCATGCGACTGCCTCGTCCGGTCGTCTCGTCAGCCACGCTCGATACCTCGTCATCGTCTTCCTGGTCGTCGTTGTCCTCGGGTGGTACAAAGTGGCCGCACGGGAGAATGCGGGGCGTCTTGAGCTCCAAGCTCTCCAGTATGCGCTCCTCGAGTAGGTCGTATTCGTCTCGCGGGTGGGGGATGAGGAGACCACGCCGCATCAAGATAATGTCCTGCAGCTTCTCCTCCAAGAGCTTGTAGTTCTCCACCAGCCAATCGGGCATGATCCTAGCCATGATGTCGTGCGAATACGGCAACTGCATGGGCAAGATGGTGACATGCAGCAGGACCAGCGGAGCCTGCGTCGGCGTCGGCGTCGGCCTTGGGCTATGCGGCTCCCGTATGCTCCTTCTTCGCGATCCGGACTGTCTCGATCCGGGTGTTTCGGTTCCTCCATTCCTAATCGGCGTCGTCAACTTGAAGGACCCCTTTAGCCGTTCGTGGGAGCTTTGGTGTGCGAGCACCGGCGGTGGCGACGACATGTGGATATTGCGTCCCGACTCGCTATTCCGGAAGCGCGGACGCTCTTTGCGAGCTCGCGCACCTGCCTCATTGGCAGGCAGCATTGATTTAGACAAGATGGACGTATCCGAGGGCACGGCGGACACGAAGCTATAGTGCGACGACGGCCGTGGTTGCGAGACAGAATTTCGCGATGTGTACGAGCTCCGGTACGGCTGTGGCTCGTCTTCGGGACTGTTGTGTAGCTCGATACTGTGTGCAACGTCGTCGGTCATTGCAAACGAGCGTTCAGAGTGATAGGAGTCATCCCCCGCATATATTTCGGTAGGTGACATGGGTTCGCGATCGTGTGGGTCTTGGTAAACAGCAAAGGATGTGAGGCCTGACTGAGGAGCGGGGTGGTGGATGGTAGTCATGCTCGGAATATCGGCCTTTTGGACGATGGTGCAACTGTGCTTGTGTTTGTGCAACTTCAGGGTCCGCGAGTATATGGACGGTTGAGAAAAAAAAATACAATGGGATCCAGGGATGCCCCTCTGAAGTTGAGACGGACTGATGTGGCACTGGACATATGCGAGGCTGGGGCACTAGTGCAAGCGTCGGCGACGTGTCAAGAGGTTGGCGTTTGTTTACCGACTTTTAGCACATGCCGTCGTTGGGAGTAACCGAAAATGTGTAGAAACGGCATCTAGTCCATCCTGGCCCCATAGTTTTGCTGTACAACATTGTCCATGTGAACTGTGAAGCCTGGTGCGATATGGATCCCAGATAGCGCACCACTGTTCGTTGGCGGTTGCTCCCATTGATAGGCCTCGACTGCTTGTCGCGCGCGGGGCGGCGGATGCTCACGACGTGCCAAGAGCGCTGCGACAAACTTACCAACCGCATAACGAGGGGCAGGCAAGGTTTGCTAGAGAACAGTGAGGCTATAATGCGTCCAGCTATCGACTGAAAAGTAAAACGTCTTCCAAGTCTCATGTGACTCCTGCTGGTCCGAAGACACCGACTGTCACCGTGGTACAATGCACATGATGTACCAAATGACTCTTCGCGGAGAGCTCACCGTAGCCCATTGACACTAGCATAGCAAAAGAGTGAGCACGACTAAAGAGCCGCCAGCTTTCATGCAGTCAGCCAGTAGTTGTCATCGTACATGGAAAAAGTCGCTTGAATTGATAAAATCAAATTTCCTAAACTTCTTAAATCTCGATGCTTGTGCAGGCGCATTCGCTTGGTATACACATGGCCCATTTAGTACAACACTGTCTGATCTCTTGGCATCTGCATCCTTCTACTCCAATCAATCGCCTATAGCTCGCTGTGCCCCTCATCCTTCAGCCTGCCCTCCTTTGTAGCCTTGCTAATCGCAGCAAGGATTTCCTCCTCACTTGCATCCTTGTCCAGGTTAAGCTTGTTCAAAATGTTGTTATCGCCATTAGGCTTGTTGACGCCAGCCTTCTTTAGCGCTTCCTCCAACTCCTCCCGACTCGGCCCATCACCTGCGGCAGGCGCATCCGTCTCTTTTGTAGCTGCCTTCTTGCTTTTACTAGCGTTCTTCTTTCCCTTTGCCGACTTGGACTTGGGCTTGGATGCCTTTGGCTTCTGCTGGTTCGGGGGCTTGAAGTGCTTCATCTTCTTCATCATCATGTCCATAATCACATCGTCCAGCTTCTTCTTCTCAGCCGCGATGTCCTTGACTGTGAAGGCTGGGTCGTCGGTTGCACCAAGCTTGCTTTGCTTAGCCTCGTTCTCGTCTATCCAGGCCTGGGCTTTGGACGCAGCCTCCTGAACTGTCGTAAGATCGGATTCGGTGTAGACAGTGGAGACTTCGGTAATCTCGGGCTGTGCAGGTGCATCGACTTCTTCGTCTAGCTCATCAATTGCCTCCGTCGATGATGGAGAGGCAGATGCTTCAGCCGACGCTTTCGATACTGCTTCGCTGCTCTTGGAGCTTTCATATGACTGTGTCTTGATCTGATTGTCAACAAGCTGGATGACTTCCTTTATGTGAGCAATCGTGTCTTTGAAGTCTTTGATGGCATCTGGGCGCTTGGCCGCCTCATTTTTGCGCTTGAGAATAGGGTTGACGATATCTTCGAGCTCCTTGAGCTTGCTCTTCAGCGTCTTCTCGTCTGCCTCTGCACCCTCAGAGTAAATCCATTCGGAAGCAGCACTGAGTGCCTTCTCAAGACTTTCGCGGACAGCTGCTGTGGAAGCGCCAATGAAGGACTCATCCTCAAGGTAATCGCGTGCACGGTAAGTGAAAGCTTCTAGCGAGTTCAAGCCTTCTTCCCGAAGACGACGGGACTTGTCCGACGAATCAAAAGCGGCGAGCCTATCTACGTTAGCACGCTTCCAATGTCTATATCAAGTTCCAAACTCACCTGTCCTGCATCCTCTTGAGCTCTTTGCGAGGAATTTTCTTGTAGCCTAGCTGCTCGACATCGAAGGTGATGGCGGACTTGACAGTCTTGATCTTCTTCTCGTCAGGCTTGGCGGCATCGGTGCTCTCAGCATCAGCCGAGGATGACGTAGAAGAAGATGAGGACGCCGAAGCAGATGAAGAGGAGCTCTCGCCCTCCTTGAGCGGCTCTTGGTCCTTCTTGCCACCCATACCAAACAAGTTCTTGACGCCATCGACAATACCACCCTTGGCCTCCTCAGTCTCGCACGTTACCCACGCTGAAACGATTTCAGGAGTACCAGTGATCGGGCTTAGCCTAACCTGGACGTAGTTGTTGAAGCTTTGGCGGTCGCATTTGTCCTCGTCAATCATCTTGGTGACAGCCCTGGTCAAGTTGCCGCTTGAAAATCGAAGAGTGGGCTCCTTGGAAACATCGCCATTAGCCCTGGGCAGTGCCTGATATATTGTGAACTCGAACTCGCCCATCATCTGGAAAGGGAGATCCTTGGTCGCTCCAAGCTTGGTGGTAGGAGTGAAAATCTTCTGGTCGCGATCCTTGAGGTTGAACGAGTACTGAATGCCGTGGTTGTATCCTTGAATGTCTGAGTCGCGGATTTCCTTGACACGGAAAGAAGGGCTGAGACTAGCGGCCTTGAAGGCAGCACCAAACACGGCGGCCTCATCGGCGTTGACGTTCGCCCTGATCTTGTTCTTGCCTGCAACTGCCTCAAGACGAGCTTGAACGAAGGGTGTACGACTTGCACCACCGTGGACGATAACGGAATCAATGTCGGCAATGGTAAGACCAGCGGCCTCAAGAGCTCGGTTAATTGGACCGTCAACACGGGCAGCATAGGCAGCGGTAAGCTCCTCAAACTTTGTGCGAGAAAACTTGTAGCGGAAGTCAATATCCTCATGGAAGCTCTCGAAAAAGGAATTTGTCTCCTTGTTAGCGCTGAGCATCTGACGAACCCTCTCAGCTTCCTTGAAGAGCTTCGCAGCGGTTCGTCCATGAGTCTTGACCTTGTCAGCAGTGAGCGAAGCGCTCTTTGCGGCCGGAAGCTCGGTGAAGGTGGAGACCATATCATCGACGATGAGCGAGTTCAGCGCATCGCCTCCAAGAGTCCTGTCCCACCCAGTACCCATGACCTGGACCTCCTGGACAGTCTTGTTGCGTTTGCCAACATCCTTGACAGTACGGCCCTGGAACTTGACAACACTGGCAGACGTAGATCCCGCGCCCATGTCGAATACGAGGTTGATCTCCGGCTTGCCGTCTTTTGTAACGTCTGGGAAAGTCCTGCCAGTAGCGTAGTTGAGACCAACAGCTAGACCGTCAGATACCACACTGAGAACCTTGAGGCCCGCCAATCGTGCCGCAACCTGAAGCGCGCGCCTCTCTTCCACGGTGTAGAATGCTGGGACAGTGAAAACGACGTCCTGGATGTCGTAGGCCTTGCCTGCCAGCGCCTTTGCGTTCTCCCTGACATTCTTCAGCTCCATTGCCAGTAGCTCTTCAACCGTGTAAGACTTGTCCTTTGAGAATACCCCGCTCTGGAAGCTGACGGTGTTGCGGTCTTGTGTGCCTGTGACTTCAAGCGCAGGGTATCTCTCCTTGTATGTGCCGACGATTTCGCTTTCGCTTGATACACCAAGAAGGTGCTTCAAGTTGGGGTATACATCGCCGGGGAATCGTGCTTGGAGCGCAATCGCATCGCTGCCGTAGAAGCGTTCGGGATAAGAGCCCGGCGGGAGTGGCCCACTCTTTGCAGGCTTGAAGGCAACGGCTGACGTCTCCTTCCGTTTTGAATCTTTGGTGAGGACGATCTCAAGAGGGATGCCCGGCTTCACGAGTGCAGCCTTGATGTATTCAGTGCCAAGGTCGACTCCGATGACGGCTGAGGCAGCTGAGGCCGTTGACGAGAACAGGAAGACAAGACCGAGGAGAATGGTGGCAGGGGAGAGTTGGCCTCTCCGGCGTCCTGGTGGCGCCATATTGTGTGAAGGAAACGTGTGCAATCTGTCGTCAACTGCGGACGTGGGACGCTCGAGGTGGGATGTGCGAGCTTTGCGGGGGCAAAGCACAATATATAGGTATAGGTCACAGGGACAAGCGGCAGAATAGAATAGAAGGGATGGGAATCTATCCCAGAGAAATGCGACGGGGTAATGTCGGTCGGTGTAGAATGGGAGAGATGCACTGGTACATGTAGTTCTTAAGCTACCCTGTCCAGAAGTTATTTGACACCTGGTCTTTGTCAAAAGGCCACTTTGACCCCCGATCGCCAACCCACGTCACAGATAAATCAGCTGTCGCATTTAATTATTAAATTGCTTCTGCCTAGAGAGTTTTTGGAAATTATAACACCTGTTCTCATCCTCGTTTCCAAGAACGCCCGCCTGGTGCGGCTCTCGTGATGCTTTGAGCATTCTAGCCAATCATATCATCAGGAAGCACGTCTTCGCCGCAAACCAGCCCCCGTGGCGACAACAAGCCCCGGCATTGCAGCTGTGCTCAATATTTGGTCGTGCGACACATGTGTCCAAATTGCCACGCATAGAGCCTGCCACGAGAGTCTGCGGGAAGACAGAGCACAGAAGCTTTCTGCACACTGGTTCCCGTCGCTCATATCCCACGGTTAAACTCGACTAAGCCATCCTTGCCACCGCGATCGTGAAACTCCGGCTCCAGAGTCTTCGCACTGACAGCCTGTCGCTGTGGGAAGGCAGCAAGCGCAAGCGGCAGTGCGAAGATGGAAGTTGTGAAGATGAGTCCTGGCTGCGCGTTAGCTATTAATGCTGTCATATTGCACCCCACATCGACTCACCCAAGTTGACCGGGGTCACCATCCTAGGCCTCTGCTTAAGCCACTCTGTCTTCTGTAGCCTGACAAGGAGGAGAGGTGGCAGCACCATGATCGGTGTCGCGTTCAGGACACGACTGAGCGCCGTCTCTCCCACTGCAAGCGTGGCTGCTTTCTTGCTCTTGCCCAGAGGCTTGATCTCGAGATCACCTGTTTCAACTTTGTACCTCTCAATCTCTGACAGCGCCGGGTAGACGTCAATCCCTTGCCTAATCTCCTCCCCGCGCATCAGGAACACATTGAGTGCACCTGCTGTAGCGACGGCTGCAAATGGCACTAGACGTCCAGCAATAAGCTTTGCGTTGGGAGACAAGCTCTTCAAGCGGGGCACGAGCGCATTGAGGCCGAGCGCGACACCGCAGGACGCGCTTACTGCGAGGAGGTACGACTGGACAATGGTCGAGGTAGAGAGCGGAATCGACTTGTTCGCGTTGGAGAAGTTGATACCAACGTTGACCGACTGGTTCGTGACTTGCCATGCGAGCGTTCCTGCCGTCTGCCCCCATTCAGTATCTTGTCCACGCGGGCTGTTGCTGCGTTACTTACACTGAGACCTGGTGTCAGCATGCCAGCCGTGACGACCAGGTTCGTGAGAACGAAGCATGACATGCGGAAAGGCAGAAAGACCGGCTGTCCCGTGTCTTTGATCCTGTCAGCGACGTCCGCTCAACGTGTGATTGCGCCGAAAGCACCGATTGCAGTACCTGGGTGTATGGTGGAGTCGATTATCTTCTTCGCATTCCACAGCTCTGGTGTCATCTCTGGCATCTTCCCCGTCTTGTATGCCGTAACAAGTTTTTTCGCATTTTCGAGACCAGCGGAGGAGGTGAGAAGCGTTCTGTCACATAGTCAGCATTTGCTACCTGTATGCACTGAAGCTCCATGTTTATGACACAATAAAACGCCGTATAAGCCCAAGGTCGTGGTACTCACCACCCCAGATCTTGCAAAGGCAGTCCACCTCTCGCGCAATGTCTCACCTCGGATCTGATATGTTGGCTGAGTGCTGCACGCGACCCCAGTATGTGCTCAAGTCGAACTGGGACACTGGCAGATCGCGGTTGCCCGGCAGCGAGGAAGTCATGTTGACGAGATACAACAAGAAGAAAGCGGCGAGCGAAGCAATAAAAGCCACCCAAGCGCACAAGTGCTTGCGATTACGAAGATATGCGCGCGTGTGGGTAAATAGGCGCGGCGATATCGGCAGTACTGATCCATGGATAGATGCGGGAGCTAGCCCTAAGCGTGGTGATACAATTAGGTGCCATTCTTATCTAAGTAGAGCTGACGTCGACATCATAGCTCGTTGGCAACATGAACATACAAGTTCTACGCGTAAATACAACAATGCTTGAAAATACGAATCCCGACTCATCTAGTTTCACCAGGTATATGCCAAATATTAGAAATCAAGCGCTTTTGTGTAACAATCCAAATGACAATGCACTCATCTCTCGTCGTCTGTAGCTCATTTCTTCTTCTTCTTTGGCTTCGGGCTTGAGCCTGGAGAGGTCCCTAATATGGCATCGAATGTCTTGTTGGGGTCGCTGCTCGATGCGGGCCTAAGTAGCGGCGAGCCACCAATGGGCGGGGCAACGCCAGGAGGCAACGGCAATGCCTCGAGGCCCAAGTTCATGACGCTTTCGCGACGCCGGTCGGGGCTCTGTGATCGTCCACGAATCGAAGCCGCTGAAGGATCTAGCAGTCCAGGAGGAGGGGGTAACGGCGAAGCACTCGCATTTAGCTCCTGCATCGCAGCGTTGAGGAGAGTGTCGTTCGCTGCCCATTGCTGTGCCATTTTCCAGCAGTGAGATCTTCGGAAAACGCCTTCCACGCCGTGCTCGACGATGTCAGTAGGTAAGCTGACGACTTGCGCACCTCCTGCGACACCGAACCATGTTCGAGACCGTGTTGTGTCCTCCCGTGCCCATGGCACACCACTGCGTGGCACCTCACACAGGAAATACTCTACGCCCTCGGTAAATCGGACGCCGGGTGCGTCTACCACCAACATGGGCAGTGACTGTATGACGGCATAGAGGAACAGCCATTGCCCGGATCGCAGATCCCACATGTCGTCCATGTTGGAGCCTGAGGCTTGCTTGAACTCAAATTGGCGGAAGGCTTGCAAGAAGGGTGTTTGAGTATCAGCGTCTTCGTTGTGCGATTGTTTCAGCAGTTTGGCGACGTCCTCTTTGTGTAGCTTCTTCCCACGTGCCTTTGCGTCCTTCTTTGCATCTCCTGTTTTTGCGTTTTGCGAGATTGGATACAGCGGTAAGTCGAAGGGTATTGGTGGCTGCACCGGTGGAGTGCTGCGGTCATACTCACTCAAAACTTTGCGGAGCGCACGCGCGACAATGGCCTCGATATCCGTGCCTTCGTCTTCGGCTATAAAACCGTCGGCCGTGCGGTTCGTCAGATTCGTCCTGTCCACCAGGAGGTCGTACAGACTAGACATGTCTCGGTAAATCTCCAACAAGACTAGTCGGTTGAGACCACTCGTAGTGAGGTTGTTCTTCTTCGACTTGGCCTTTGGTAGCCATGAGCCGTATTTGTGTCTGTAATAATCGAGCACAAAGGTTCTGAAGGTTCCGAAAGCGGCCCTCCACTTCTTGAAGCTTATCATCTTGCCCTCGCTGGTCGTAGCGCTGTTCATGATGCCGGAAAAGATATGCGGGAACTCAAAGTCCTTGAGTTTCCCATTGATAATGGCTTCTCGGTTGTCCAGATCCATGGCAGCACGAGCCAGTCGGGTTGCAGTCTTGGGTGTGATCATGCCAAACTTGGGGGAGTCGAGTTCCTTGATGCTGTCGTATTTTCCAGCAGCGTGAACAAATCCCTCCGTGTAGAGCGCCATAGAACGCATCTTTTCGCCGAGTACAATGGCTTCAATGGTCTTCTCATGGCTCTGTCTGACATCTGCCAGGGCCAGCTCATCAACATAGCAGTCGAAGCTTGAAGCGGCGACCTCGCCAAAGGTTGAGCCGTCCACGTTGGAGAAGGCATAGTGCGACAAGATGTCGCCTATTCGCAGGAATATGTCAAAGATGTCCGAATGACGCTCGGTTGCGACTAGCGATTGGCCGATGAGGAAAGCGAAGAAGTTACGGTAGGTAACGAGTGTGTCGGTGTCGTTTGCGTTGAGTTTCGCCTCATGCGGGGTGACGGCAGAGTCTGAGCTCAGAGCAATGGGCATGTACATGTGCTTCTCGGTATAGTCGTCCTCCACAGCATCGCTCAAGGCTCTAGATCCTTTGGAGCTGTCGGAACTGCCCAATTGGCTCTGGTCAGGCGACGCGGTGCGCGATTGCTGGGTAAATGGCTCCCCGGACACGCGCCGCGATGGTCGCTCTTCCAGGTCGAGCGGAGGTATCGACGGCGCAACAGTGTCGCTGTAGAGACTGCCATGAACGAGTCGCGTAAGCAGCTGCGAGGCTGCATAGACGGTGGAGTCGATGCGGAAAGAGGCGCCTTTGTTGGAGGTGCGTGGAAAGAGGTAGACGAAAGTGTCTCCTGCGTCGTCCCATAGTTCTGGCACCTGTCACGTTGTCAGCACACCCGCTATTTCACCCCCCGACCCACGACAGCAACGCACCTTTTCGCCGTTCAGCAACAGCGTCAGATCATATGGCACCTTGCCTTTGTGCCCGACGATCCAGGCGGGCTGACCCGCACCCGCCTGATTCGCGCCTGCGAGGCCATCAGCACTAATGACTGGCCCGCTCCCAAACAAACCACTCTTTCTGCGCAGCTTCTTCAACTTTCCTGTAGAATCGACAGCTGGACTTCCTGGTCGGCTACCAGAGGGCGAAGATGCGCGGGAAGGGACGTCGAGCGGTGGCGGCGGTTCGAGGGGCTCAAGGTCGGCAGGTACGACTGGCGGGGCGATGGGGTTGGAGACGGAGAGGCGATGGGGAGACTTTGGTGCCGATGGCGGCGATTGTTCAGGTGCGAGGTGTGTTGCCGACGAAAGGCGGTTGCGCACTTTTGTAAGGCGGCTGCTAGATTCCGATGAGGGCGCTGGGCTCAGCTTGGTGGAAGTCGACGTAGACGACTCGGACGATCCGCTTGAGAATAGACTCGACAGCCGGCGGCTCGACTTCTTCTTGTCTCCTAACATGATGCAACGGTCCGGCTCAGTGCTCGACGTGGGCCGCGTGTCGGTGGAAGAATAGTCAGGAATGGCAAAAGGCTATACGCTTGGTTACATGCGGTCCGATCCGAACAAGGAGCAATAGAGGCAGACAACAGACAGTCACTGATGCAGGGCGCCGGGCCGTTCACTGTAGTATATAAAGGTACGAGACTGAAAAGCTTAGTGGAAAAGAACTAGGTAATCTATATTTGAGATGTCGCAGATCCGGCACTGTCGTAACCATGCTAGTGCACGAGGACCAGGTCGGGTGGCCACAACGTGGGTCTGTCCATGGCGACTTGGTGCCTGTCATTGGTCTCAGACAACAGCTTCTGGGCGTGTTATTAGCAGATTGGATCCGTCAGCCCCCCCAAACAGGAACCTGTCAGGCAAAGGACCCTTCCCAAGCCTTGGTTCAGGCCCTGCGCCGCGTGGTGCAGGCAAGGCCCACCATGATACTCGGAACCAGACCCTTGCGCAGCCGCATTGTCGGCCTTGATACCACCGTTTCGAAGTCTGTCAAAAGCAACTTGCCTGTAAGCGTCGAATGCTGCATATGGCCTGTCGCTACTCATCTGTGTGTTTCTTGTCAGCAAGTGCAAAAGAAAGGCACCAAAAGTACGAAAGGCCAACTATCGAAAGGCGTCGGCAGCTTTCAGATGACGTAAACGTTACCCATATCTTGTGTGTCTGAAAGGGGCCTCGCGCCTGTGGCCACCCGACCGCAGCATCTTTGATGCCTCTTTTCTTCCAAGACTCAGACACTGACTGCACCTCCTATCTGACATAATACTGTGGCCTGTAACTACCTCCAAGTACAGCATTGCTCGTCGTCCAGAGACAACGCAGCGCTGCGCCCCGCCCTTACGCACCAGCCACGTCGGTACGTAGCGCGATCAAACGCCGTCTCGCCTCTTGTTGCTGAATACGGCCTCATCAGCTTCCAAAACAATTTCCCAATATGGGCGGCGGCGGCGAGTCCATTGCAAACCAAATCCTCAAGACGTTCGCCCTCCCGGATGTTGTTGGTTCCGCAACCAGCTCCAAGAAGCTCATCAATCTCCTCAGAGGGCACGTTGTCAATCCACTTATTACTTAGTCGCGAGTACCGCCGTCGATGCAATTATGCACCACTTTGCATACCCTTTTGGGAAATGACGCGGCCCAATCACGCTCATTGCGACCCCGAGTATTGGCTAACGACAGCAGATGGCCCAACTTGGCGTTGCTTCCCATCCCATTGCTAGACAAAGCAGCACATAATGTTCTCCAGCAGAGGCCAGTTGCCTATCCCGCATTGTGCTACGGGCCAGATGCTGGAGACCCACGGCTACGTAAAAACATGGCGCAGTGGCTAAGCAACTTCTACCAACCCGCCGATCCAGTATCCGAAGAGCGAATCTGCATTACCGGTGGCGCCTCGCAAAACCTGGCGTGCTTACTCCAAGACTTCACGGACCCTTTGTACACGAGGAACGTGTGGATAGTTGCGCCGGCCTACATGCTTGCTTTCCGCATCTTTGAAGATGCTGGATTTCACAAGAAACTCCGCGCAGTTCCTGAGGATGACCAAGGTATTGACATGGACTACCTGAGACGCCAAATTAAGATAAGCGAAGATGAAGCAAAAACTGCAAACAACAACGAACCTGTGAGTGGCGTCTCTAATGTATTGAAGATGTCTACCATGCTTTTGGTGGTGAAGCCGATCGCAATCACATATAATTCGACTACTGTTTATTGCAGGCGTATTGCCGAGCGCTGTTGACTGGATGGCCAGCAATTTAAACCTACGCGGCCTTGGAACAAGATCTACAAACATGTAATATATGCCGTGCCTGCTTTCTCGAACCCTAGCTCCAAGACGATGAGCTTGAAGAGGAGAGAAGAATTAGTACTGTTGGCAAGGGAATATGACGCTCTTATCATTACGGACGACGTTTACGACTTCCTGCAATGGCCATCAAGTCTCAGCCCTAGTGTACTTTCCATTGAAGAAGCCAGTCTGCCCCGGATCGTCGACATCGATAGGTACCTTGACGGCGGCGCCGAAAGACATGGCGCAGATGGTTTCGGCAATTCCGTTTCCAATGGCTCTTTCTCCAAGATCTTTGCACCAGGCTTACGAACAGGATGGTGCGAGGGTACACCGAAAATGGCATATGCTGTTTCACAGACGTAAGTGTAGTCTTCTGGACCTTTTCGTCTCAGGTACACTCCATTCAGTGGCATGCGTCATCAACCTTGCTTGATCTATGAAAATGTCATAGGTACGAGAGACCTGGGTAGATCACTGACAACGCTGTCTCATCGGATGTGGTAGTGACGGCTAACGTTTTCCAGAGGATCCAGTCGTTCGGGCGGGTCGCCCAGTCAGCTGACGGCGTGCTGTGTGGCCGAGACCTTGGAGACAGGAGAACTCCAGCGCCATGTATACGACACGCTTCAGCCTGCTTACGGTCGTCGGTACCGTATAATGGTCGAAGCGATTAGCAAATACCTGATCCCACTGGGTGTTCGCATCCCGCAGTCAGATCGGAAGGTTGTCGGTGGATACTTCATCTGGCTTACATTACCTTCACCGCTGGAGGGTGCAGCTGTCGCACAGCGCGCAAAGGAGGATGCGAATTTGGCCGTTGCACAGGTACAAGCCGCGACCAGTCCCTGATTCACATCATGCATTCAGCTAATCATGACGCTTTCATAGGGCGAAATGTTTGAAGTGGGTGTGCATTTCCGCCGTGGACTCATAGCTGATAGACCCAGGTTCCCGGCGACACCAAATACACGGGCACGTGCTTCAACAACGACGTCAGGGTGTGCTTTGCGGTACGTTGTCCAAGATACAGTAGACTGCGTATGTATGATTAACATGTGATTAGTGGGAAGAAGAAGAAATGCTGGCCGAGGGTATTGAGCGACTTGCCACCATTATCAGCAGCATGTTGAACGAGGAAGCCAGTGGCGGCAAGGCGAAACACGGCGCTGCTGCTCAAGTGGGCGATGCAAAAGACTTGTGGTAAATGATGAAGGCGTAGATTGACTTGAGTGCAGGGAGAGGCAAATGAGTATGGATGTTCGTTGAAGTTATTCGTGGGCGGGTGAATAGCGGTTGACAAGTACAATCTATTACAGTGCCTTTTTCCTTTTTGGGCCACAAGGCCCAGAACAGCAGGTCTCGACGTACGCAAGGCTATTCGTCTAAGATAGCGATAGAGGTCCTGTTAAGCATCAGGGATCTACGGACTGTTTCATGGAAAACATGTCCACGCCCCACAGCGGCACCGTGAGTAAAATGAAGGAAAGACACAGCAGTTGCCGGGCGATGGCGCGAAACACGACCACCGTTAGACACGAACACCCATACGACGACTGACAGACCACTGCATCTCTTGGTAAGGTGTACCTGCATAAGGACATGTAGCACGCGGCGGCTGCGACGAGGCCCAGCCGGCCTTGACTGAGGTTTGCAGCATGTGCCTTTTTTTTTGTCGACCACGCCATGTGGCCCCCCACCTTCATCTCGTCTGGGTGTTATGCAATTGTTTAGAAACTACTATGAGCTATTTGTGGAGGCAAAGTTCCATAGGGCATGTGCTATGCCGAGGCATGGCGATGTCGTGGTCGAGTGCATCGTCGGTGCATCGTCGCCCAGCACTCATGGCTTGCATGGCGCTTCGCGCAAGTGGACCGGTGATTCGCAGCGATGCCACGCACGATCTCCTCCCGGGCCGTCGCGTCGAATTGCGACGTTTCCAAGCGTGGCGCTGAAGCGCCGGCAGATGCGTTATGCGTGAGTTCGGCCACGGTGGACCTGTAGATGCTCTGGCGTTTCAAAGCCGTCTCACTTCCGGCTGTCGGTTGTGGCGCTACCAACCATACCCCTGTTTCCCATCCAGGAACAAACGCTCGCCTCGCAACCTCAGAACATCCTCCACCACTCACTGGCCTACGACACCCGCTTGTTTCACGCGGAGAAAGGGATACTACGGGAAACTCTGGTGGATCCTGCAAGTGGATACTCTGGCAATTTTGGGCTGCACGCGAGGGAGACAGGCGTCACATTCTAACAACCACCCCTTGGCACCTCCTGCGGGCGTGGAATGCGGCTTGCGAACATGGCCACCGGCCGTGAAGACGGCCATGAGGAGGCGGGACATTCAGGTGAAGAATGGGGGGCGTGGAATCGGGCTGGAGAGGCAAAAGAGTTTCTGTATCACGACGACGACGACGTGGAAGAAGGTATAAGACGTTCATTCACGGGTGGGAAGGATACGTCGAGCACAGCACATCGGAGACCCACCCCCGGCTATTCCAATCGTGAAACAAGGCGTTTACAGACGATTGATTGGCCCGACGAAGCTATTGTAAGTACCTTCCGGAATACTCTGTCTACTTATACAGCCCCGCGCCTCCCTCTTCTGTTGCCCTTCACGCAGGCTTCTGTCAGCTTCCGACACTCATTGTGTTGCTTCAATTCTTATTGTTCACTGTCATTCATTTCTATTGTTAACGAGCTTTTGACTCACTACCACATTCCTACCTTCTTCACAATTGTTGCTAGGCAACTCTTTAACAATCCACTCGCATTCCTGCAAACTTTCCACCACCACTTCGCTTTCAGATCGTCTTTTGCAGGTCAACTGACGAAGAAACCTCAGTCTTTTCGATCATTATCTTCTGTTTTTTCTCACAACTTCAACAAACGCACCCTCATCATGGTTGCCTTTAGCGCTGGAGCGCTTCTTCTGACGCTGCGCGTCCTCCTCACCGCAACGCCATCATTTGCCGTGCCAGTTGCGCAAGCACCTGCTGCACCTGCCCCGGCACCCGCCGCTGGTACCTCTGGCTTCTGGATGGAGTCCATCCAGCGCCAGGGTCAGGCCCCATTCAACCCCAACCCAGCATCCTACAAGGTCTTCCGCAACGTCAAAGATCTCGGAGCCAAGGGTGACGGCGTCACAGATGACACCGATGTCATCAACAAGATCATTGCTGACGGTGATCGTTGTGGCGAGGGCTGTGACTCAACGACTACGACCCCTGCTCTCATCTACTTTCCGGCCGGCACGTACATCATCAGCAAGCCTATCATCCAGTACTACTACACTCAGTTTGTCGGAGACCCATTGAACATGCCTGTTCTCAAGGCTACTGCAGCATTCGAGGGTATGGGCTTGATCGATGCTGACCCCTACATCCCCGGTGGCAACGGTGCCAACTGGTACACCAACCAGAACAACTTCTACCGCCAAGTCCGCAACTTCGTCATCGACATCTCGGCTACCAAGGCTGCTGCCGGTATCCACTGGCAGGTATCTCAAGCTACCAGTCTCCAGAACATTGTTTTCGAGATGGCCAAGGGCGAGGCTGGTAAGGACCAGAAGGGCATCTTCCAGGATAACGGCTCCGGTGGCTTCATGTCTGATTTGATCTTCAACGGTGGTGCCATTGGCGCTTTCATGGGCTCCCAGCAATTTACCATCCGCAACATGACGTTCAATAACTGCGGCACGGCCATCTTCCAGAACTGGAACTGGTTGTTCACCTACAAGAGCATCTTCATCAACGACTGCCAAGTCGGCCTTGACATGGCAAACAGCCCTCAGAACCAGACCGTCGGATCCGTTCTCTTGCTCGACAGCAAGTTCACCAACACGCCCATTGGAATCAACTCCTCTTTCACCGAGAACAGCATCCCCACCACCGGTGGCACACTCATTCTGGACAATGTTGATTTCAGTGGTTCCCCGAAGGCTATCGTTGGCGCTACCGGTAACACCATCCTCGAAGGTGGTCGCAAGATCGCCTCCTGGGCCCAAGGTAACGCTGTTTCCGCTGGAAACGCTCAAAACCGTGTTCAAGGCGATGTCAACAACGCACCCACCAAGCCTCAAAGTCTCCAGGGCTTGAACGGCTGGTACGAGCGCAGCAAGCCCCAGTATGAGACCTTCCCTGTGTCCAAGTTCGTCAGTCTCAAGTCGAAGGGTGCAAAGGGTGATGGTGCGACCGACGACACCGCTGCTATCCAGGCTGCCATTGATGGCCTTCAGGAGGACGAAGTTCTTCACGTCGATCACGGTGCCTACCTCATCACCAAGACTGTCACCATTCCTGCTGAAAAGAACGTCAAGATGGTCGGTGAGATCTACAGCACCTTCTTCATCACAGGCGAGTTTTTCTCGGACATGAACAACCCCAAGCCTGGTTTCCAGATCGGCGCAAAGAGCGGTGACAAGGGCTCCTTCGAGGCATCTGATCTCATCATTGGTACTCAAGGTCCTGCCCCCGGTGGTATCTTGATGGAGTGGAACATTGCTGCTGAGAACGGTGGAGCTGGTCTTTGGGACGTCCACTTCCGTGTTGGTGGTTATGCAGGCACCAAGCTCCAGTCGTCCAACTGCAAGAAGAACCCTAACGCTACTCACACCCCCAACCCAGAGTGCATTGGCTCCTTTATGCAGCTCCACATCACCAAGAGCTCCAACGGCTACTTCGAGAACGTTTGGCTCTGGACTGCCGACCATGAGCTTGATCAGGAAGACCACTCTCAGATCGACATCTACAACGGTCGCGGTATGCTTGTTGAATCGCAGGGACCAGTTTGGCTTTACGGTACCGCCTCTGAGCACTCCCAGATGGTGCAGTACCAGTTCTCTGGCGCAAAGGACATCTTTTACGGTGCCATCCAGACTGAGACTCCCTACTACCAGCCTAACCCGACTGCTGCCGTTCCTTTCACCAAGAATGACAAGTTCTTCGACCCAGACATGAGCCAGGCCAAGGCTGCTTGGGCTGTTCGTGTTACCGATGGCAGTGACAACATCTGGAGCTACGGCGCCGGTACCTACTCGTTCTTCCAAAACTACGACCAGGACTGCGTTGTCGGCCAGAACTGCCAGCAGGACATGAACGAGGTTGCCAACTCGACCAACGTCAACTGGTTTGGTCTGTCGACCAAGGCCTCTGTCAACATGATCACCATGGGTGGCCAGGCTGTAGCCAAGGACGCAGACAACCGTTCCAACTTCTGCGCTACCCTTGCCATATTCGCGCAGGGGTAAATCTGACACGCGCATTCATCTCTTGATGAGCCTTCTGCTATGAAATGCTTTTTGCTTCTTTCCCTCATTCCGATGGGGCCTTTTTACAGCATATATACCCTTTTTTGTCTTTTCTTCCTGCCTTGCCCATGCGAGGCGGAAGTCACACTCGTTCAGTAGCGCAAACCATAACGAGCATAACTATACCCTGGGCATGAGTAGGATGAGGAGTTTTGGGACTGGATCCTTTTGTTTGTTTTGCTTATTTGTTGTACCACGTAGATACAAGAACTGAATTTCACACGAGTTGTCAAAACACCTTTCATACCTTGCTTCTGTGATGTCTGTAACGGTTGATGCTGAGGTCGACAGTGTGATACAAGCTGCGATGTTTGAGATGACGTTCGAGACAGAAAACCACGATGCGATCAAAAGGATGGTGTTTTGGTCAATGCGGCTCTCGTTGTTGAAGAGCTCTCTGCTTTTACCGGCCCGGCGCGACCCTGGGGAGCATCTAGGCGCTACCCCGCGGCCACGCACCGCCACATCTCACATCACCCTGCTACAGCGAAGCACCGGCCCGGTCAGTATTCGCACCGCCACATCACAGCGAGCGATAACCGGCTCATACGTTATGCGACTGGGATGATAAGGTATCTTTTCCCGAGACGCTGGATTGTCATGTGGGGTATATATAGTCCAAGAAAGCACAACAAGGCTTCCATCCAACATCTTTGAACAATCGTTTCTCATTCCATTCACTTACTCACCCACAGCTACCTAGTATCATATTCTCTACCACCATGGCACCCTCCGCTGTCCAAGCCGAACCAACGGCAACCCCACAATCAAAGCAACTCAACTCCAAATCCAAAGACGATGTAGTTAAGGAATTGACACCTCTGCAAGCCATCTCGCAGGGTGTCTGTCTTCCTGGAATCCCACTCTTTTCCTCGTACGACAAGCACCGAGCATGGATTCTGTCTCACATGGCCGGTACGTCCATCAAAACACCCTCACTTCGACTTCCCCCCACGAGCAAGAAGAACAAAACAAAAACATAGAAAAAACATTAACGCCCCTTCCAGGCGCCTTCCGCATCTTCGCCCGCAACAACCTAACGGAAGGAATGTCGGGCCACATCTCTGTTCGCGACCCAGAGCACCCGCACACATTCTGGACAAACCCCCTGGGCAAGCACTTCGGCCTCCTAAAAGCCTCCGACATGGTCCTCGTCGACTACTCGGGCGCCGTCGTCGGCGGTTCCCAAGCCCGGCCCGCCAACGCTGCAGGTTTTCTAATCCACTCCGCTATCCACAAGGCGCGTCCGGATGTGAATGCCGCGTGCCACTGCCACGGCCGGGCAGGCAAAGCGTGGAGTGCGTTTGCGAAACCCCTCGAAATGATTAATCAGGATGTGTGTTATTTGTATGGCGAGGCACAGGCGGTGTATGAGGATTTTGGGGGAGTGGTTTTTACGGAGGAAGAGGGGAAGAGGTTGGCGAAGGCGTTGGGGCCAAAGGGGAAGGGCATGGTGTTGAGGAATCATGGGTTGCTGGTAAGATCTTCTCCCTCCTTTCTTCCAAAGATACCCCAGTTTTGTGGATTCGGCTGACTCGTATATGTAGACGGTGGGAGGAACAGTCGATGAAGCAGCCTTCTTGTACGTCCTCATGGAGCGCTCTTGCGACGTGCAGCTTAGGGTTGAGGCGGCGGCTGCAAACGGCATTCCAAAGGTGCTGGTGGATGACGAGGCGGCAGAGTATACCTTCAAGATGTCGAGTGATCCTGAGAGTTTGTACTGGGAATTCCAGCCGGATCTGGAGTACGAGTATGAGATGAGTAATGGCGCGTTTAAGCACCCGGATTGCGATGAGGTTATTTGGCCGGGGTATTGATTGGATTTGAAGGGAGGATTATAGACTTCGGATTTAGAGATGAGAATAGAGGTTTTATTCATATATTTCTGTACTTATGAAGGGATGTGAGAAGGTGTAGCGATACAGTTGCTGTGAGTTTTGTGACTCTGATAGTTTGAAATCTCAATTTAATCTTGGGATGTTTATTATTTCTTCCAGAAGTCTTGGACTCTGCTGAAACACTGATCTCGTAGATGTTGTTGATCTCAACAACCTACTAGCCATCTTGCCCTGCATCCCGGCAGCAAACAATCCTATCTTCCAACCTGTTGATCTCGAACAAAACATCGAGCAATCAGCCCATATCTACCAAGCACAATGGCCACCATCAACTCTCAAGTCCTAAAACCCCCACATTAGCACCGCACCCAAATCTCCCAAACCATGACCCCAAATACTTACTGAACCAGTAACATAACTACTTCCCTCCCCTAGCAAAAACAGTACCGGCGCCCTAAACTCCTCAACCACACTAATCCGCCCTAGCATATTCTGCCTCGCCCACTCATCCGTCAAACCCCTCTCCCTCGCCGCCCGACTCAACGCAGTATCGATATGCCCCGGACTAACCGAATTAACCCTAATAGGCGGATACACCTCTCTCGCGCCCATGACTCCTCCTTCAGGATTCGTCTCCGACACCGTACTACCCGGGAAAGTATTCTGTGGATGCCCCCACTCCGCCGCCAGCGACCGACACAACTGGTGCACACCAGCTTTGGAAGCGTTGTACGCGGCTGTGTTGATACCGCGGTTGGAAACGTGGCCCGAAATGGAGGCTATGAGGACGATGCTGCCGGTTTGTTGGGTGCGGTGGAGTTGACTGGCTACGGCGCGGGCGATGAGGAATGTGCCGGTTAGGTTTACGTCGAGGATGCGGCGGAAGGTGGCGGTGGGGTAGGTGCAGGCGTCGCTTTCTCCGGAGATTGCGGCGCAGTGGACGAGGCCGCGGATGGGATGGTGGAGGATTGGGAGGAGGGCGGTGAAGGCGGTGGTTATGCTGGGTTCGTCTTGGATGTTGAGGGTATGGTAGAAGGCGTGGGTGTTGTTGGCGCGGGCGGTTTCGAGGATGGTTTCTGGATCAATTGGTTTTAGTATGAAGAATATGGTTGAGGGTGAGGGGTGGGTGGTGTGTACCCCAAGTTTCTGGGTTGGGTTCGGGGATGATGTCTAGGAAGACTACGTCTCCACCGCTTTCTAGGATTGCTTTGCCGACACATGTCCCTACGGCTCCTGCTCCTCCGGATACTGTTTTACGTGGTTAGCTTAGGAATTCATGTTGCAATGTGCCAGACCTATGATGGTTCGTCCATCTAATCTGAAAAGGTCCTTGGTCGCTACGTGGATTGGCGGAGGATGGGTCATCTTGACGTATGTACTGACTAGATAGGAGGAAGATAGTAACAGTATGCTCTTTCTGCTTTGATTGCTTACGAAATGTGTTTCTTGTAGTATACTTCCAAGTGCGGGGCTATGACGTTTAGGTGCAGGAAAGGTTGCGGCTTGAACACCACTGTTCTGAGGTTTCACGGAATGCATTAGGGTACTGCCTTTCGGAGTTTGAGGTTAGATAAACAGCAAAACAACCAAATCGCCGCCTTACAGCGTTTTTTATGTAGATTGCTCATGAAATAGTGAAATGGGGGAATCCCAATATTGCAAAAGATGATTCCTATTCTGGGGGGGCATGTTGAACGACTGTTGCCACGTCGGTGGCGTCCATGTACTCCAAGCTGATGGCCCGGGCTCCCCTAGAAACTGTTGCATAGAAGCCCCCTGTTCGGATATTGTACGAGGTATGTCACCCGCCTCTCCTAGAGCATCCGCAAGACCAGCCATTTCTTCTTCTCCCACTGTATTGTCAACACAATTTCCCTCTTTGATTTCATATTCCCATTCGAGATGCGTGCCCATGGTAGACTCAGCACGGTTCGATAGAGTCTTCTGAGCCAGGACATCGTCCAGGCCACTGAAAGGACGATGTATGATTTGGAGAAGGTAGCTGGCTGCTTTATGAAGTGGGGAAGAGCCAGCGGGGACGTTTGGCAGATAGATATGCACCGGTAAGCCATCATCCGCAGAGGTATCTTGAAACCCACTTCCAGATAGATCATGTTGCTGAAATATGTCCATCTGAGCGGTCAAGAGGCTACGGAACTTGACGGCAAGGGCATCCTTTTGCGCGCAGTAGTCTAATACATCTACACATTTGTTCAGCAGCTCAATATTATCGACGCTGGAGATTCCGTGTAGGGCCTTTTGGGTGGCCTTGTGTGCGATCATGACGCCCACAGTATAGGCAGTGTAGCTGTGTTTTCTTTAGCTGTTACTCGCTTATGTAGGCCAATGTATCTCACATGCAAAGCCAGCAAACTTGGACCACTTTCCCTTCCTGAAGCATGATATTCATCACGGAAGCGTTCATCTGTGCCGCGTGGTAACCTTCCTCAACAGCGCGTTGTGCTTCTGGTGGAAAATCAACCTTGCCAGGAACGTCGAGTGGAATGTACGCAATGATAAGTCGTCGGGCGAGTAACATCATAGCTGACAGGTAGAAAAGATGCACGTAGAAGATCACCGGGCGAAAGGTTATCATAAGATCGCCGCCAGTATTGCCAAGCAATTTAGCAGCGGTCATCCATTCAGGAAGTTGGGCGTGAAATCTCGATAGCTGTGCACGGAAGTCCAATGTGACCACTTCGGGGACAGGTGCTCTGGCTGGTAGGCGATGAAGTAAGGCAGCCTTGATGATAGAGACCTTGACACACTCACGCCGGATCATATCCTCGGGAGGCACGTCAAGATCATCGAGAGGTGATGGAGACATGGGTCCTAAGAAATGTGAATTGTAGTCGAGGGAGGCACTCAGCCAGCTTGATAATGATCAGCGATTTATGATTCGCAGTAACGGCCAAGAAAGTATTCACCACTGCAGATGAACGAAAGTTCTATGTGTTCGACGAATATCGTCATATTCACTTGCAGACTAGTATGAGGGGCATTGCTTAAGATCAAGCTTTTCGTTGCGCGCAAGACTCAAGCCGAGTTCTGGAATCTCTTAGCAGCATGGAGAAAGAAAGTTTTTGATTCATACCGATATAAGCCAAAGCCACTGTGGCTTTGACAACAACGTTGTACATGCCTATCAGCGCGCACACCTTCATTGCACGTAAGGGGTTGTACAAGATAGCTGAGTCTAGGCCGTGTTTGGCGACCGCATAAAAGTAATCAGCGAGTTCAGCTGGCGGTGCTGTGGCCGGGTCGGCCAACTTCGCATGAACGACGCCAATAGCCGCCATACCCGCGAGTTCTGCGGCGTAGGTCCGCAGCTCAAGGCTACTTCCATTGCTGAAGAGGTCGCCAAGGGGAGTCCGACTATTGCCAGAAGCTGTTATAGTGACGATACTTGTGTCTGCATCTTCTCTGGTCATGATATAGAATAATACTCCTATGCAGTCGAAGAACATGTTCAGTGAACCTTGCAGTCTATCGACGGTTGCACTTGACTGGTCAGGAGAAAGTAGAAGCACTTTCGTCACTTCAATGTGACGCTTACGAACGGTCGAAAATCGGGGATGATCCATGATTCCTGGCGCAGCGAGTATAACAAATGCTGGCGATTCACTCGCGTTGGGGTTGGATGTAGAGGAGGGCTCAGCAGATTGGCTGCGATTCTGTTCGAACTGCTTCAGGATGGCCCCAATATCTCCATCCTGAGCTGCTCGCAAATGTTGAAGGAGTGCAGAAGCCTTTTCTGGCGATGTAGTCTGTAGATACCACAGAACCTCATAAAATGAGTTCTTGTCCTCTTCCAACTGCTCGATCTTCCTCTTCTGTGCCTGGACAAGCTGTGGCCCTGTTGGCTGACCATATTGGCAGGTCAGGTATCTTTCCTCGCAGCTACGACAGGTTGGTCTGGCGCCGTCGCACTGAGTAGTGTTAGCTTTTTTTTCTACTTGCGACCAAAGAAGAAGTTCGTGGAGAAGTGAGGGACCTTTGCACGCCTTGTGCGACAAGCTGTACACGCTATCGCAACCCTCGAAGGTCTAGCTGAACCATTGGATGATGACGCAGCATTACTGGCAGCCAAGTCTTGGGGACGAGGCGCTAAATCTCGCAAGCTGGACATGACTCTTTTGATGGTCTATCAAGGTGCCGTTGGGAAACTTTCAGCAATGTGAAGCTGGCAGTCATTCATATCCAGATGTCCTGACCTGGCCTGTGCATGCTGGGCGTAACCAAATCATGTGATATGAAATATCGGATGGCAGCGACTTCGGTATGTAGCATTGGTTGTATTCTTGCTCATGCTTCTTCGCAATACTTTACATTCCTCAACTTGCGCTAATAGCTTTGTGTACAGTATAGTTACTGTACTTTGCGTAGTCGGCCCTTTTTCGTTGCCGTCACCGATGACGGAAATGTTCCGAGGGTCAAAAGTCTACTGTGTGCTCGTTGCAATCAAGAAACCATGGAAAATGACCAACGATACAGAAGCTAAAAAGGTTTATCTGGCATTTTTATTCTGCCTCAAAATCCATGAAAAGTACCATATCATCGCAGATGCAATGTTGCCATGTCAAACGTCAATACATACACATGACGTCTATTGAATCACAACCGGAAGATACCAGAAGCTGTTCTAATTTGGATCGTATACGATCTTTGAGAGGAACAAAGGACCGGGAAACAATGCTATAGCAATCTCTCTGACTTGGTACGGATGTAAAGAAAGCAATTCCAGGAGGAGTAGGGATGAGGAGGAAGCCTATGATCAGAGTAGGTGGGAATTGAAAAGGTAGATAAAGACTTTGGTGGAGTAGTCTATAAGGTAGTGGACACAGACGATGGATCACTGCCATTGAAGTACATGATTCCTTGACAAACACGGCTCGACTAGACTAGAATAATGTCAATTATTCGTCTCGGAAATAGGTAACTAGCTCTATTCTTCGACGATATCGTGCAGAAGTTGGTAGAAGAAGCCATGACGGATGGCGCAAAAGCCAGGCAAGGCTAAGCGAGGCGTTCCCGGTAGCCGTTGCATGACCGGCGCATCCGGGGAGTTGTCGACCTTCATTCGCAGCCCATTATGTCGGCTCCGACCGAGTCGAGCGCAACCAAAGTGGATTTGAATGACGAGGATGCGCCCAGGGTAGAGGCGCTGTTTCTGATCAAGTTTGACAAGAAAGTCGGGTATGTTATGCGATAGTCGGAATGGCCATGATGGTAGCCTAGAGTTGCTAAAGGAGTTGTGCGCTGACGACAGGTAGCTATACTATCGCCTGGAAGCGCACATTGACCGAGGAGATATCGCTAGAAAACGCCGTCGAATACAAATCGCTGCCATCGGGCCTCCATACTGTACCCAATGACCTCGTCTACTTTACACATGACGGCTATGCAGGGCTCAGCGCCTTTGCAAAGGGCGACGCCGGCGAGGAAGACCGCAATGCCAATTTCGTGTCAGTAGGCATCTTGGTGAGAAAAGAGGGGAGACATGGACGGTTAGGCAGGGCGTGGTTGCTCGCTGGCCGCCTGGAGAAGCTGGCGACGGCACTGGCGATCGACTCTGAGACGGTGGCACCACTCGAGGACTTCTGGCAGGAGCAGGCTGCCTCAAGACATACCAAGGGTGATGCCATGGATAATGGAGAGACCAATGCGCGCAATAGGCCGCGCGCCATCTCAACCGTCAGCGCTGTGTCCAAGGACGAAGAGAGGCTGCCACAGTACCACCCGGCCTTATCCATACAGCGATTTCTCGATATCTTCGGTCCCCTGGTGAGTAGCATATATGCCTCATGTGAGATGTAATAACTGACGTGGCCAGGTGTTCCGACTACAGCAGGCGGCACTGCTGCGGAAAAGGATACTTTTTGTGGGCGTTCCTCCTGTCAGGATTGCTTGCGAATTTGGTATGCCTCAATCCCTCGGATACGGTATGAGTAGTTGAAGCTGACGTGGCCAGTGTACAACCTCTCTGTCCTCTCCAGCATATCACCCCGCGACACAGAACATTGCACGCCCGGATCTGATGGGCTCCTGCGCCTACCCTGCCTCTTTTCCCTCGGCGTGCACGATATACCGTACCTGGAAGACCTTCGTAACCCCAAACACGGAGCGCACACACCAGATGCCGATGCATCGGAAGGCTGGGTGGCATGCACAACCGACGAGATCATTGTGACCAAGACCCAACTATACGACATCATAGTCGAACTACCACACACATACGACGCACCCGCGCAGGAGCGACGCTGGCCGCGGATACGGACGAGCGATGGTAGCTTGATCAAGGCTAGTCAGCGGGATGTGGCACGCTACAAGCTCCTGCACAAGGAACTCTTCAAACAGCGAACGCGGTCGCAGACACCGCATGAGCCGTATGCCGACGAGGACAGCGACGATGCAGCACCACTGCTATCGCGTGACGAGGTTGACACGAAACGCGCCGACGACGAGTTCAACGAAGCCTACGACGACACAGTGGTGGAACCAATGACTTGGTCACGGCTAGCATACATGGGCTACATGTGGTGGGCTTCGGCGGGCGAGAAGGATGCTTTCACAACCGCGGAGCAGGAGACTGACCGGGAGCTGATTGGCGACCTCTCCGACTACTCGCAGTCAGTAGAGACAGCCATTATTGCCTACTTCCACCGCCAGTCGTCCTTGTTAATACAATCGCTCTCGCAGATAGTCGAGGCCGACCAACAGGGGGAGAGAGATGAAGATGAAGACGAGGACGCGACGCGTTGATCATTGACAGACATGACTTGTCAAGGATGGGACTGGACAGCTGGTCAGAAGCCGACCGGGCGTTTGTGCAGGAGTTTGGCAGTCTGTACTTTGGGCGTACTGTTGGGGTCAAGGGCAGTGAGGTGGACTGTTGTGGTTTGAGGGTGCCCATCTTCTAGCAGGGCTAGGGGGGTACAGCCAGCCACGGAAATGGGTGCTACCGACTGCGTGGTAATGGAATGACGCGGTTACATGAATATAAGTGTACTTTTCACTCACATTGAATCGCGTCGTATGAGATGTTGCGTAATAAAGCGTACCTGAAATACCCGCTGTCATACTACGAAGCACAGTGACCATAGGCTAATCGGGAGGCACGCAACCGGTTTGGAACCATCTATACCGATCTAACCTGCGGGCGCGTATGCACACTAGAATCATAGTGCTTTGGCCATCGGGTTCGGCGCAGTGCAAAGCTCGTAAACAATCAATCAAATGCTCATGATTTGCTACAGGTGACGAGTTCAGCGCGGCCGAAGTCGGACCCCGCAATTGACTGACCGGGCGCAAGCGAATTTCTGCGCCCCGCATCGTCATATGCCAATCGCCGGCTCTTGTGGGCTTACTAGAGTACGACCGAGCACCAAACTTTTATCCTCGAGGTGTGAATCATACCCTCAGTATCCGCACTATATAGCCGCCCTGTGTGTCTTTCGTCACTGGTATTTCTACTCACACTCGTCTTTTAATCCGTCTTGTCGCCTCGTACACATAGATAATTTCAACATGCCGATGCTCGCGGAGCCCTGGAAGAAATACCAACCATTCAAGCCATTGCACCTGCCGGACAGGACATGGCCCAACAAGACCATAGAGAAGCCACCGCGCTGGCTGTCTACTGACCTCAGAGACGGCAATCAGAGTCTGGTGGATCCCATGGTGAGTATTATAGATAGGGCCGCATCGGTTACACTGACACGGGCCTTAGGATGGCGCGCAAAAATGGGACTACTTCAACATGCTCGTAAAGCTCGGGTACAAGGAAATCGAGGTCTCGTTCCCCTCAGCCTCACAGACCGACTTCGACTTTACCCAACGCCTCATACAAACACCCGGAATCGTGCCAGACGATGTCTGGGTACAAGTCCTTTCGCCATGTCGCAAAGAACTCATTCGCCGCACCGTCGACTCCCTCAAAGGTGCTCGCAAAGCCATCCTCCACCTCTACCTCGCCACCAGCCCCTGTTTCCAGCAGATTGTCTTCGACATGAACGATGAGGAGACGATTGCCCTGGCAGTTGAGTGCACGCGATATGCGCGTGCGATAACAAAAGATGACCCTGCGCAGGTAGGCACGGAATGGGCATATGAGTTTTCACCAGAGACCTTCTCCGACTCGTCGCCCGAGTTCGTCATCAAGGTCTGCGAGGCCGTCAAGGCTGCCTGGGAGCCCAGTGTCGAGAACCCGCTCATCTTCAATCTCCCGGCTACCGTGGAGATGTCGACACCAAACGTATACGCCGACCAGATCGAATACTTTTGCAAGAACATTTCAGAGAGAGAGAAGATTTGTGTGTCGCTGCACCCGCACAACGACAGAGGCTGCGCAGTTGCGGCGGCAGAACTGGCACAGATGGCGGGCGCGGACCGAGTAGAGGGCACCCTGTTTGGCAATGGAGAGCGCACGGGAAACGTCGACCTTGTAACGCTGGGCTTGAACTTGTACACGCAAGGAATCCACCCCAAGATTGACTTTTCTGACCTCAAGTCAACCATAGACATGGTCGAGAGCTGCAACAAAATCCCAATACACCCGCGTGCACCATACGGTGGTCAACTTGTCGTGTGCGCCTTCAGTGGCTCACATCAGGACGCGATTAAGAAGGGTTTCCAGATGCGCAAGAAGAATGGCGCCACAAACGAAAGCCGGTGGCAGATCCCATACCTCCCGCTCGACCCCCAAGATATTGGCCGTACCTACGAAGCCATTATCCGTGTCAACTCCCAGAGTGGCAAGGGAGGCATTGCTTGGATTATTCAGCGCCAGCTGGAACTCGACCTACCGCGTGGTCTGCAAATCGCTTTCTCCAAGATTGTGCAAAAGGAAACCGATATGCTCGGCCGCGAACTTCTACCTACAGAGATTACCCACCTGTTCGAGGAGGCATACCATCTCAAGCGTAACCCTCGATTCTCCCTGATTGATTATGAGATCAAGGCCGACCGTTCAGAAACGCCCCAGCCCCCACAAGATGGCCGAACAGTCAGTAGCCGTAATTTGCGCCGTATCTTTAATGGTGTAATCGAGATTGACGGACAGGAACACAAGATCCAAGGATCAGGCAACGGTGCACTGTCATCTTTGGCTGATGCACTCAGGAGTCTGGGTATCGACCTGGATGTTGTGGACTACAACGAACACACCATCGGTACGAGCAAGGACGCAAAAGCAGCAACGTATATTGGATGCACAGCTGCACAGAGCAGTCAAAAGGTTTGGGGTGTAGGAATTCACCACGATGTAGTCCAGGCATCTCTGATTGCCATGTTGAGTGCTGCTTCTTCAGTAAGTCTATTTGCTACTCTTCAGTGAGGCCCCGTGCTAATGAAGCCTAGTTCCTTTCATCGAGACCATCAACCCCCATCCCGTTCCGCCCCAAACGATCAAATACCCTCGAGATCCCCAGCCCCAACTCAAGTCCGACGAGAACCGGAAAGCAAGCAAATGGTAGCTCGATAGTGGATAAGCTGGAGGCTGCTGTCAGTGGCAATTAGGCAGATACCAAGAGCGCTTGTGTGTAAATGATTCAAAGTTGCTTTGTTGTGCATAATAAATATGGCATTGGTTGGGAAAGACATGAAAACGGTGTTCAAAAGTGTTACATGGGTTTGTCAGATCTGTTGAGATATCCTAGAATAACCGGATACGCATTTTGTCCATGACTCTTCTTAGTGCCCATTCACGTCAGTCCTTCATCTATGCATGTCCACTATTGCTTGTTTTATGTAATGCCGACATCGGCGTCTTTCTATCGAACGCTTACCACCGGCTCAAAGGAATACAGATGTGGATTCTGATCAGATACGACTCATTGAGCATGTCAAACATTCCGACATCGTTCTTGTCAGTGCAGCAATCACTACACACCTTATTCCTTTCCAGCATCAAGAGAGTCCACCAGCTCATCTTTCCCTATCCACAATAAAAAAAGAAGAGAAGAAAAATGGGTTCCGATTCCAGCGACAACGTCCCCCCCTCCCCAGCCTACTTCCCCACCTCCGCCTCGTCCCCCCTCCACCCCCCAACCGCCCTCTACACCTCTTTAAAAACCCTCCCTCCCACCTCCCTCCACACCACCCTCTCCTTCCTCATCCCTCCCCGCAGCGGAAAAGCCTGGCACGTCCCCGCCGGCTCCCTCTTTCGCCTATCCACGCCCCAAGGACCCCAAGTCGGCGACCTAAACATCTGGAACGCACATGACCCACGCGAGCGATTCTGGGCCGCTCGTACAAGACAGTTGCAGAGTAGCCATGTCAAGGAAGGGGATCGGTTGTGGAGTTGTCTCCCGTTCATGAGACCGTTGTGTGGGGTGATTGATGATGGGTGTGAGATAGGTGATGTTGGGAGGGAGGAGAAGAGGGATGCCAGGGGTGGTGTTACTAAATGGGGTGGGAGGTGTCATGATTTGTTGGGGACGAGGTGTGATCCTTATGGTACGTTGACTTTATGTTCTCCCAAAGAAGTATATACATGTAGAGGAAGTGAGAGAAAGGCCGTTGTGATAAACAGAAATTCCATCGGTCGATCAACTAAAACCACATGATAGTTAATAACATGCTCTCCTCAACATCCTACAACTACCACTGCCACTCCAACCTCGTCCGCGCTGTTCTTCCCCACGGTCTCACGGAATACGACGTCCATGACGTGCTCAATGTGTTTCAAGTCACGGGTCTTGACTCTCAAGGGCGGTACTTTATGGAAGCTAGTCCCGCGATGGAAGATAGTTATATTACTTTCTTCGCGGAACAGGATTTGCTTTGTGCGTTGAGTACGTGCCCGGGAGGTGATTTAAGTAGGTGGGGGTGGCATCAAGCCGAGGAGGAAAAGGAACAGGGAGAGGGGATGAAGAGTACTTGTAGACCGATTGAAGTGGAGGTAATGGAGGTTTTGGATAAGGCGGTGTTGGAAGAGTGGAAGAGGCCGGAGAGGAGTGGGTATAGGGGGATGCATGGGATGGGTGTTCCGGAGGGAGAGGTTTAGACATGATGTATCTTTCCATGTCAACCATATTGTCTTGAGAAATTGATACGTGAAAAAAAAGTATATTCAAGAACTTTATGTATACAGTCCTCTGATGTTCATACTCTTGTCAACGCAGTTTACAACTTCACACCACCATGTATCTTGCCCCCATCAAGCACAATCGTATCACCGTTGACATGCCCACCTGCCCGACTGCTCAGAAACACAACCGCAGCAGCAATATCCTCTGGCCGACCCACTCGTCCGTTCGGGCTAGCCTTGCCCAGCGCTTCCTCTCCACCTGCCTTTTCCATCAGCCCAGCCGCCATCTTGCTCATGAAGAACCCGGGTGCGATGCCGTTGACGAGGATGCGGCGTGGTCCCAGCTCAACAGCGAGGTTGCGGACGAGATGTAGCACGGCGGCTTTGGAGGCGGCGTAAGAGTACGTGCCCGATTCATCGCCAACGGACGCTGTGGCGATTCCAGCAACGCTACCAGTGACGATGACGCGGGAGGGCTCTTCTCGTGTCGCGGATTTGGCGAGGAGGGGAGCGAATCTGGGAGTTTTGTCAGTATAACGTCGAATCATGCCTGAAGAGAGTCATACTTCTGTATCGTGAAAAACACGCCCTTGACATTCAAGTCCATGACCCTATCCCATCCATTCTTCTCGTCCACCTCATCGAACCGGCTTCCCCAGGTAGCTCCTGCATTTGCAAACAAGATATCAACGTGATCCGTATGCTTTGCTACTTCGGCGACCAGCCGTTCGATATCAGCAACCTTGGAGCTGTCGGCGGGTATCGAATATGCGGTTGCGCCGGGCTGTTTGTTGGGCAACGCATTGAGGGCAGCGACGGCTTCGGTGCAGGCGCTAGCTTTGCGCGAGGTGATGAAGACTTTGGAGCAGCCGGCTTGGAGGAGGCTGAGAGGATGTTAGTGGTTGTGGCGGGTTGTGAGGTTTGAATGTACCCAGATGCAGCGTGTAATCCCAGACCTCGCGATCCGCCGCTTACAACGGCGACTTTGCCTTTGAGACTGAAGATGTTTGAAAAGTCCTGGAGCTGGACATCTCGTTCTGCCGGGGTAGACATGATGGCGGTTATCTTGCCGGCGAGTTCGTGAAGGTTACAATGAGATTTTACACTGGCAATGGATCGACAGGAAAAGTCCGACGGCGATGAATGTTTAAGTTTGTGGGCTTGAATGAGTTGCTGAAGCGTACCAATTCTCTGTTGTTGCTGCCGTCGTGATGCGACCGAGGTGTTAGCGCAGGACAGGCGATGCTTGAGGTACGTTGTACCGAGGCACGAAATGACGCTAGCTATGAGGGGTAATAGGAAGTTCAATGGGTCGCGCCTCGATAGTGATTGATGGTTTGTGTGGTTCTGCCTAGGCGCGGGTATGACGGACTGGAAAACATGATGAAAGATAGTTATCGTATGTGTACAAGCGACGAGAATGATGTGGTCGTTGGGAAGTGTGTCGAGCAATGGGGTTGTTTGAAGCAGACTCTAATTGATGTCGACTACACACATAGTCATTTTGGATCATCGTATGCGACTACCCAGAAATCTAGTACGGGGAGATAACGACCATTAATTCGTGTATACAAGGAAGGACCACTTCATCTGGTACGGCAGCCGTGGATTTCCAGCAACATGAAGGCGTCCTGCGCCTGCTCATGTTCTGGATGCTCCTTCCTTTGCTATAGATGGCTGGTGCACCGCGACAAGAGTCTGTGGCTCTTTGGAAAGGATTCTTGTCTGTTCGGCTCACTGCTGACAGCATCGAGGTAAAGTGAGGCCGGAGATAGCTGGTCATTTACTGCGTGGTTGTTGGTTCCTGTGGGACTTGGCAAACTAGCAGGTTGTGTACAGTACACCCGGGCAGAAGTTTTGCCCAAGAAAGTTCGGATATTGCAGGACATATGTGGTAGACGATCAGCGCGTCGACGAAAGCTATTTTGACGCTGCTCGCCGACCCGGCACAAAAGCCGCCAAATGTACACGTCGTCACGTCGCCACTCTACTCCAACACGACTCCAAATTGCGCACGTCTTGCCCCCACCGACCAGCAACAAGCTTTGCCATTCTCCGAGGCCCTAAAGGATTTTCTGCATGAGATCTCATCGGGTACTGACACCTGTGGATCGGCGTTGTTGGAAACCGCCAGGCGAGAGATCGGCGGCGGAAATGGAGCCTGTCACCAACGGCGTCTTATCAAAGGGCCGATCACGCACATGTCAAGCTCACAGCTCGGGCTGCACCACTCAACCCTCGCACTCGCGTCTGCCAAGATGTCGTCGGCCCTGTCTCGCAGTCTCAGTCTCAGTCTCGCACTCGCAGCTCGCACACGGCAGGAGCGGCTTCGCAGCGGGCTACACCCTCGACCATGCCAGCCCAGCCTGCTCGCAACCCCATCGGTTGCCTTCCTGAGACGGAAGCTACCGACCCGCCAGGGGCCACGCAATCATAGACGATCCCACACCACCGAGTCAGCACCTTTGTAGATCCTGAAGACTTTGTTTACCCAGCATCCTCCTTGAACGAGGCAGTCCAGGCATGCAGTCAACAGGGACAACATGGAATCAATACTCGTCGGCAGGCTGCGGATGTTACCGTTGTGTCGTCGACTCCACGCGACATGTGCGACGATGCACACGATATAAAAAAGACTAACATTTCGGAGTCAAAGAATGCCCGTTCCCGACTGGGAGTGTGGAAGACTTGGGCGTGGCGCGCATGGCCTGCGCACGGCCAGATCAACATGCTCAAAGACTCAACACATGTCACGGCCAGCTAAGATTGCTCCTCGTTCGCGCGGACGCTACAACCTTCTATGCCGTGTATCAGAAACATGACCCTTTCTTCGATACAGTCCGGCCCAAAGTCTCGTAGGGCGCCAGATCCGCCCTGCCTGTCCGGCAACTGCTGTCAGCTTCAGGTGGCGACGCCTAAGCCTAACGCCGCGGTCTAGACGGAACACTTCGGCAGTTGGAAGTAGGTTTCCACCCACCTAGACCAGGTTTTCGGTCTCCTTGGCACCGGATTGCTTTCCATGTCTCTTGTGACTGGCCGGGGTCACTGTCACGCCAAGCGTGAAATGACAGACTAGCAACTAACAATACTAGCCCCGCCTGCGGGTCTTCCGGGACGGACGCGGACACGCGCAGCGAGCGTGGGGAAACACGTTTTGCAGGCGTGCCATTGCCATACATGTTGTTTTTGACGCGTGCCGCACATGTCAGGGTTTCTCCCCGGCAACGCTGCTTGTCCTGTGTCCATGATCCCGAACGTTGTTCTAGACGACGAGGAAGCAGCTCAACACCTGTGGGTCCATGATTGGTATGGAAATTATCACCCACGTAAGTACTGTATCTAGCAAGGAACGTGGCCAGCCCTATGTCAGATGCACAGACAAATCGGAATCCTTACGGTAATTCCAGTGGCTGTGGCTTGCCGCGTACGGCGACTTCGCCGCTCAACGTGCTGTGGCTAAGCAGGTCTGGTTACAGTATCCGCTGCCCCAAACCTTAAGGGGCGAGAGACTGCTTCGCTAGTGAATCACCATACCACGCTTGTTGCCTTGTCGGTGAGGGACAAAATACGGTTGTACGCCTCTTCTGCCAGCCTTTCTTCCCGCCCCTACCTATTCACCCGAGCAAATTCTCTTGCTGTAGACGAACCGCGTGCTCTCGCCATGGCTGCACGCTTTAGCGAAAAGCCCCCAATCCCTCATGCAGGTAGACCCCTGCCAAAATCTCGCCGAAAGGGTATGCCTTACACACTTTGGGTGAAGCGATGTGGACCTTTTGGCGATTAGGCACGAACCGACCATCTTCTGGAACATGAGGCTTCACTTGCAAAGCTAGCCGTAGTGGATGTCTCCCACCCGGACCTACATCCGACCTGACGACGGAGCTGAAAGCCCGCGTGGTATTCGAACTAGAGCACTCGCTTCGCATCGTCCCGAGTGACCAACGTCGCCAGCTGTACCCACTCTACGATGCCATTGGGTTGTATTCACGAAACACAAAGCACGTTGCTGAACACCGCTTCTATCGGCCCACCCTTAACGGGAGCCAAAACACCATCTTTAGGCGTTTTTGATACTATCTACCCATAATAAACTCCGACTTTCCAACTGCCCGGTAGATGCAATGCCCATGTACCTAGTTGAGTGTTACTGTTGGTAAAGACTTGCGGAAGTACCCCGTCGTTCCAGGATCCTACAAAACTAGCCAGCGTCACCGAAGCTACTTCCTAATCCAGCACCTATCGCAAAGTGTGACACATGCCGCGGAAGAGTTACATTTGCTAATCCCTGCGTCGTTCATTGCATTCGTCCGATATTGAAAGGTATGGTGGCGACTAGGCCCGGCCCTTCTACCGTCTCACCAAGAGCTGTGCCGAGACCACTTGCATTCGGGAACTGATCTTTCTAGTATTACGACTTGGAGACCCGCCCCATACGAAAGCGACAGATTACCAAACCTTCACTTCATCGGATACTTGCCGAGATTTTATCATTATTCCCACGACCCTTGCCGTCTGCTGAACCCCTTCTCACCTCCCTCTAGCCTTGTTCTCCCGTGTCCATACACCCAGCAGACATCGTTTTCGTGGCCCACTCCAATCAACCTGCTCGCTGTTTCTAGCCCAAAGCTTTGGCATCTCCCTTGACCGAGCGGTTGGCTGACAACAATCGCTCAAGCGACACCGAACACCCGACAACTACGCTTCCAGCCTGTATATCCGAACCGTCTAACCTACCAAACTCGATGCCCGCTTGTACGGCTTCTCCACTCTAGCTGAGAGGCACTTAGTCATCGTGCCCCATCTATCACCTGCACTCTGCGTCAAGCCAGCGTGATGCGCTGAACATCTGCTCCTATTGGCTCGTCACAGATACCCCCGGTGCCACGAGGTGCTCGTATCGTTGGGCAATTCCGAGTAGCGTCCTGCTCGGCTGTTACCGAAGAGCTCCTTCCCCACAACACCTGTCTTATCTGCAGCTCTTCCAGTCCCAAGTGGCAGTGACACCCAAAGGCTCGGGCCCACGTCAAGTGGATGACATGTCTTCCACCACGCGCACAACTCCACCGAATGCAAACGGGCAATCATCACAGACTATGGTACCTCCACCAAATCCATTTGCTATGAAGCAGCCGTACATCCACCCGACTACGCTCCCTACTCCCAATGTGCCCCAAATCGGCTCCAGGTCCCCGGGATACTCGTCACACTCATACAGTCACTCTACGTCACCAAGCACCGCCTCTGGTAGTCTGCCAGAGCTTCAAAACCACGATGGTGCTGGTTCGATGAGATCGCCTACTCAGATGTCCTCTGCGAACCTAAATGCGCAGAAGCGAGCATACAGGCAGCGACGGAAAGATCCTTCGTGTGACGCCTGTCGAGAACGCAAAGTGAAGGTACGTTTTACATGATATGGGCCGCTTGTATGTCTCTGAGCGAGAAACATCAATTCAACATGCTCTCAAAGTATGCGACTAGAAATCAGGGACTCCAATGTCATTAGAAGTCCACAAGCTCAAGTTTTATATTGACTATTCGGCAATGGGGAGTCCCAACTGAGCTGGAGAGCAGCGGAATAGAGCGCGCCTACTCAGTATATAAGCCTTATAGGCGAATATCCATGACTATATGCTAGTGCGAGACATTGGACGGACATTCTGAGAACGTATCTGACTAACCGCTACTCCAGTGCGATGCTACGGAGACTTCGGCCTGCTCAGAATGTTCGAGTCGTAACCACAGGTGTCAGTTCACAAAAGAAACCAATCGCCGAATGTCCTCGATCAAGTACGTAGCCATCATGTGCGGTAGTATGCCCAATGAATGCTTATTTGGTATAGACAGGTTCAAGACCTCCAGAGTCAGATTGCCGAGTTAACTCAGGTCAACTCCCAGCTACGAACCAAAGTTTCGGACAAGGACCCGTTAGAAGCCGATCGGACGGATATGAAGCGAAGATACTCTGAAGCACACGTTGGCGCCACATCAGGACCGCAGCGAATGTCTGTACCAGTCTTGCACAATTTCGATCACGTCCGCACCAACATCATATCGTATGCTCAGGGTGTATTCAGCACGCCTCACGGAAATCACGGCCACGGTGTTGAGTCGAGTTGGCATATGCCAGAAGTACCCTTACGGACGGATTTTGTATATTTTTCCCAGGCGTATCATGTTACAATACATGAGTCGTATCCTGCAGTTCATTGGCCCACATTTCAACTTGAGGTAGACGCCGTTTATGCGTCAAGGAGCTTTGAAGGCAGACCGCGTGCATGGATTGGTTTATTCTTTGCAATACTAGCTTGCGGTACCTTGCGACCCAGGACTGATCGCCCAATGTCTCCTTCTGTAACATCAACAGGTCAGGCAATGTTCGAAATTGCAACTTCCGCCGTTCAGCCTTGGCCCCAGGATCTTTCCGTCACACATGCGCAAGCGGCACTGGTACTGAGTATATATGCGTCTGAGAGCAACATGCGCTCGGTTAGCTCCATGTGGCTTGCGTCTGCCGTAAGAATTGCGCAAGAGTTACAAATCTGTCCTGAAGTCGATTGCTGGTCGGCTGTTGTGGGAGAAACACGGCGAAGGCTGTGGTGGGCCATTTATGTGCGCGACAGGTAACACATTGACCCGTAGATCTTATTTACGTATATCGCTAATATTGACACAGAATCACGTCTCTGGAAACAAGTAGACCAATGCTTATCCACGAAGACGACTGTGAAATCTCGCTCCCATCTTCGTCGGCCGACCACTACATTACACCCAACGGCTCGTTTCGAGGGATTCCGGAGCCTGTTCCATGTACTGGCTTTTTGGCTACAATACAGATAACCCGCTCATACGCACCATTATCTCAGGCGCTGAAGTCGAGCGTCATCATGCCAAAGACGTTGCAAAACTTTGATGAGCAGTTGCGTTCAAAGTTACTAATACTCCCAGAAACCTACAAACCAGATTCAGATGGTTACTTCGACTCGAAAGGATTACCCACCGTCTTCGCCGTACTCTCTGCTCGATTTCATCTCTACAGACGCAACTTCAGCCCCGTCTCCGGTCCGAACGAACGAACGAACGCATTGAATCGCTGCGTCTCTGTCGCTGAGGACACATCGAAGTACGTCTCGAGAGTGCTGCATAATCCCGTAATGCAAGATGCTGGGAAGAACTGGGCAGAAAGAGTGGCTTTGATTGCGAGCAACACGGTTTGTTTGCACTTGTGGCGGTGCATTCTAGTGTTGTGCTTCCGAAGCGAGTACGATGCTGCGCTCATGTGCTTGCATCTTTCAAAGGCTATTGGAAACCTGCGCAAGATTAACGTTGGCTGTGGGAGACACATCGGATTCGTTTTAGACCGGTTACTGGATCGAGTGCGCAGCGGCCACGGAAGCATCCAACAACTTGAACGGGACGAAGAGATGATCGCATACGTCAGTGGTGATGCTCAAAGTAGCCTAGAGCATTCTTGGGTTTGGTCAGGCACGGATTTGGCCTTGTCAACCTCACAGGATGTGTTTCCTGGTGCTCCGCGACAGTCAGGAGGTGATGAGCCGATGAGAGACGCGCTACCCTACCGACCGTCATCTTCTACACCAACGAACGGCACGACAGATTGGGATGAGTGGGCAAAGATTGAGCATACAGTGCGTCAATTGATGGGCGAACATGTCCATCGAAACACGCAGCCATCATCCTATTATCTACCACCGCACAACCCTGTGAAGCGTGTACAACTGGCTACGGATATTCTCTCACCGCCGAAGACAACAGCGAACCCAAGCCCGACGCCATCTAGTACAAGTCGTATCAGCATTGCGAACATTATATAGGGTAGGAAGGAAAGCTGGATAACATGGAGGTGTGCACTTGCATGTTGGTGATGTCCATTTTGGGGCAAATATGTTCCGAATGTCGTGCCGATACGCGACAGGGAACAGTTGTAGGGAAATAATCTGTTTTACTTGCCGCATCTATCAAGATGTACAAGAACATCAGTGTTTCCTGCAGGCATAACGTGGCAGCCTTACAAAAGCACGTCCTCGGGTCGATCTCCCGTCAAGAATCGGGATCAGCAAGTTCTGGGCAACAAGAACGGAGCATGCCGAGCGCATGATCCATGTTATGTAAAACCTGGAGGGTATATCTAGGTCTCTCTTAAGTTGCTTTTTGGTAACGGTTCAATTAATTTACTTAGTCATCCATAATATGCGCTACTAGCGGAGTGTAGCAAGCAGCCATACACTCGGCGACATGTTTTTATTGCCACGGCACCTGATAAAGTTCGGGCATGTCTAGCACTTTCTATAAAAGCTGTTTAAATTCACGATAGAGTCTGCCATGATTCAGATTTTGAGTAATCTGACTGTGTTATCACCGCATGACGATGTAGACACTCGAGAAACCGATTGTACAGCATATTCAGCACTGACAGAAGTTGGCTGAATTGGTGTCTTGGGACGTCTTGCCAGCAACCCTATTTCTCAGCACTACCCAACCCACCCAATCAGTACTTCCCACGAGGTTCCAGGCGTTCTTACTCTGCAGCAGAGGGTTACTACTGTGTATCGAAACTGGGCGGGTTCGTGCAGGCGCTGTGCTGCCGTGCGAATATGTTTCGTAACTAGGAGTGTGAAACCCTTGTAGTAGCTGATGGCGAACGCTTTAGCACCTTTCAAATTTGAATGATCATCACATAACTGTGCTTAATCCCGAAGTTTTGACAGTTCACGTCAGATCGTTCCTGGGCCTCCCGCTGCATCCGCCCAACCCCGCACTTAGTCAGCCTACAAAAGGCTAGCCGATTACTGCGAGTGGAGTGGCAGGTGAAAGGCGGTGTAGAATCCAGGGTCGCTAGGGCGAACAAGCTTCACGGGAAAATGCTTAGCCATGCGTGGTACCCCGCCATGACACGTCTCGAAGCAGCATCATAGGCCTACGAACGTGCTCCCTTCCAGTGTTACGCGTTCCCGGGGCCAGGTAAACGCTCAATGCGGGTCCAATTCGCGAGAGATTGGCTCAGGTCATCTCGCTGTTTAATTGACGCGCCGTGAAGCGGTGGCTTGCATGAAATGGCCAGATTAGGATGCGAGCTCAGCATGGTGGGGTAGCAATGAGCGATATAACTGTACATGGCGGCTTCTCTGCTCTGTTCCTTCCTGTTCCTCCTAATCTTGTCTTATCTATCCCGGAGAGCGATCACCGGTTTCTATCGTGCATCTTTCGTATCCCCAGCTTCAACAACAACGCCAATATGGTACATATCAATCGTGTAGCCACCTCCAAGGAGATTACCGAGGAGAAGGCTCAATTTGCGGAGATCTCGGCCTCTACTACTATCAATCTCTCTCAAGAAGATGAGGCCGACGACTACACGGCGACTGTCTATGGCAGCAAGTATGCCGCTGAAGATCTGCCGAGACATGAGATGCCGGTAAGCTGATAAAGTACCTTTGCATTGCTCAAGACTGACTGTATGTAGGATCGAGAGATGCCGCCTGCGATGTACGTATAGCTCCCTCTGGGACACAAGACTAGGACTCGAATGCGTTTTTCCGCTTTTTCCAAACACAAAGCTCGTGAACATGATCGTGAATCTCATACTGAGTGATAACAGTGCCTATCGCATGATCAAGGATGACCTTACCCTCGACGGTACTCCCACTCTGAACTTGGCCTCGTTCGTCACTACATACATGGTATGTTGCCATACCCACCTTCCCTACAAGAAAAGACTGACGGAACAAACCAGGAAGATGAAGCCGAGAAGCTCATGGTGTACGTACAATAACTCTGATTCTTGCTACCACCTCACTAACGCAACCCTCGAGCGACGCCTTCTCCAAGAACTTCATCGACTACGAAGAGTACCCTGTTAGCGCCGACATCCAGAACCGTATGTATACACATCACACAATAGAGAAGAAGTTAGTAGCTGACTGGTACAAAGGATGTGTCTCCATGATTGCGAAGCTCTTCCATGCTCCAGCCGACGCGGATGCGAACACTATCGGTACTTCGACAATCGGATCGTCCGAGGCCATCATGGTCAGTATACACACACTACAATGGAAAGGGGGCTCTGAGCGCTGATTTTGTGTAGTTGGGGGTCTTAGCCATGAAGAAACTCTGGCAGAACAAGCGCAAGGCGGAGGGCAAGCCGTTCGACAAGCCCAACATGGTCATGAATTCGGCCGTCCAGGTCTGCTGGGAAGTAAGTCACTCGTTCTCTCATAATACGCGTGCAAGTTTTCGAAAATACATACTGACATTTCGTAGAAAGCGTGCCGCTACTTTGACATTGAAGAGAAGTATGTGTACTGCACAACTGATCGCTACGTGATCGACCCCAAAGAGTGTGTCGACCTTTGCGACGAGAACACCATTGGTATTTGTATGTTCCCCAAGAGCGAAGGTCATAAATTAGATGCTGACGTAGAAACCCCAGGCGCAATTCTGGGAACAACTTACACTGGCGAGTACGAAGACATCAAGGCCATCAACGATCTCCTCGTCGAGCGCGACATGGATGTCAACATCCACGTCGACGCTGCATCAGGTGGCTTTGTTGCACCATTCGTGAACCCCGGTCTTCTTTGGGATTTCCGTCTACCCAAGGTCACCACCATCAACGTCAGCGGACATAAATATGGACTCGTCTACCCGGGTGTCGGCTGGGTCATCTGGCGTGACCCCGCACACCTGCCACAAGAGCTTGTCTTCACCATCAACTACCTCGGCGCGGACCAAGCTTCATTTACGCTGAACTTCTCCCGTGGAGCATCGCAAATCATTGGACAGTACTACCAACTCATTCGTCTCGGAAAGCGTGGATACCGCAGGATAATGCTCAACCTGACGCGTATTTCGGATTATCTTGCCGCAAACCTGGAATCTTTGGGTTTCTTAATCATGAGCCAGAGGGGCGGTCAGGGTCTTCCTCTTGTTGCTTGCCGTATCGACGAAGATCTCGGCAAGATGTACGATGAGTTCGCCATGTAAGTTTTCATACTTTGTCTCGTGAGACCTCAATGCTAACCCGGATAGCGCACATCAACTCCGCGAGCGTGGATGGGTCGTACCCGCCTACACCATGGCCCCGCACTCTGAAAAGATGAAGATGCTACGTGTTGTAGTGCGCGAAGATTTCACAAAGTCTCGCTGCGACGCTTTGATTGCAGACTTCAAGCTTGCTTTGCAAACGCTGGACGCCCTTGATGCTAAGAAGATCGAAGACCAGAAACAGTATGTACTTTGCAGACATTTTCCAAAGCGAACAATGATACTGACAATCTTGTAGACATGCATTTGCCATGCGCCGCCGCTCGACACTCGTCAGCCCAATCTTCAAGAAGAACGCGACTGACCATTTCGATGAGGAGCATAGTCTACAGGCAAAGACTGGAAAAACACATGCTGTTTGCTAAATCGGTTGTTGAGAATCTGAGAGTGCTGGGTTGTGAGGAAAGACGTGAAATGAGCTTTTCGCGAAATATAGATGTAGATGAAATTAAGAATTTTCCACATCCCGTTTTATTGCTCCACCGTATCTCTTACACGTAACAGCTGATTGCATGTGGATAAAAATACAAGATTAAATGGCTTCAATATCCTCCCGAATCTAGCACATCTTTCAGACATAGGATGTATAGCTGCAAGCCTTTGATGCAGAGATCACAAATCCATCAAGCCTCGATATACTTATCGCGCTTCGTATCTTTGAATCTTGATCTAGGGGCTTACTTCGTCATCACTGCACTCGTACTCGAAGTCTCACTTCTCCCTGACCTGACAAGTTTCAACCTGAATGAAAGAAACGGTACCAACCCATCCTCATCTATATTGACGTAGGCCATGAGGAAGACCGAGATCGAGAACCGTCAAAGTTCGATACCGTCGTAAGGAATTTGGGTACATGTTAGGACGACGCCCCGAGCGGAACGAAACTTACCAGCGAAAAGGTATTGATATAGTAAGAGCTGATCACATGATTTTGTTCGACGTGACCTTACATGACGAGCACTTTCAGCAAGCACTGCTCATATATCTATCCATGTAGTATTTCTGGAATGTCGACCTCATTAATATCCCTATCTCGAAATTACCATCGCTCTGAACCGAGGGTTTCTTAGTAATTCTCAGCGAACTCATCTTGAGCCTGACTAAGAACAGGAAAGAGTGGCGTCTCGTGCACTTTGCAAGCGAAGAGAGACGCTCAAAATCTTGCTCATTCTGTCCACACGATTGCGCCATAAAATGTTTGGTCTGGTGACTGAAGCACACGCGATGGTCTCGATTGCTGAGATCTATAAAAACCAATTGTGATACGAATACCGCACAGCAGATAACGTTGTACTTAATGCATTGAAGACAAATGTGAAAATAGTATCGCAGCAGCGCATGCAACTGCAGTTGATATGCAGCTCGGCACGCTTGCGCCTCGTCGACCGATGCCACGCTCATCAGCAACATTGCCCGTGGTATCGGCAAGGGATCGTGAGCGCCTGAGCAGGTCGGACTCTTGTGTCGGGCAGGGGTCGTACGAATGACAAACTGGGGCAATGAGCAGTCCTTGGGACATGCGCGCGTCCCACCTTCCACGTCCCACGCGCCGCTAAATCACCCGTGGTTTGCAGCCACCCCTTGAGCATATTGTACGCTCCACGCTACCTTGGCGGTAAAAATTCTGGTCAGACGGGTCTACTTAGTACGCCCTACATTTCTAGGCGTGCGCGTAGATGCGATGGACTCCAGCTGGCCTAGGGCTAAGGGCCGCGCCCGTCTAGGCATGAACCAGACCCATTAAGAACTCACCACCCACAAGAAGGGCGCTGATGCCAGATGATGCGTGATCTGTCAGCGCCTCGTTGATGGCTTGTCTCAACTACGTCCTGGCATTATTGTCGTAACTCAGGTTTGCCTTCTCAGCGAATACGCGGTTCTATGGATACCTTTGACCAGGCGAATTAGATTTTCAGCTCGCGGCGTCTTTTAAGTACGGTTCTCGCTACCCTTGGATAATAATCGAGCTTCCTCCTAGTTCAAAGACGATACTTTTCGCTAGCTAAATACGAAATGCACACTTTCGAAAGCAGCGAACGCGACTCGATCACTATTCCCAGCAAAGGAACTCTGAATCTCTCACATAATACATCGAAAATAACTGTAATGAACAACACCTTGTCTGATTATATCTGCACGAGTATGGATGATCAAAACGTGCTTCCCAATAGTCCGCTCCAAGTCAACATCTCCTCACAAATTCTCGATATCATCTTTGAGTATGCTCTCAACAAATTTGACGATTCGGAATATCGAATGGCAGCGGGAACAGCAAAGTTCCTATCTATCATCGATCAGTTTGTCTTGGCAGGAAAGCGAGTGGAGACTTGTTTGCCGGCGTTCCCATTCAAGTCAGCCAACAAGGTCTACAAAGTACTTGGTCCCCTCCCAGACAAAGCCGAAGAACTGGCACTCGAGCGACTAAACTCCATGTGCGCGAGAATAGAACAGATATATAAACCAGGTGCAAAGGTCACCATTATCTCTGACGGTATCACATACAATGGTACGTCCCGGATACTTGATTTCTTACCATTTACAGCATTGACATGATTATAAAGACCTACTATCAATATCAGATTGCGAGACTTGGAGATACGGCGAGGCTTTACGAAGAATGGCTGCAGACAAAAAGTTCAACCACCTTGGCTTTGCTCGTATGCAAGACCTGCTCGACTTTCCGCTGCCTGACAAGTTACGGGAGATCACCTATGTTGCCAACTGTACGAACTTTAGGCGCCTACTTCTCAACAAGTATGGAAAGCCTAATATGAACATCGATCAAGAAATCAAAAGCAACCCGGATACAATGCTGACCTATCTCGGCTACCGGAAGTTCCTTGAGTCAGACCTGAAATACATTTTCGCGCTCGGTGAGGATCGCGGCAGCAACCAGTATAAGAGGGATGTGAAGTATGTTGCAAAGGAAATGCTGATCAGAGGATATGTAAGTCAGATGACTACAATTTGGACTCTCAAAGAACTGACTAGTGAGACAGGCATTTGCTGGTGCGATTAAAGATGCGTTTCCAAACCATCTAAGACTGTCCATACACGAATCCATCGGAGAACACAAGGTTTCGTTTAGCCTCCTGAACACCAACACAGGCTACACTACACCATGGCATTGTAGTGTCGCCCAACTTGCCGATGTCATGGGTGAGCGCACCTATGGCGAGTTTCAGAAGGATCCTCGTTTAGATTGTGTACGAAGAAGGTCGGCAAGCTACTTCAAGGAAAAGTTCGACATTACAGGCAATTTCAGCATCTGCAAACAAACTGCCGATTATTTGCATACCCACAAGCGATTCGACGGCAGGCTAAGTGGACATTCATCGCCCAGTATGACATCAGCAGGTAGCGGGCGCACAACCCCCATCAAGGCCTCCGAACCTACGTCTGATGGCTCATCTAGATCATGAAGTGCCGTTGGAGATATTGGAGTACCACACCCAAGCGTTGCCATCGAGCCGGGATACGGTCGCAGGCTCATCCCCCCAGATCATGGATAGACTGGCAGATGCCAAGCCAAATCAAGTTGTCTTCTCATCAACAAAGGTATCTGATAATGTGCTCATTCCTCAGCCGTCATCTCTCGATGTTTCGTAGAGGCCACAAAACAGCTTGGTGCTTGTATAATCTGGTCGAAGTTAGGAACCTATAACTATAGCTTTTGGGCTATATCGGCCCTCACGATTTGCGACACATCCTAACAATCTATGCTTACGTGAAGGCGGGCTATGCGACACTTTATCTATCCCCTGAAAAGAGTGTCAAGTGATCTGTTTCTGTACTAACAGCGACCAAATGCCACACATGCGCAAAGGTGAGCGATGTTCCTATGTCTCTGATAGTAAAAGATGTTTTACAGTAGTAGCTAATAAAACGACTGGAACTACTAACTCTTGAGGGTCTGCTTGACGCATAATTTACTAGGCTATTCTCTTACAGGAAGAGATTCGGATAGGCTTTCAATAAATGCTGCCTACATACAATAGTCTCCACAGGTTACCTAAACCTATCCTATGGTCACGTTAACTTATGTAAACTACAGATGCTGCTCGCCCTCTTCCTTATGTGGATAGTGAACACGACATGCTAGAATAGACATCTGATAAGAAGTAAAGTAATAGAATTTACTCACCTTTTACTGTGTGTAGTGTAATTGTCTCCTAACTTCAACGGATTTCACAGAGGCCTTTTCGTTCAGCTCTTGATGACAGGTTGGCTAGGGGTTCTCTTCGATCGCAAATTTGCTGCGTCGATGTAATCATTTGAGGACTTTTGGATGCGGTAGTTTTGGGGAGGTGCCTCGGGTCGACTGTACCATGGTACCAGTGTCGCTACCATATTTTGAGCGCCTTGATAACAGATTGCGGGTATTATTACAAACGTTCTTACAGGTCTCGACCACATGCACGCAATGATTTTGAACATTATAAACTTCTAGAATAGCAAAATCAATTTCGCTGACTCCTTGTTTGATGATAGGTTATCACTGGAGATGATGTCACCACAACTAGGGCGAGGCAATAAGGAATTTTGATTTCTAGTTACGTACCTAATGAAGAAAATAGGGGAGTTGAGTTAGTACCAAGCATGTTTTCAGAGCGAGAATTGTTTGCGTGTAATGAAGAGTTCATAAGATATGCGGAGTTAGCGGACGTGGCTGTCAGTTGGGAATAAGGTTGTATTTGTCGCCTAGAATACAAAACATTTGCTTGATACGGCTAATAATACGTTTTTTTGAACACGATTTTTTTTTCATGGTTAATATGTGTCACGGTTTGGTGATGGGACGATGCCTATCTGAGACTAGCGCTGTTTATGGTCACTCACCTACATAAACTTTCCATAGCTTGTACAATACAACCTCAGTCAATCCTCAACTTCTTCCCTATGCGTACGGTTCACCCACTCCAACAGTTATGAGCCCGGCTGCATCCTGATTGTACTCATTTCCCGATTACCGCGTCCCTCATAGCGCACGATTACTAGGCCCCTCATAGCCGCACGATTACCGCGTCCCTCATAGCGCACGATTACTAGGCCCCTCATAGCCGCACGATTACCGCGTCCCTCATAGCGCACGATTACTAGGCCCCTCATAGCCGCACGATTACCGCGTCCCTCATAGCGCACGATTACTAGGCCCCTCATAGCCGCACGATTACCCCGCGTCCACCACAGCGCTCGATTACCCCGCGTCCACTATAACGCACGATTGCTACGTCTGTTCTACGCACACAATGGCTACAGGATCAGCAGTAACTCGAGTTACTGTTATCCTTAATACACCAGATGACTGGTTCAACTGGATCTTTCTCTGCAGAGACTTCGCGAAGGATCACAAGATCTGGCAATACGTCAATCCAGATACACCAAAGGAGAGCCTGCCTGACCTAGAGGCTGCCAATCCTAAGCCTCAGCTCACCGACTATAAGGCTAGAGCTTCTAAGCTCTCTGATCTATCCACTGAGGATCGTGATTCCTACCGATGGGAGGTTGAACAATGGAGACTCGACGAGATCACGCTGCAGAAACAAGAGAGAGCTCTGGTGCAGCTAAATACAGAGATCACTAGGTCTATCGCCACGCGTCATCTCTACCTAATACAGGATCTCCCTACTGTGTACGATCGACTTGTCGCTCTCAAGAAGCAATTCTGTCCTTCTACAGCCGATCGGAGTCGCGACTTAATAGCAAGATACACCAATCTGAAGACCGCTCCACGCAACCTAAAGAAACTCGATGAATGGATGGCTGACTGGATACACATCACTTCTCAATGCCAATCGATCAACCTACCAGAGACAACTAGCTACAGGCCTCAGGAGGATTTCTTGATTGCCTGCCAAGCTCACTATCCAAACTACGCTACTACCTGCCTCGATCAGATATACGAACACGAGATAAACGGTACAAATCTACTCAGCTTGCCCGCCTACGTCGAAAAGATGACGAAGTACATCCGCCGAGCTGCCCAGACCACTGCCACTGAGTCAAGTGTGCTATCTACCTCAGCTGCTAAGCTTGGGATTGCAAACCTACCTTGTGTTTGTGGGTTGTCACACGCTTTACCCGACTGCTGGATACTCAATCCACTTCACCCAGGTCGACCAAAAGACTGGACACCAGCACCTATTGGAGTCCGCAAGGTTGAACAAGCTCAAAAGGATCCTAAGATTTCGAAGCAAATAAAGGACGCCCTAAATGAATGGGCTTCACGTCAACAGTATAGAGACAAGATTCAGGTAGATGACGGCCAACCACCTAGTGGTGGTACATCATTCGTGGTTCATCTGCTGGATACAGGTCAGTTATCACCAACTCACTGACTTGGTGACAACTGGGGGGTGTGTCACGGTTTGGTGATGGGACGATGCCTATCTGAGACTAGCGCTGTTTATGGTCACTCACCTACATAAACTTTCCATAGCTTGTACAATACAACCTCAGTCAATCCTCAACTTCTTCCCTATGCGTACGGTTCACCCACTCCAACAATATGCGATGGCATGTATCATTCCACGCCTCAATCTCCTGACCACTGTACATGCCTAGCTCAGATATCGCCCCATGCAGTTCCCTGCAGGGATTTTCCCAATCGTACTTCCAGTGCCTATCATAGATAGTGTCAGGTGCTGAAGTCTAGGCGATGGAAAAGAGTAACAATGTCTATAGCTGCTCAACAGCAAGCGCCGAGATGCGAGGTGGTGCGCCGCAGGTAACGTTGGAGTGAACGGATAACTCTTAATAAGTTCTAAAGTAGTGGTGTGGGATGCGGGAACCCACACAGCGTTAGATGCAGACCCTTGTTGCTGCAGGCGCCACAACTATCGCAAACATGCTCTCCGTCTTACTAGACCCATTGCCCCATATCGACACCAACACAGATACTACATTCCTGACCAGTTAAATCTGCCACCATCTACAGGTTGTCTAACTAGATAGCAACATAGAGTTCGCTGAGGTCGGAATCCATTTAGGTTCGCAGAACGCGCAGTCATGCCTTCCCCTTCACATCTCGAAACTTCTGTGATTTCTTTCACGCCCAGATATCTATCCTTCGCTCTCCAAAACTCGATCCTCTCTTATCACCAGTCATTATTATGGCTATCGACACGTTTGAGAGCAAGGCAGAAACAGATATCGATGTTGCCCAACCTGTGCATTCGACCGAAACGCCCAATGGTGATAAGCTTCCTGATGCCGATGCACAAGCCGGAGTTCAGGACATCCAGGCGACCGCCATGGCATGGACAAGAAACTCCCTTGTCGTAGCTTATGCAATTTTGTGGATCATATTCTTTGTCGAAACGACGCTCAGTGGGGTCACTGGCGCTCTCTCGCCCTATGTTACTTCGGCCTTCGCTCTACATTCGCTTACGCCCACTGTCGGTATTCTGAGCAGCGTTATCGGCGGAGTGACCAATCTCACCATAGCTAAGATCCTCGATGTTTTCGGTCGGCCACAAGGATTCATATTCTGTGTCTGTCTTGGTACAATGGGGTTGATCATGATGGCTGCTTGTAACGGTGTCGAGGCATATGCAGCTGCCATGATCTTCCACACCGTTGGTAACAATGGCGTCCAGTACGTCATTTCTGTCTTCATCGCAGACACGACCAAGCTAAGCAACCGGGGCCTCATGCAGGCGCTTATCAACTCTACAAGCCTCGTTACCTGCTGGCTTGGTGGTCCTGTCTCTCAAGGCTTTCTAGATGGACCAGGCTGGCGTTGGTGCTTCGGAATGTTCAGCATCCTCATTCCACTCGTCACTCTACCGCTGTTCGGACTCTTGATAAACAACTACATGAAGGCTAAGCGCCTGGGCTTGGTTCCAAAGCGGGAAAGCAATCACAATACTACACAATCCATTATCTATTATTGTCGCCAATTCGATGCAGTTGGGCTTCTTCTCATATCTGCCGGCGTTGCGCTATTCCTCCTTCCTTTCAATCTCTACAGCATGCAGGGAAAAGGCTGGTCCTCGCCACTAGTCATCAGTATGCTGGTAGTGGGTAGTACCTTGACCCTTGCTTTCGTTGCATGGGAGAGGTTCTTCGCGCCCATCACCTTCATCCCGTACCACCTTCTCTTGGATAGAACCGTCTTTGGGGCGTGTCTTCTCTCCGCTGGATTGTTCATGAGCTATATGCTGTGGAGCAGCTATTTTGGGTCGTTCCTCCAGGTGGTAAAGGGCCTCAGTATCCAAAACGCAAGCTATGTCAGTCAATCCTATACCGTTATCGGCGTACTGGTTGCAGTATCGGTGGGCTATCTTATCCATCAGACCGGACGCTTCAAGTACGTCGCTACGTTTGTCGGCATTCCAATGAGCATAATCGGCCAGAGTCTACTGATGCACTTTCGCTCTGCCGATGAAAATGTTGGCTACATTCTCGTGTGCCAAATCTTTATCGCCATTGCCCAGGGTGTCATAGTCATCTGTGACGAGATTGCCATTCTTGCTACGGTATCTCATGAACATGTTGCGGTCTGCCTTGCTGTCCTTGGAATCTTCGCCAATACCGGGGGCGCTATCGGTCTCACCATTGCGTCGGCCATTTGGCAGGATATTCTACCAAAGAAGCTAATGGAGTACCTGCCTCCCGAGGAGTTACCAAATTTCCTCATGATCTACGGCGACATTTCGACTCAGCTATCGTACCCAATGGGCTCCCCTACGCGCCTAGCCATTCAGCATGCATATGCAGATGCTCTACTGAGGCTTCTCGCTGCGAGCACTGGTGTGTGGGTCATTGGTGCCGTTGGGGTGCTGATGTGGCGGAACATCAACGTCAAAGACATAAAGCAAACTAAGGGTAACATATGGTAATACAGCAACACGAGGTAAGTTTGAGAGATGTTGGCGTCAGCGCTCGCCTTGGATAGACATAGTAGCAACACTTATCACCATGTCAAATTTCTTACTCTGTCACGCCCTATCTTATCCACAGTGAACTGCGCATGGCCAAGTTTAATTAAAAGAGAGAAGGTGTTGGTTGGCTTTGCACTAAGTGCGTAAAGGAAAATAACGATAACTAGGAATGCATTCTATGTAGTGATTGTTCTGATTAATTGATGTACAAAGGAGGAGAACTACAGAAGGGAGGGCTCAGGGGTTCTGATCTGAGCGCTGCTCGGACGCTGCGATCAGTGCGCTCGTTCGCGTGACTGAGGTTAGTGCGCCTGATCGCGTAACTGAGATATTGTCGATACTTATAATCCGACAGAAGGAGTATTAAGCTAGTCGATTGCCGCTGCTAGCCAGGCACAGAAATGGTTCGCTGTGAAGCGGCGCTCTCAATCTTCTACTTCCTTTCACTCAAGTTAATTATATGACATGGCCATAAGATTCCCTATATGAGATAGCTGGTAGGCAACGGAGTGTAGTATCCGTAGGCTGTGGTAAAGGACGTCAATAGCTATGAGTGAAGAGGCACGAATTGACTCTGGTAGTAAGCGTATTGACTCGTGAATATAACATATGCTATGGATTATATCTATCACATACGACCATAGGATCTTGAGAACAAGTTCACCTGTCTGATCTGCGAAATATTAAGTTACTGCTTACGGTTTGTTTGCTGCAGTCGCTTTCGGGAAACGGTAGTTGGTTGAACATGGCGCGTGCGATTACTAACTGTGATCTTGTTATAGCACACATTCTAGGTGCTAGATAGTCTTTCGACTTGTTACTGTGTATAACGAAACGCGGTGTTGTACGCGAGCTAGCCTGGCGGCATACTTGTCTATCCCACGCTTTCTATTGTCTACGGTTCCTATGTAATACAGTAGTGCCTTGACCTTCTAGAACAAAAGTTTAAGAAGACTACTTTGCTAGCTAGCTGTGAGGGATCGATCAAGAAAGATTGGATTTGACAAGATACAAGCTATCGAGCTATCTACGTTGTGAGCCCGAACTTATGCTGTGGGCGCCAAGGCGCTAGTCCGATAAGATAAGGATCTTATCGATATGGGGGCCATGGGCCGAGCGAGTCTATGGATCCGTAACACTAGCTATAAGTCGCTTTGCAAGATCTAGATGTTAGGTCGCACGTTGTCAGATATTCACTCTCATCTGGAATACTGATGAAATAGGTAATAATGGTGATGATATTGATTGTTGATTGTTTGTTGGTTCTGTCTACGGTTGTGGGCACACCTGGGGGGTGCCAAGCCTTCCTGTGATCCGATTGGCTCTCTCAGATGCCGGGTCGCGCTAGTCTAACCCAGCGTCTGTACGCTCTCATCTTCAACAGTGCTATTATCTGACACACCCCTTCAGCTTGGACGCTCTTGACGCTTGCAAGCTGGGCACTTAGTCCTACTCAAGGCTTACCACGAGATTTTCAAGTTTCTCTTGAATTTCTTCGAGCGGTGCCGAGTTTCTCGCCAGGATTTCCTTAGCGGGGACTAGTCCTAGTTGTTCTAGGAATTCTGGCCATTTGTTTGGTGGCAATGATTTGGTGAGACCGTCGGCGATCATATCCGCGGTAGGTATGTACTCTACGGAGATCCGGCCTGTCGACACCTCCTGTCTGATCCAGTGATTGTGTATGTCGACATGTCTGAGTTTGGTTTGAAGCTTTGAGACCTCCTCGGTGACTAGGCGAATAGTCTGTTTGTTGTCGCATTGAATAGTGATACTAGGGGTGTCAAGCTGGATGTTCAGCTCCTTGAGGAGACGGGACAGGAATAGAGCTTCCTTAGCCACTTGAGACAGGGCGAGAAGCTCGGCTTCTGTCGTTGATGTTGTAACAGTGTCTTGTTTGTTTGCTTTCCATGCGATGAGTCCATTAAAGAGCTTAATCGCGTAGCCTTGTGAGCTCTTCCTGTCTAGGGTATTGTCGGCAAAGGAGGCGTCGCTGGCTATCTGCAGTCCAGTGCCTCCTCCAAGTTGTAGCGCGAGGTGTTTTGTCGCTAGTAGATATAGAAGAACACGGTCGGCAGCGTTGTGGTGCTCTAGTCCTGGATTGGAGAGAAAGCGGGCGAGCCGCGACGTCGCAAAGGCGATGTCTGGTCTGGTAGTTACAGCTGCGAAGAGGAGTGAGCCTATCTTGCGCTGGTATTTGTTGATCTCTGATGGGCAGGCGAGCCCATCTCTAGGGAGTAGCTCGGCAGTCGCCATCGGCGTGTCGTGTCTAATGTCGGTACGGTCGGCCAGTCTACTGATCTTGTCTGCGTAGGCCGCCTGCGACAGTTGGATCGTCCTTGATTTGCGATCTCTGATGATCTCGACGCCGAGGAACCATTGTAGGTCATTTCCTCCTGTGAAGAGGTACTTCTCCTGTAGGCGGGCAATTGCCTGCTGGGCGGATTGCTCCATGTCTTTGTGGTATGCTAGTATGATGTCGTCCACGTAGAAGAAGATAATGATGCCGCCTTTGATGAGACAGCAGGGCTCGTGCGGTACTTCTTGGAAACCGAGTTCTTTGAGAGTGCTTGTGAACTCTTTCTGCCAGAGGAGCGGGGATATGCGCAGTCCATACAATGCCTTGTTAAGCTTGAGTATAGTACCTGGCTTCTGATGGCCGCGTGGCATTCTCATGAATACTTCTCGGTCTATTGTCGCATGCACGAAGGCGTTTGCCACGTCGTACTGTTTGAGCTCTAGGTCGTACTTTGCCGCAATTGCGGTTAGCATTCGGAACGACCGGCTTGCGAGTGTTGCCGCGTAGGTGTCTTGCGATGTGATGTTTCGCTGCTGATCACCGCGGACGACTAGTCGTGCCTTGCACTTGAGTAGTCGGTGATGCTTGTCAAGTTTGTAGGTGTATACCCACATGCAGTCCAGGATTTGTTGTCCTGTTTGCTTGATTTTCTTTATAGGGATCTCTGTCCATGAGTTCATTTGATGGTGGCTTGCCAGATGGGACTGTTCTGCTTCTTTGAATAGTTCTCCCATTGGGTGGTCCTCAAGCTTAGTTCGGCATGTTGGCAGAGGTGGTAGCTGACTGCGATGGGGCTTCAAGCCTTTGGCGAGCATTCTCACAATCGCAGCCTTGTCCATAGCTACTCCTCTGTATTCTCCAACCTTTCCGGCCTGGGTACCCGCCATGAACGCTGCTGCCCATGGGGCAGTCTTAGGGGTTCCTTGTCGATCCTTCTCATCTAGCGATGCTCCTGCCATTAGCCGCGCGAGCAACGCTGCGGGTGGCGGTGTCGCCGGAGGTGTCGGGTAGCTGTCCCGGATTTTTCTCCCTTGATAGTATCCTGGCTGGTCGCCCTCGCTGTCCTGAGCGAGTGACTCCTCCGGTGGACTGTCCTCATAGAAAGACTCCGTCTCTGGTTGCTGCGCTGGTGTTGGCAGCTCAATGGTCCTCACGTGTGTCGCAATTTCTTCTAGCGTATTGTGCATGAGGTTGTCCATTAGGTCTTCGGTTTTGCCATCGAAGATTGACTGTTCGTCGAAGACAACGTCTCTAGTGCTTATCACTTTGGCGAGTGACGGTATCCAGATTCGGTAGATGTTTGATGACCGGTATCCGACTAGGTATCCGATCCATGCCTTTGGGTCGAGGCGTTGTAGGCGCGACTTCCCTCTGTGGGTGTCGTCTGTCATGGCGAAAGCTTTGCAGCCATATGCCTTAAGATGAGTGAGGTTTGGTTTTCGGAGAGATGTGACTATTCCGTTGCTAAAAGCTACTCGTGTGAAGAAGACTTCGTATGGTGTCTTCCAGTGATTGTTGTAGTTTGGGGTTCTGTTGTAGAGATAGACTGCGGCTCGAGTGATTTCTGGCCACAATTCCCAAGAGAGATTGGCGTCAAGTCGCATTGCGCGTGCCTTCTCCTTGTTCACACCCCCTGAGCGCTCGGCTCCACCGTTTTGTGCCTGTGTGTCTGGGGCTGAGGGCTCGACTCTGATGCCCTGTGTTGCCAGCCATCGCTCGACATCTGGCTTAACAGTTGTGATCTCGTTGTCAGACTCTATGGTCTTAACGGATATATTGTAATGGTTCTTCATAAATGAGAAGAAAGTTGTGAGCAGCCGGATAATAGACTTGGCTGTCCGGTTGTCGGTAAAGTATAAGTCCCATTGGAGGCCTGAGAAACGATCGGTAATGAGCATTTGGCTCTTCTCTTTTGTGATCGCCTGGACTTCGTATGTATGGAAGTCGATAGCAAGTCGCTCTCCTGGGCCTTCGTCGTTTGTTCGCGGTAGGCGTCGTATCTGTCTCTTGGACTTGGCTCTTCCGCAGGAGTCGCATTGTACTGTCGTCACCCCTTGAACTCGCACCCCCTCAGACTGCTGCACGAGATGCTCGATTGCTGCTGGTCCCGGGTGGCCGAGTCTCTTGTGCCACAGCATCGCTGAGGCCTTCTTTGGTCCTCGCTGCGTGCGTGCTGTGATGGCTTTTGTGTGGACAAATGCCTGGGCTAGAGGATTGTACTCTAATACCCACTGGCCAAAATTTTCTAAGAGGTTGCCAATAACTTGATCGTCTGGTCCTCGTAGGTTGGTTGGGTTTGATTTGGTATCCCACCAGATTCCTCTCTGCCGTAGCAGTCGGAAGGACACTAGATTGCATACGATCTCTGGGCAGATTGCCACATCTCGCAGCACTAGCTTTGTTGTCCTATGCTGATGTTGCAGCGTGATGTCTGTGGTCCCGTATCCCCGTATCCAAATCTTTATACTACCAGCCCATATGTAGTCTCCTAATGATGACGGGCGGTAGTTGTATATCCGATCTGGATTGTTTGTGATGTGGCACGTCGCTCCTGAATCAAGAATGAATGATCGTGCGAGAGGGTACGTGTGCTCGGCTGTCCCACTCCGTGCGATGGTAGTGAACGCGGCGTCTACGTCCGTAATCTTTCGGCCTTCTAGTCATTCGATTGGTGACTGAGAGTACTCCGGCGTTGGTGTATGTGATTGTTTCAGAGCTGGCGTGCGTGTACGGGATTAGTTCATTTGTAGCTTCATTTGGTGTCCACCACTCTGGCGCTAGGTCTGGATTGACATAGTAGCATGCTCTGAGTTCATGATATTGATAACACGCTGGGCATTTCTGCCCGGAGGTAGTCCCTTCACTTTGCGCTGAGGACCGCTTCTGTGCTGGCTTTCTCATGGCTCGTGAGGTTTGTGGTTGTTTACGAGGACGTCCCCGATACTTTGTTTGCGAGGTATTCCCCGGATTCAAGTTGGTAGATGGCGCGGTGACCCCACTGCTCGGCGTCCCGCGCAGTGGCTGGTAGGATGCACCTCCAGCGAGAGTTGTATCATCATGTGTGCTTTCATCGTAAGCTGCCATAGCTGCTTTGTGCTTCCCTGATCTAAAAAGGGGATGGTGCATCATCATGTGCTCTCGGAACCGATTCATCATCTCCTTTCGGCTCATCCCAGCTGCCCATCGTCCGTTCTCTTGGAAGTTTACGGCCCAGATAGGTGCTGTTTTCTGGACGGCCACCAGAAAGTCCTTTGACATCGCATCAAGTTGTGACACTTCTGGTACGCTGTATACTTCAGCTTCCGTGGCGGCTTGGTCATATTCCGCCAGCCACGTGTCCCATTGATTTGGGGTCCTCATTGGTTTGAGGGATGCTAGGTATCTTTCTCTAGCTCGCTCCTTCTCGGTGCGATCGCTCACTCCAACTGTAAGCTTCAAGTTTATAATCCACTCGCGAAGTGTCTTGTCTGGGAGACAGCATGTGCGTAGTAGGTGCGGTGACACGCTTGATTGAATCAGGGTCATGATGTGCTGGAAGCTTGACTGCTCCTTTTCGTATTGGTGTCGGTCGCTTTTGTACTGCTCCATCGACATGCGATAGTACTCGAGGTCTTCTTTAAACGCTTTCTGTCCGCTGTTCGATAGTTCGCTAAGTCTTCCTGGCTCTTCGATGCCAGAAGTGAGTAGTAGTCTTTGGGTCAATCTTATCCCAAATATTGTGTGCTATGCAACGCGCTTGCAGTTGTAGCATCCAACCGGTGTAGTCTGACTGGTCGCGTAAAGTCACGGTCGCGTCGCGGGTGGTAAATGTCGTCATTTTGGTAGGTAGGTAAAGATAGTGAGACTCTTAATTGTCAGATATTCACTCTCATCTGGAATACTGATGAAATAGGTAATAATGGTGATGATATTGATTGTTGATTGTTTGTTGGTTCTGTCTACGGTTGTGGGCACACCTGGGGGGTGCCAAGCCTTCCTGTGATCCGATTGGCTCTCTCAGATGCCGGGTCGCGCTAGTCTAACCCAGCGTCTGTACGCTCTCATCTTCAACAGTGCTATTATCTGACACACGTCGAGTCTAAAGTTGACTAAGTAAATATTATTGCTGGCTGCAGGTGTAATGTCTCCTACCTAACTACTACGCGTAGTGCATTACCAAGCTATTATAGTGTAGTAACTAGGCACGTAATAATAGAGTTAGTTAGTAGGTGTTACGGATCCATAGACTCGCTCGGCCCATGGCCCCCATATCGATAAGATCCTTATCTTATCGGACTAGCGCCTTGGCGCCCACAGCATAAGTTCGGGCTCACAACGTAGATAGCTCGATAGCTTGTATCTTGTCAAATCCAATCTTTCTTGATCGATCCCTCACACTGCGTCGGTAAAGTGAGCGACTACTCTAAAGAAGCCACGTTTACCACCCTTTGTTGTCTAGCTATTAAAGCTTACGTGTATTTTGCTTACTGAGCCTAACAGGGTGTTAACAACTTGCGGTTATATAGACCGGAACAACCTTATTACAAAGGTAGAAACGCTGGTATTACTTACCCACAACGCTGCCTCTGCCTCTAGGTTAGCAAATCTTATTATCTCTCTAAAATTAGGCGTTGTAAGCTCGCTGAGCAAGTAGTTTTAGTTAACAAGCTACATAACAGTAGCTGTTTAAAAGCCCTCTACGTCGAAGTTTCTAAATGTGATGGATCAAACCTACGCTGGCAAATGGGTCGGGGTGTGGTTGGGGTTGGGTTAGAAATTTTGCGACCCCAACCCAACCCCAACCCATTTGTCAGCGCCAAGCTTAGGGTTGGGTTGGGGTTGGGTTGGGGTCGCACGGACCATGGGTTAGGGTTGGGTTATAGTAAAAAAATTGCAAGATGTATAATATAGATTTCAATAAAAGAAAAGTTTATATAGTATCACAGTAGATTAACACAGTGTAGCATTAACTAGTTTCATTTATAATATACAGAGGCTTCGCCAGCTAGCATTTAAGCACGTGTATCTAGATATATCTTATAATCTAGAGAAAAGCTAGTAACTCGCGCGCAAAGTAGCGCCTAGCCAATTGAGAATCCTTCTCTTGAATAGTAACCCTCTTTGCGTGAATAGCATTGATGTTGCAGTCTATAAAAGTTATTAAATGAAAAATAGTATAGGGTAGATAGACTATACCCTCAAAATAACCAACTAAGAAAGCTTCTGTAGCTTCCTGAAGAGCTTCGATTGCAGATCGTTGAAAGCGGATATCGGCCTTGTGCACCTGTGCAAATTCGCGCACTACGCGGGAAAAGGGGAGTTTTCGCAAGAGTAGTTCAAAACCTCTCTGGTATCTCTTGATTTCCCGTAATGCGACAGCTAAGCTAAATTAGAAAATAGCTGTGATAAACGACTGTGATAACCTACTGCCGGCCTTAAACTTGCGCTTCTTCTTAACAGCTACAGGTGCCTTTCGCGTAGACTTTCCTGCTACTTGACGTCTAGCCTTACTAGCAAGGGCCTTCTGAGCCGGCTTGCCGCCAGTAACTGTCTTGCCATCAGGACCACCCCGGCCGGCTTTACCGGTGACCTTAGGCCGTGGTTTTGTCCTTGCCATTGCGTAGTAGAGTAGATGATGAACGTAGGCGACGTATGTGATTAATTACTGTGATAAATGTGGTCGACAATTAAGAAAGTAGTAGGCTGAAAGAGTTAGGTAGCTGGAAAGTTTGGGCGACGGCAATTTCCCGATTTCCGCACTAGTAAAGGCAGCAGCGCACGGACTGCATGACGTAATTTGCTGTTTCACGATCGCATACAACCATTTCTGTTGCAAAATCAGTAGCGAGCATATCATACAAACGTGTTAAACTGCTGTGATAAACGCCGAGCTCGCGCATGCGTACAGCCCAAAAATGAAGGAATCATCGATGTGTTGATCATTTTGGGTAATTTCCGCGTTTTCGCGCTAGCGCAGGCAGCAGCGCACGGACCATTTCTAGGTGAGCATAATGCTGTCTACCCATTTCTCCAGCCCCTGACGCCCAGTAACTCCCAACACCTAATAACTCTCTTTACTACATTGAAAACACCCCATTTACAACAGCGCATTATCACAGTCCCCGCCATGCCTGTCGCGAAAGAGCAAGTCGGCGACGTACCTGAAGGCCTAGTTCCAGCCATCAAACTTGAACCTCCGCCTGGGTTCGAACAAGATGAGTGGGAGCAGCTTACCGATGTAATAATCACAGCCATTTATCACAGCTTATGCTAATATAAGCAGGGATTTGCGTGTGAAGCTGACGAGATTGACGGTATCTTAGATCAAAGAGGTAGTGGGGGTTCACGAAAAGGCCGACCTATCAATTTGAGCGTCCCCTATACTGGCTCTCTGAGTGGTAGCGCCCGTGCTATTGCTCAACGTGAACGCAAAGCTCTTTTCGATAAAGAGGAGAAGGTACTTGAAAGCGTTAGAACAGCCGACCGCTCCGCGAAGTACCAACTGAAGAAATCGCTTTTGCAACAGCCTAAGTATAAATTAGCAAATAGTGCTAGACAGGCTAAGCTGCTAGAGAAAGAGTGGGATATACTTTCAGAGAAGCGGTTTACCCAGAAAAAGTCTGGTAAGTTATCACAGCTGTTTATCATAGACATCTGCTAATAGACTATCCCAAGTGGCGAAGGATATACTAGCAATACCAATTGCTCAGGTTGGGGTTGAAAGAGTTTTCAATGTTGCTAAGGATGTTATTGGTAGTCGGAGGCACCGACTATCTGCCCGGACAATACAGCAGATAATGGTTCTTAAGGATACAATATCTCAAGAGGAAGAACAGGGTCTAGACTACCTAGTTGCTCAATTAGGGGAGGATGGAGAGCCAATTGACGAGGTTAATGATCTTTTTGAGCTTCCAGCCTCGTTAGAGCATACCTTCGATATAGATGAGGAGAACCAGACTACAGAAGAAGAGTCGGAGGAAGAGGTCCAGGAGGAGCGTCAATTGCCACCTCGAAAGCGCCAGCGTCCTCAGCGCTACCGTGATAATTAGCTGTGTTAATATATCTCGTTTTATGTATCTACTATATCATCAACGTGTACACATTATCTTAATTAAGTGTTGTTCCGTTAAAGTACCCAAAAAATATAACCCAACCCCAACCCAACCCAACCCAACCCAACCCCAACCCTACCACTTGGTCTGTGCGACCCCAGCCCAGCCCTAACCCATGGTCTGTGCGACCCCAACCCAACCCTAACCCATGGTCTGTGCGACCCCAACCCAACCCCAACCCAAGACTGGGTATACCCAACCCATTTGCCAGCGTAATCAAACCTACGATCCCTCACGCGATCACGTGCCATACAATCACGTGCCACGCTGGCAGTTGGCCCGTGCGAGGAATAATAAAGTTCCCCTCGTACTTGTATATAGATCTGTACACACAATCTCACTTATTAGAGGCATCCTAACTATTGCAGTGTACTAGTGCCTTTACACTAAACGCGTTAGCAGTGTTTTGTTGTACGTCTAACTAAACTAGCGTCAAAAGCTTGCCACTGTGATGGTTTTGGGCCGTTGCCCCGCACAGGCCACCTGCCAGATGCCTTAGCGTTGTTTTGATGTTCGTGCACGAGCCACCTGTTTGGTGGCCCATGCGCACCCCCACTTAGATATATTCCGCGCAGAGCTTCTTACAAGCTCCGCACTGCAATTACTTTGTAATTCAACACAGTTTCAAATACCTGACCCATGTGAGACCCTTATAGCCACAACGACAGCTGGCCTCGAGCTCTCTGTGCTAACTTTGGGCCATCTTTCGTAAGGTTGTGGCCAGGCCTTAGTTAGCTGAGATGGGTGGCTGCTGAGGTTGTAGCCTAAGTAATGTTGAACAAACCACCACGGCCAGCGTTGATAGTTTTGTGTACATGGCTGTCAGATAGCAGGGTTACTCGACGTTGGCAGCAACCAATCAGCGTAGAGAGGGTCAGTGCACCCCTCAAGAGGGCCACAAGCGCGGACACACGATAGACAGAACACAATACACACAATCATCAACATCCATCACTTTTGTGCAATATCTCATTATATCTGACAATGGCAGTACTTACACACTGTCAGATATTCACTCTCATCTGGAATACTGATGAAATAGGTAATGATGATGATGATATTAATGATTGATTGTGTTGTGGTTCTGTCTACGGTTGTGGGCACACCTAGGGGGTGCTAAGCCTTTCTGTGTTCTGATTGGCTCTCACAGATGCCGGGTCGCACTAGTCAGACCCGGCGTCTGTACGCTCTCATCTTCAACAGTGCTATTATCTGACACACCCCTTCAGCTTGGACGCTCTTGACGCTTGCAAGCTGGGCACTTAGTCCTACTCAAGGCTTACCACGAGATTTTCAAGTTTCTCTTGAATTTCTTCGAGCGGCGCCGAGTTTCTCGCTAGGATTTCCTTAGCGGGGACTACCGTGGGTGACGGCCCAACGAGCCGGACGGCCCAACGAGCCACCCCACCAAAACATCAACTAAACTTCAACACGCGATAACTCTGTCAACATGAGCTCAATTAAGGCTGCGCTTGCAGCTATCGAATCGCTACAACCAGGAGAACAGTTCAGCTATCGCAAAATTGCAGCAAAGTATTGCTGTAACCGTACAACGCTCGCGCGAAGGCATCAAGACATTTCATCCTCACGCGCAATCCGCCAGGAAAACCAGCAAGCTCTTCACCCACAGCAAGAGCAGGAGCTTCTACGCTATATCGAGCGCCTTACAAGGCAAGGTCTACCTCCTACACGGCCTATGATACGACGATTTGCCTCAGATATTGCGAAGAAGGAGCTTGGCGTACACTGGGTTGATCGATATATCGAGCGACACCAGGTTGATCTCATCTCACGCTGGGCGACTGGAATCGATCGCGCGCGCCACCAGGCTGATTCTATATTAAAGTATACCTTCTATTTTAGCCTCCTGCGCGAGAAAATAAGCAAATATGACGTTGACGCTGGCAATACATACAATATGGATGAGAAAGGCTGCATGCTAGGGATACTTACTCGCTCAAAGCGGGTGTTCAGCAGGAGGCTATATGAGGAGGGGAGGATCAAGGCTTATATCTAGGATGGTAATCGGGAATGGATAACGCTGCTAGCCTGCATATGCGCTGATGGATCAGCCCTTGCGCCTGCGCTGATATATCAATTAGCCTCAGACTTAATACAGGACACCTGGCTACAAGCTCTAAGGCCGGAGGATCGAGTATATATATCCTTCTCACCTTCTGGCTGGACGAACAACGATATAGGACTATCCTGGCTCAAACAAGCGTTTGATCGATCTACGAAGGAGAAGGCAGGGCGGAGCTATCGATTACTCATCCTTGATGGCCATGGATCTCATCTCACGATGGATTTTATCGAGTACTGCGATTGGAATAGAATCCTCCTTGCAGTATACCCTCCTTATTCAACTTATACCTTCTAGCCGCTTGACGTCGTCATGTTCAAGCCATTCTCATCAGCCTACTCAAACTAGCACACCTGAGATCAATCAATCAAGCAAGCTGACAGCCCCCGGCTTGATTGATTGGCTGTTTGTATGAGATTTGGCTGGATTGATTGAATTGGCTTGGCGGAAAGTTGTTAGCTTGATTGGTAGCTTGGGTGCTTGATTCCCAAATAGGAAAGTTGTATATATTTTTTGGTGTTGAGTCTCAGCCGTCGTCCCATGTATCTAGATCGTCGTCTTCGCCCACCCACTTGCTAAGCTCGTACAAAACGTCCATCTGCTCGTCGGTAAGCTTTGATTGGCCCATATCGTCGTTGTCGCCGCCACCAAAACCTGCCCGTCTCCATCGTCGTACTGAGTGTAGTGCTGCTAGTAGCTCAGGTGATATACAGCGTCGGCGAGGCTCTAGTAGATCTCCGAGCTCACTGAAGACGCGCTCACACTCACAGCTTGAAGCGGGTATAGAGAGTATAGTAAGCGCCATCTTACTAAGGTTGGGATATTGATCGCGCAGCCCGAACCAGTATTGTATAGGATCGGTGCCCTTGCCAACGATTGGCTCGCGCTTCCACTGCTCATACTCATCCTCCTTAGTATTGCCGCGTGTGGGATCAATAATGCCGTCAATCGCGTCGTCAATATTGCTCGGTTTCTTCGGTGCGCGTGTGTAGCAAGGCCTCGGTAACGGCAGCGACTTGTAATCCGCCCACAGTGCCTGGAAATTAAGATTATTAAGCGCCAGCCAGTCAGGCTTCTCAGCCCACGCTTGATCGCAGTAGTGTTTGTAGCGAGGATGGAGTATTGTAGCAGCGTAGTAAGCTGGCGAGTCGTCGAGTTTAGCGTAGTACTCGTTCGCCTTAAGTAGCGCTGCGCGTAGATTAATAGGAAGGTGATCTTCGGGTGCCTCGTCGTGAGCGTCATGGACTACGCAATCGTAGTAGAGGAGGCGAGCTTCTAATTGAGTGAGTAGAAACTCAAACGTTGGGATCACCTCAGCGATCGCGCCAAAGCTATACTCGCCACGTCCCTCAAAGCGCTTTGTACACTCTTTAAGTGGCCTAAGAACCTCTATATAGTCGGTAACAACAGCCCAATCGGCAGCTGTGAGGCCGTCTGATCTCATCCACTGTGGAGCAGCAGGCCGATTTTTGCCCTGTGAGTCGGCGTAGATATCCTCTTTTGCTGTATTTTGTATGTGGGTGTTCG